TAACCAGCCGCGCGTGCTAATTGGCGCCATTCAACTTGTCACACCCAGTGGGGTTCAAACACTGCAAATTATAAGCCACACCAGCCAAGAAAACCGTGAGACAAACAAGTGGTTTTGACAGGTACAACACCGGATAAAGCATTGCACCTTTTCTTTTCCCTGTTCTATTTGCACCGGCCTCATCTTTCCGCTTATACTTATGTTTATTAGTTAAAATTTGAATTTTCAACATTAAATTTAGAGTTGATTTTAAATTATTTTTTTCATCGAAATTTATTTTTCAGCCTTTGCTAGCTTTTAGGTCGCTAACAACACGCATATACAATTTTTATTCACAAAATTATTTTTTTTATTTGCAAATATGCCGTTTCTTATATATAAGAAAGGATCATTCGGCTGCATTGTTGGTGTAGAGTCTTGGTAGTTGGTAATCATGGAAAAGAATGGCCAGTGGAGGCATGGAGCTCACTCTGTGTTCACTGTTTTGGCTAGGATCCAGAGGAGACAGATTTCGGCTGCGTTTGAAAAAGATGATGAGACAGAGCCTTTTTCTAGCAAAAGAAAACGGGACGGATTATTAGCATACGAATAACTGGATCGATTTGATTATATTTCTTAAAAAGATTTTATATATAAAGTTTCTGCATGTAACATAATATCTACTCCAGTACTTTAGCGAGTGTGTTAACGGTAAATAAGAAATTTGCTAATTCCAAGCCCACTTCTTAACGGTAAATAAGAAGGTAGCAACAAATAATCGGATAGACACGTATGATGAGGTTGCTTGCAAAAGTGTATTTGTTGATAACGTGCTATATGTGACACGATATGTTTGGCATGACAAAATTAGTACGGAGACCAAACATTGTCCTAAAGCTTAAACATTGTGCGTGATATGATATGTAAGCTTTTTTTTTACTAGGAGAAACCCTTAACTGAACTATAAATACTACCTCTACACAAGACATAACAAGTTTTAAAGTTAAACATAGTTATTAAGAAAATAGTTAAGATTTAAATAGAGAGATGTCGTGATTGGTTGAAAAGTGGAGGTATGTGGAAAAAGTAAATGGTGTAGTGATGATTGGTTAGGTGAGAAATATTGGTGAAAAAAATATTATATTTTAGAATAAATCCTAGGTACTAAATTGTTATATTTTAGGACGGAAGGAACAGTGTCATGGAGCAAAAACAAGTGGTAAGAGTTAGCGATGGGGGAAAATTAACATGTGCCCACCCAGTACAAGCTAGGATGATGAGTAGTCATGCATGAATCCACTATTCCATTTCCACATACGGACAGCACGCAGAGGCGGAGGGTTGCGAGGTTCGAGAAACAAACGTGCCTCCGACTCTTCCAGACGAGACGACGACGATCACGCGAGCTACTTTCGATACTAGTAGTACACCATATACACGAGAACAAAACCGTGGACGACGATGGACAGAGACGCAACGACAACCCCAGACGACATATGCACGCATCTGCCCCCGCATTCTGCCGCGCGCGAGTTCGGCCGAGACGCATCCGCCCGGCCGCTCGTGGAGGCCTCCTCGCCCGCCGCCCGCAACCAGGATCGATCGTCTCTGCTCCCTACGTTCCCCAAAAAAAAAAATTGAAGCTGCATGTGATATATCATAACATAATAAATTTATATTTGTTATACTATGATATATTAGACATTGTTATAGGTTTGTTTTTTCTTTAACAGAAGGATAGCCTTTCAACTTTAAAAGTCGTTGACATTGAATTCAGTAGATAAGGGCATGTTCACTTTATTATCACTTCTAATCCTACCAAGGGCCTGTCCAGATTATAGCAAAAAAGAAAAAAAACTTATCAAGTTTTGGCAATGCCAAAATTTTAGAAAGATTTCTTATGTATTGACTAAATTTGGCAACAAACTAAACGTAGATATTTTTTTTGGCAACTTTACTTAAAAATGGTATGGATGAAAATGACAACAAAGTGAACAGGCCCCAAATCTTGTTGTAGGATAACATATTAAACCCTTTCTTACCAGTACTATCATACTAAAATTTGATAGTTTAGAATCTTTTCTCTCCTAAAAACGATATGTAATTTTAAAATAGCATCAAACAAATGTATCTAATGCTATCAAAATTTGGTAAGATTAAAATTGGCAACAAAGTGAATAAGCACTCAAGATTAATTTATCGGCCCATACATACTTTATTCGTAGTAAAATAAATCAATTTAGTATGAGATGTGAACATCCTAAGTACTACAAATCGTGCATATTCATAGTACGATCCTGTGCTATATCCAAATTCGTAGTGTCAGAATGTGAAAATTCTGTATTAGGTTAATTTATTTCAGAGTAAATTTCACATTAGGCCACATATTTTGGCCAAGATTTCATAATGGACTAGGGTTAAATCAATGTTTTCACTTAACACCATACATCTTTAAATAAGTTTTCAGTTTGGACTAGAGGTGAGCAAAGCAAGGGAATGTGAGAAAACTTCATATGATTTACACATGGATAATTATAAAAGGCAAAACATTTTATGTTTTCTTCCTTATTTTCAGTGTGAGTGGTAATTAACTATTTTCTAGTATTTTATTTTTATTCATTTGCCCCTATGTATAGATCATTTTGTGCCACTTTTAAACATGTTGCATCATTATTTTAGTGTGATTTGCTATTTCTTTCTAAAGATATTTATCTTAATACTATGGAACTAAAAATGATAATTTGAACTAGCTTTTCTCTGACAACTTCCATTGATTTGCTCAACCCTAGTCCAAAGTGACAACTAGTGCAAAGATATTTGATGCTAAGTGAAAAGGTTGGGTTGGCCCTTACCCATTGTAAAACTTTGGTCAAAATATATGGTGCAATGTGAAATTTACTCTTTATTTCAGGATGAAAAGAGTGTCCCCTTTTTTTCCCAACAACTCTTGGATGAATATGAAGATTTTTCGTGGCACGCTTTTCAAACTGTTAAACGGTATGTTTGGTGCGAAAACTTTCAATATGAAAGTTGCTCTAAAATATCAAATTAATCTATTTCTCAAGTTTGTAATAATCAAAACTCAATTAATCATAGTTTAATAACACCTCGTTTTAAGTAAAACACTTGATATTCATATTTATCTTCATCTACATAATAAAAGAACACCACCTAAGGTAATCCCATAGTATGGAAGGGTTGCTTGTCTTTTTTTCCCTTGTAGTTCCTTCGACAAAAGAAGTAATTTTCAGCCTTTGCATTCACCAAAGATACACACAATATTGTATTTATGGATATTGTGATTTAATTTAGTATTATATTAACCATCTACTCTCTCCGTCTTAAAAAAAGTTCAACTTCCAGAGTTTGAGTTATGTCAAAAAGAAAAAAAACCTTATACCATCCTATCTACGCTCATCACATAAAACAGGAAGTTTTATCTATCCTCTACCTACCTATCACCATTACTACTTTTTTTCAATAGTGAGGGGTATTTTAGTCATTTTACTCTCCACTAATTTCACTTTGGGATGCTAGGAATGATCTTTTTCTTTTTGGAACAGAGGGAGTAAGCAGCATCGTTTTCGACTTCTTTTTTTTTTAAAAAATGATGGAACTCGTGTGGTATTTGTTTCAATTAAACTATGGTAAAATTGTTTTTTTGACATATATAAACATATATATTTAAATTCGACCTATACGAGGAAAACAAATAAATATGATCTAAATACATGCGTATTTTTTTTGTCAAATTTTAACATGGACACTCATGGAGTGATTTATCACAAATGATCTAGTTTGTTAAATTATTTTAAATTTTTATGACTATTTAAGTCCCCTGAATTGTTATCATCTAGGGATGATAAAGATAAAAATTGAGCAACGCTGAGTACTTGCTGCCTTGCTGGGTTTAAGAATTATAAGATCACAAGGATAAGTTAATATCAAGGCTTGGCTGGCAGTGCATATCTTAGAAGAATATTTCACAAAATATAGTTGAAATTGTTCGGGATGCAGAAATAGTACAAAACCCCTTGCTGCCTTCGGAAAACAGAAGTAACTCAAGTTGCCGTTCTAAAAAAAAAGAAGTTAAAAAAAAAACTCGAGTTGCCGGCCGGTATTGTAGGGGAGGTATGTACACGTCCCATCCAATAATCATTTGGATTACTAAATTCATCAAACCGCAACTGCAAGTCCTCCTGATTCAATTATTCGTATTAAATAAAATGGTCGTTTGTTGGTTGGTATTTTTTTATAAAAAAAATGTACTACGAGTAACAAACACCGTTCCTAAAATAGAACAAGCATGCACCTTCAAATTGATTATTAAAAAACATTGTACCACAAGTAGCAACAAATTAATGCTGCCCTCTGGATAAAATTGCCCCCTGAATATTGTTTCACATTTTTTTTCTCGGGATACATGACTCACTTGCGAAAACATCCTCTGCTATCGAAAATCCGCGTCTTCTTATAAACCCTAACTCCAGTAACATTTTAAGCTTTCTCACAGTATGATTTAAAAATAATTTTAATTTGATTTGATTTTTTATCTTAGTACTCCCTCCGTGTCTTTTTTATCTAAACGTCATATAAGGAGGTACTATATTTTTAAAATCTTAACTTTTATAAATCTTTAATAACGTATATATATATTTCCTCCGGATTGATAATACTTGTCATTTTAGACAAGGGTGATATCAAACTTTAGAATATTTGATTATAAATCATTTTTAAAATATTTATCTTTTAAATATAGTGACGTAGATTAGTCTTAAAAAGTACTTTAATAAAATCAAATATTTATTAACACTTTTATACATATTATAATGAAAAATAATTATCAAAATTGTTTTTATAGACAGTAAACTTTTTCAAAACAACAAGTATTATCAATCCGGGGGAGTAGATAAATAAAAATTATAAAAGAAACAACCGTATTATTACCAGCAGTAGCTCAACCAACTGAAAAAACGACGTTTGTGTCGAGGAGATAGAGAGCACAATTCGGTCAACACGATAAAAATTAAAATTAAATTACGGCATCATCAAGCCTATATATCACCAAGGCAGCCGCACCCGAAATCTGAATTAAACCAAACCAAATCCTCTCATCTCCCTTTTTTTTTCTTCTCTTCGCGAGCTCGCCATTAATACGAGCTTAGCTTTGTTCTCGCGAGGCCTACCTACCTAGTCGTAGCTAGCCACCACCTACTTCTGCTCTTCCAACGCCGCCCATGGCGTCGTCCTCGTCGTCGTCGGGTGGTGGTGGGTCTCTCGCGCTCGCCGCCGCCACCGCCGTCGCGGTGTCCGGCTCCATCGTCATCTTCTCCCTCTGCCGCGCCGCGAGGCCCGCGGCGGCGGCGGAGGCGGAGGCGGAGGCGGAGGCTTCCCTCCGCCCCTGCCTCTCCTCCTCCTCCTCCTCCTCAGGTGGGTGGGTTCGTCACCGGATCCCTTCGATTCGATTCGATTCCTCGACGACGACATGCGTGGATGGATTTCTCACGGTGGTTTGTGTGTGCGGTGCAGAGAGGCGGAGGCGGAGGAGCGGGAGGCGGGTGCGGTTCGCGGCGGACGTCGTCGACAATGAGGGCGCCGCCCGCCCGGCGCGGCGGCTCGCGGCGGCGGAGGAGCACACGTGCAGGGGCGACGCGGCGGCGGCCGCGGCGGCGGAGCGGATGCCGGCGAACCGGGAGGCGTTGTACCGCGGCATGCTCCGCGACCGCTCCTCCCACAGGGTCACCTACTCCTGCTGACCACCGCCTCCTCGCCGCCGCCTCGCCGCCGGCGGCCGCCGCGGTTGCTCGATTGATTAGGCTCTCGCAATTAAGCTAATTAATCATCATCCTCCGCTTGCTTTTGGTTAACTTTTTTTTTGCTTGTTTTTTCTCTCTCTTTCTCGTGCGTCTTTGCTTCGAAAGACAGGAAGACAGAGGCAGTTGTTGACTTTGTGTGGATCCAGTACATCTCTACTGTACAGTGGATGGATTAGTATATTTTATTTTTAAGTAGTTTTTGAATCTCCTCTAGGTTTGTAAATACTCGATTTCTTCTCTTTTTTATCTCAAAGAAAAGGGAAAAAAAGAGACGATTTGCCATGTCAAAAGTGGTTGTGAACTCGACGAGAGATTAAAGTCAAAAGTGGTGTTCGTCATTCAAGTGTAGTTTTTTTTATTTAATCTCCTTTTCGTTTGTATATGCTCGATTTCATCTCATTTATCTCAAAAAAAAAAGGTAAAAAGGAGATGGCAAAAGAAATTGTTGTGAACACGACGAGAGATCAAGTCAAAAGTCATGTTGTTGAACACGAGACAAGTCCTTGCATCTTTGCTTTAGGAAACCGAATACACCATCATGAATTTTTTTTATTATCTGTATAATAAATCAATTGGTTTCTATTATCTGTAAATTGGGATTGATTTTTATTGCCGAGGAAAATAAATTTACTCGAAATACTAGAATATGGGGGCACATGTGATTTCGGCTCGGTCGAATTGGATCGGAAAACGGTTGGGGCGCATGTTACCCGGCAGGTGAGGAAGATTCCTTTATCCAATTTTTTTGGGTGTAAAGAAATGGTGGTACCAACAGGTATATTCTGGTGAGCGTTCATGCGGGTCAGGAGCAAAATAAACTAGGACTAAGTCCTCTCTTCTTGCAAATTTTTAATTTGATTTTGTTTGATACTTTGATTTGATATGATTTTCTAGAGAAGCATGTGAGGAGACTTTTTTTTCCATGTGCTTTGCTTTTAATTTTAGGAGAGCTCCTAAAAAGCAGTTAAATTTGCAATTAAGCGCACGCTTCATGCCTCCACATCCATGCAGTCTAAGCATATGATTTTTCTTTTTACTTACTAGTTTCTCTAACCCATAAAAAATCAATATACGGTAAGATATGATTTTTTATATCCAGATTTACTGTAATAGTTTTTAGGGACGGATGAAGTACAAAAAGCTTCAGTCTAATCGTGCACCCTGCAGCTGATAAACCATAAGACGGTTTATTAGAAGAAAAAGTAATTTATGAGTTGTGCTTTTATAACTTCTGTGTTCTTAGCTATTATCAACATAATGTTGACAAATAAACTACCATAAAGAAAAGTCTCAAAGTCAATTCTGAAAATTAAGTTTTAAATATTAAACTTTTACTATATCATAATTAATCAGCTAAAAAGACAAACAATAAAGTTGTTTTGCTTCGGAGGGTTACCGGGCGGTCGGGCCTCATGGTCAAAGCTGACTGCAAATCCTAATGTTTGTGTTAAAGGTATAAGCTAGCGTGTAATGTGACGTAAGAGCTAAACTAAAGCAATCTGAGGACAAGAAGTAGCAGACCAACAGAGATAATACTCTGATGGTGTAATATAGAGTAACCCAGTTTATGGAGCTAATCCATGGCGATCAATTTTCTTTTCCTTTTTCGTTTTTTCTTTCAAACTCCGTTGCCGATTAGTAAGGCCCGTCTAATAGAGATCTAACTTCTAAATTTAACATCAGGAGTTAGATTAGAAATAAAATTATTAAGCAGCCTAAACCCAGCTCCACATCTCTAGTTTATTTTTCATCCAATTCTACTCTTATATTTAGATCGGAGCTGAAACTGTTTCGGTGCGATCTATAATCGCAACTTATAACGGAAATGCTAAATTTCTGTCGACAGAAAACACAACCTCAAATCTTGCAAATTTTGGATCACTGGATGTGCTTCACGATTCATGCTCTTCTTCTCCAACTCCGGCGACCACCTCTTCTTCTCTAGCGCTTGTGAACCCAAACTCCGGCAGAGGGCCGACGAATTAGGGTCCCGGGGTGGGTGGGGGTGGGAGGGGGGAAGGGAGGGGGAAGAGGGGGGAGTTCGCCGGCTTTAGAGGGATGACCGTGGGAGGCGGCAGCCCGGTGATGGGCGGCAGATCGGGCGGGCGGCGAGGCGGCGGCACCGCCGCCGAAGCCGCGGGGTCGGAAGCGGGCGATGGGCCGGTGTAGGCGGCGGGGGCAAAGCGGAAAGAGTGGTAGGAGGAGGCAGTCGGTGGTGGCGCCCCGCCGCCGGCGACGGGGAAGACGACGGACAGCGCGCCGCCGCCGGCTTGAGGCAAAGGAGGGGAGGGGGCCAGCCGGCGGGGCCTCACCGGCGTCGTTGACACTTTTCGGCCAGCCGGCGAGGCTGGGTGGCGGCACGGTGGGGCGGCGGCGGCGGTGAAGGAGGCGCGCAGTGCTGAGAGGAGGGAAGGAGCGCTCGAGCGTTGTGCGGCGGCAAGGAGGAAAAAGGAAAAGTGGTTAGGGTTTGATGGGGTTTGCATGAATCTCAAATCAATCCAATGGTCAAAAAATTGTAAGATATTAGAAGGGGTTTTCTGTTAAATTAGAAGTAGACAGTCCCAACTTATAATTACAAACGAAGTGACGCTAATTGTTTATCTCCCTCGCGGCCGCCCAACACAAGTCCTCCGCTAATTAATTTCTGCGAGTTGCAGTGGTCCGTCCTACACCCTTTCCTTTTGGGATGCAAGGCGTGGAAATGGCCGTGCCGTCGCCGGCGTCATTCCGCCGATGGTGAGGTCACGCTGCTCAACTGCGGTTGACCGCTGCATTTTCGGAGCAGTTTCTCTTCCTGGTGTTGGTGTGGCTGGCGTTCTTTCTCCACAAGTTCAGAGTGCGTTCGTCGTCATGGCCCCTCTTCTTTTCCATTTACTTCATTTTGTTCATGCAGGTTCGTGATCTCAGCACGTGACCCCACAAGTATTACGGGTTGTGTGGTTCTTAACTAACTAACAGGATCAGAACTCACGTTAGGCAAATGTAATTTGTCATCACCTTTTCTTTTGACCTTTTAAATTAAGGAAAATTTGCAAAAATCATCCCATAAATCATTTTGTTACAAATGCTCACACACCTACTCAGTTTTGTTAAAAAACCACCTCAGTGTATACGTACTTAATCGGATCAACCTATTATCGCTGATGTAGAGCTACTGTAGACTAATCTAGCTGAGTCAATTTTGTCCAAGTGTTTACATTAAATTTATTCTTCATGTTTTAGTGAACTTTTTATGTATATCGTGATACCCAAGTGCGACAATATTTACACTATTATTAGTATTTCTATTTGTGGAATCTGCAAAAAAAGAAGTGTGAAGATTATACTATAAAAGTATTTAATTTTGGTAAAGACCACATTGACGGCTCAAAATATATAAAAACATATTGATTCGGTCATACATGTGCTCACTGGGGTGATTTTTGAAACAAAATAGAGTAGGTAGGTGGGTATTTACAACGAAATGACTTATCGATTAGAATATCAAACTTAAAGTGACTTACGGAGTTTTTTTTGTGCAAATTTTCCTTTAATTAATTCTAGGTCACACATGTGATTAAATTGGACAAATAATTGAGTATACGACACATGGAATAATGAGATAAAAAAGTGTGCCAAACCATACATATGACAATGAACGAAACGTAAAGCTAAGAAGGGTGTGGCAATCTAAAATGTAGCGTGTTAAGTTGAAAGAACAGCCCCTAAGGGACCGGATTGTTTGTGTTGCACATGATTGATAAGCCGTGAAAAATGAACGAATCAAATAAAAATAATTTTCAATAAAAAATTATATCTATGTTATTAACAGTACAAAAGAATACAAATTTTAGTAGTGAGTTGTAATTGTGGAAGATGTATAAGAGGTTAGGACTTGCATACTTCTTTTATTTGTAAATTTTCGCATACTTCCTTTGTTGCGTAAATACTTATCTGTTTTAAGTTTGGTGACAATGGAGTTAGAATATTTACGGACCCATCGTTTCGCTTATTCGGAAAATAAGCGAAACGGCATATTTGTAAACGAAAAATAATTCATCAATAAAACTGTTATATAAGTGTTCTTAGCGATCTAAAAGCAAATGCTGAAAAATAAACTTCGATGAAAAGACCCCAAAATCAACTACAAATTTAAGATTAGAAATTTAAATTTTGGCTGATAAGTATAAGTATAAATAAAAAAATGAGACCCTTAATAATAATTAAGTTTAGAGACACAAAGCCCATACCGCTACTTATCTGTTTGAACATATAGGGCATGTTTAGATTGTAGCTAAAATAAACCTTTGGCAAGATGGCAATATTATCAAAATTTTGACAAGATTTCTTATGTATTTACCAAATTTGGTAACAAACTAAACGTAGATATTTTTTAGCAACTTTACCAAAAGAAATGGTATGGTTGAAAATGGCATCAAAGTGAACAGGCCCATATTAACTATTTCCATTAGTAATAAGATATTGCAAGAGAATTTCTTTTGTCAAACTTTAGCTTAAAGTCAACTCTCTCCTACAAAACTACCGGGGCTCCTTTTCTTCTAAGTTTATTACTTGGAGCATCGATCAACTGACAGATTGAATAAATCAAGCATACAGGCACACCACACAAACCAGCAGTTAAACACACGGTATTCACATGTTATTTGTTTCAATTAGTTGACTAATTATGCCATTCGTATATAAAGGAACTAAAACTAAATTAAATTAGTTGTGTATGAAAGTGGGTTTCTGATTACTGAAGCTCCGATAAAGAAAAGAAAACGATAACAATATGGATAACTGCAAAAACACCAAAACTAAGGTAGCCCACGGTTTTGATTTCAGCTTGGACTTGCACTTCATCGACAGTAAAATGTCTTAGTCTTGGGGGCATACTATAATTTAATTTAACGAAATTCATCGAATGTAACGGAAGTTCTGAATCTTGTGCGCATTCAGAGACGGAGTATCTATCATAGTACACGACTAATATGGCAATATCGTATAGAAGGACGTATCAGCAAGCCGTCCAAATCTGGCCCGTCCATCTCTGCCCGTACGGACGTTCAGGACGGCACGGCAAAAACAAGGAAAAGTACACGGAAGTTGACGCACGATCTGACCTCAGAATATCATGTCAGAGTTAGACGCGCTCGTTTTTTTAAATTTAAATTTTACTACCTCCGTCCTAAAATAAGTGCAACCGTGAATATCCGTGCCCAATGTTTGACCGTCCGTCTTATTTGAAAAATTTATAAAAAATTTAAAAATATTTAGTCACACATAAATTACTATTCATGTTTTATCATCTAAGAGCAATAAAAATACTAATCATAAAAAATTTTCAAATAAGACGAATGGTCAAACGTTAAACGTGAATAGTGTAAAACTGCACTTATTTTGGGACGGAAGGAGTATACTACTACTCCCTTCGAAAAAAAATACTCAACCATTTTTATAGTACTACATTCGTCATAATTTAATGAGACTTATCCTAATATAGACTCACAATACTAAAATAAGTCTTATACGGTGCTAGGTTATCATATTATAGAACGGAGGGAGTAATATATACTGTAACTGTAAGTATTTCTAGGGTAATTTTTTAGCCACCGAGACCCTTATTTTAAAGCCTAAGAATTATACTATTTTTGACTAATCATGTAATCGAACCGCTAGATTACCAGGAGCATGGGTGGTAGGAGAGCACGACGGCTGCACCTGCCAACTACGCTAGCGCAGTTCTCAATGAGAATAATCCAAGCATTTTAAAAATTTTACCACACAATGACTTAAAGAGAGTCTTTCGTTTTTAACATTATTTTTTGGCAAATAATCAAGACAAAAATACTTATATTTAAGAATGGGGATGGTACCTAAACTTTAAACTTTAAACACCTCTTCCTAATTTATTGAAAGTCTTAAATGAATTATGCACACTTTATTAACCACTCTTACTTCGGTAATAAAGATGTAATTATGTACAACTCTTCACTGTTAACACTACTATTCAAAATATCAATGAGAAATAAATAAATCTAATAATAAAAGAATAAGTGCTAACCTGAAATCGTTGTTATCAAAATTTAACTCAGATAATCAACATTTGATCCATTATCTAAAAAAATCAGCATTATTTGATTATTCGGAAAGGGAGATAGCATTAAGCAAGTTGCTTGCCTTGTTTCAGAAGAAAGGAAGCTGCAGTGCAGCCAAAACGAGATGGCGGAGATAGGCGATGAGTACGGACAAGACCCGCGATCCAGTCGGCCCAACCGTACCCCAGCGATGGCCGACGGCGACGGCGATCCCTCCGTTGCCCCGGTCAAGTTCCCCGCGAGGCGAAGCGATTCCGGGCGTCGCGACGCCGCCGCCGCCGTCGCTGTTCCTCTCTGTCGTCGCCTTCGCCGTCTCGTCGGGCCACACAAGGCCCATTATCCTCTAGGCCCATACGAATAATTCTGTGGGCCTCGACATGTCCCACTCTCTTCTTTGGAATAAGTTCACCCTTGGTCCCTCAACTTAACAAGTGAGATTTTTTTTAGGTCCCTAAACCACAAGATCATAAATGTGCACCCCTAAACTCGCACAAACCGTTCAAAGGAGGGTCCCATGGCAGTATATGTGGGTGGTTTCGCTGACGTGGCATCCTAGTCAACAAAAAAAAAGTACGTGGGGCCCACATGTTAGTTACACATCGTTTTTTCGTAACTTTTCTTTGCCACCTCTTCTCTTTCTCTTCTTCTTCAGCGAGTGAGCGCGATGGGCGGGCGGCGGGCGAGCGCAACGGCGGGTCCATGTGGTGGCAGGCGAGCGCAACGGCGGGTCCATGCGGCGGCACCGAAGTTTAACTAGATTTTTCCTAAGTGCTGCCCGGAAGTTCCTAGCACTTTTGCCCGGAACGTCCTGGCAGATTTCCAGTTCAAACTTGTGAGTAACGGCTAGATGACGTCACCTAGCCGTTATATATATGGATTTCGTCCCCAGGTCACCCTTTAGCCATTCCACTTCAGCTCTTTCATGTTCTAGGGTTTTCTAGCCACTCCCAAGCTTCCTTTGCTTCCTCCACTCAAATCTAGAGCCTATCTTGTGAGATTGAGAGATTAGATTAGAGTGTAGGAGTGTTTTGGAGATGGCTTAAAGATTAGGTTTGATTGAGCACTTTGGATACCTTGTGGGTTGTCACTTGGGCTTATTACTCTTGGAGATCTTCTCCTAGACGATTAGGTGTCGCCCGTGAGCTTCCAAAGATCTTGTGGATGTCCCGGGAAAATTTGTGAAGGTTTTCCTCACCTCCGCAAGGAAACGAGGTAAGTGAGTAAAGATTCTTGTGCTGAGTTTTCAGAGGTTGTCCTAGGTAGAGCAACTTGCACTTGTGGTCTTTTCTAGAAGGAATTGTGAGTTGGATCTTGGTGGTCACTCAATTCTAGAAAACGACCTAGAAGTGTTGAGTTGAAGGCTGTGGACTTCTTCTGGGATCTTTGCATAAGTGAGGCAAGGGGTTAATCGAGACCCGGCTCTTTGAGCGCCTCAACGGAGAGTAGGATCCGTGTGATCCGAACTTCGGAAAAAAATCGCCTTTGTCTCCCTTGTGCATGATCTGTTTTTGAATCTGCTGGTATCTTGAGAATTACATCTTGTGCAACTCTGTGCCTGATCATCTCTAGCTAGGACCTGTTTTACTTCCCCTAATTTCATTTTTTCTCTGCTGCCCGGAAGTTCCTGGCTCAAGAACTCCGGAAGTTCCGGGCTACTCATCCTGCCCGGAAGTTCCGGGCTACTCATCCTGCCCGGAAATTCCGGTGTTCATTACCAGTAGGTTCCGGGCCCTGTCAATTTAACCGCTGCGATTGTTGAGAAAATTTCAGGAAAGCCTATTCACCCTCCCCCCACTAGGCTACATCTCTGCACATTCAGGAATAAAACATGAACACTTCAAATAAATGATTTTGAGCACTAGTGTTCTACCAATTATATGCATGTGGTATCCCTCTTAATAGTACGGCATCCTAATACTCAAGAACACAAGATATACATGGATTAGAAGACAATTACCACAAAAGATGCCGCAATACTTATTGTGTTGACATCCACTCCTTTTTCATCCTTGCATACATCTCAACAAAAAACATTAGTTACCCTCTAATTGTGTTGTCATTAACACCAAAATAAATGAGGGGTCCTAGATGCACTTTCATATGTGCTATCATTAACCTCAGCGTGCACTGGTTTCACACTAAAATACAAAATGGACAGCACAAAAAGCTGAATTAAACACTTATTGTTACACTTAACTATCAACAACGTAGCTGGAAGAACAAGGCGAGGGATTAATTACTGCCAAGATTAAGATACGGAAGGGCACGTAGCCTAATGATTGCAGTGACATGAGTAGTACCTCAAGATTCTGAGTTCAATAAATCTTCATAGGAGCAAATTTTAGATTGGATTGTTTGCAAAGCTAAGTTTCCTATTTCAATTGCCGTATATATCCAATTGGATGTAGAGACCATATAAAAAAAATACCTTTCTCTTTTTTTTAAAAAAAAAGAGAGGAAGATTTAGCAACACGTAATCCTCGGCCCTGTTTGGATTCAAGGGATATTTTTTAGCCCTCCCTCAAATGGCTAAAATAGCCCAAAAGATCCAAAATGGTGAGCTATTTGAGAACTATTTGGAAATAACCCACCCCAAAAAACTATCCCACTTAAGGGGTGCTAATTGGAGCTATTTTGGGTGTGGCCCACTTAAAAAGGTGGCTTTTCTCTCCTTTCTGGTGCACGGGATCAAAAAAAAAAAGAAAGCCGCGGCTCTCTCTCTCCGCACGACCGCACATCCTTTTCTCTACCTTATCTGAGCGCGCACTCGCCTCACATTTCGCCGCCGCCGCCGCCTCCTCTCCTCGCCGGCGCGGCGGCTGTCGCCCACCGCACCGCTGGCCCCCACTAGCTCTGTCGCCCCTACTCCTCTCCGTCGCGTCGCTGACCCCCACCTGCGCCGCCGCCCAACTCCTCGCAGGCGCCCACGCCCTTGCTACTTCCTCCTCCCCACCAGCGCCAACGCCCCCACTCCTCGCCAGCCGTCAATCGCGGCTCCGCCGGCCCCCACCCGAGCCGTCGCCGGGCCCCACACTGGTGGATTTGTTTTCTTCTCCATGGAGGGTGGTGGCTTCGATTTCTTCTCCGAAGACCCAAGCGTCTGGCCGTCGCAGCCGTCGGTGACTGGCCCCGGACACGCTCCTCCTCCCCACGCCGGCGTGGATGCGTTGGACCTCAACTCTCAGGCGCCAAATAGCCCTTGGATCTAAACAGCTCAAGAGCTATTTCATTGGAGGGGTATTTCTTGTGTAAAAAATAGCTCTTAAAATAACTCTAAGCTACTTTTACAAACAGAGCTCTTGAAGCAGGCAAGACTCAGGAGGCAAGGATGATCGTTGTTTATTCGTCCAGGTAAGGTTGCACCGTGCACGCCAGGCGTTCTCCTCTCCAAGGCCGACGTCCGAGCCGCGACGACGATTTAATTTCATTAGCATTTGCTAATAGCTCATTTTTATTAAGATGTTTTACTAGTTATTTTTCTCAATTTTCTTTAGCGCGTCTTTTAAATTACTAAATGATACGTTATGTTTTGTATGATAATTTTCTATATAAGTTAGAAAAAATAAATAAAACTATTTTTTAAATTTGTAGTAACTAAAATTTAATTAATCATGTGCTATTTTTTTCGTTTGCCTATCCTGGCTTCGTCATCATTCATTAACACCATCAAGGCTGCGTTTGAACACGATCAAGATGAATTAAGTCATGGAACGTAAAAAAAATCATTAACATATAATTAATTAAATTAATTATTATAAATTTGAAAAAAAATAAATTTATCCTTTTGTTTTAAAGCAACTTCCCTATAAAAAATTCTCACACGGAATATATCTTTTAGCCTTTTAAAAACGTGCTAATGAAAAAAAAAATGAAATGTACGTTAATCAAGTCAGAACGGGGGCCCTAAATGCTAACAAACCCAATAATGGCCACGGGAGGATTGGATGATTATTACCAGCTCCCCCTCAGGGCCCCACCTGTCATCCTCCCAGTGACGGAGAGAGAGGGAGTGGTGGAGTGGTCGCTCTCCCAGCTTTTCCGCCCCATCTGCCCACGTACACCCCGCGTGATCCCCTCCCTCCAAACCCAAACCCAAACCCAAACCCAATCCCCACCCTACTCCAATGATTCCCCCCCTCCTCCTCCCCTCCATAGCTCGCACCAGATAAGCCCCCCCGCCTCCGCCTCCGCCGCCGCCCACGCCGTCGCCGTCGCCATCGCGGTCGTGGTTGTGTTCGTCTGTTCGTGTACTCTGGATCGATCGATTGATCGGGCGCGGGTGGAGGAGGAGGAGGAGGAGGGTTTCGAGGGGGTGTGCTAGGGTTTCGAGTGGAGGTGGGGGGAGGTTGAGCTCAGTTCATTCTTCTGTCGCCGTGGTGGGGGCGGGGGAGGCGGAGCCGGATGCTATGCTGCTAGGCTGCTCGTCCCTGACGTCGTGGGTGCGTCGCCTCGTCGCCTGCGTTGGGTACGCCTTTCTGACTCTCCCTCACCCTGGCTGCTTCGGTGTTGTGCTGATTGACGCGCGAGAATTTGATTTCGAGTGTTAGGGGAGCCGCCGCGGGATGATGAGGCGAGTTTGATGCGTGCGGGTAGGCGCGATTTCGTTGGTTCGACGGGATGAATTCGGTGTTCATACATTGATCCCCGTTCGGATTTCATGGATTTAGTAAGGTTTTCGCGATTTTGTTTGTAACCATGTGTAGTGACCAGCTCGTGCCCAATCAGCGAGGTTGGTTATGATGGGTCTGACCTGCTTGTAATGACCTGGATGATTGCTCGATGTGTTCTCTGTCTTTTTGTCGATGGCCATTAGTGGCACAAGAGAATGTTTGGTGGTTTCCTACCAATGCAGGTTATCATCATAGCACTTTTGGCCCTTTGGCCTGCTGCTGTTAGGTTTCCTTTCAGCTCCTTTTTTCTGCTCCCTGCAGCTTGCAAACAGCGGACTCAAGGAGGTTTCGCATAATAAAGCTGATAACACAGAATAGCGAAAGATTTCCCCCGGTAGACTACTATTGCAGCGTATATTTATTTGTGCCTGCTTATTAATCCATTGTGTCATCCAAAAACTTTTCTTTTTAACTGCAGAAAAAAAAATGAAGTTATGGCTCATTTAAGAATTCTGGCTGCTATTATCTGGGAAATTTACTTAGCTGTAGTAGCGTTTTATATCTAAATGCTGGTTCAATCTGTAGAGTATAACTGGCTAGAGAGTTTGTTGCTTGATGATATCTATAATTTGAAGGGTACAGGTTTACTGGTATTTGCAAATGAGTACAATCTTAAGGATATGTTAACTTCACTCTAAATACATGTAGGCTTGAATCCATTGATTGGCTATTGCTCCTTCAATCAATGGGAAATTCAGTTCTGCATTTTTGTTCTACAATCTAGATAATTTGTATAAACAGATTTATGCTACGCACAAGTTGAAGTCTTATTATGTTTTTGTTGGCTCTACCTAGAATCCTTGACACCTGCTTATTCCAGCCATTTAGGAATGACCAGCTCCTTGAAACCTGCTACTTCAATTTAGGCACCATTTATAGCTTCAAACATCCAACCCTATTCCTGTGCGAATTGAACTGTTTTCTGTTGCTTCAGCTTCTTCGAACCAAATGAAAAAAAATTGAACATTTATAGTGAGGACTCGTAAGCAGTGCAAAACCTGTACTAATCAAGTGATCAACTATATGTATTTTCCATACAATTTTGGTTTAGACAATCCTTTGCTTGTTTGTTGATCTGTAACTTCTCTCAATTGCTTGGTGCTAATCATTTATCAGTCAATACTGGTTTGCAACAGAGCAGAAATTGTTTTGGATGTGCGAAACCTACTCCAATAATAGCCGTTGATGAGCCTTCAAAAGGTTTAAGAATTCAAGGGCGCTCAATAAAGCAGCGGAGTTTGTCGGAGGACTTTTGGAGTTCAAGCCCGCCGGGAATGGAGAATAGTGCCATGCAATCTCAGCGTAGCATGTCTTCAATCAGTACGGCAGCACAATCGAGCGATCAGCATGGAGCTGGAAGTAGCACCAACCCAAATGAGTTTGTAAATCAAGGTAAAGGCATTCTTCTGTCCGTGTTTGAACTAAAATAGGCAGCAGGTGCCCATACTGTTTTTTGGAATATCCATATACTTTCAGAGAACGCTAAACCCGTAGTTCATACTTATTGAGGGTCAGTTTCCCATGCTCGTATGGATTGCATTTCAGCACATGGCAACTGTTATCTTCAAATTCCAGCGTTTATGTGGTCCATAGCAATTCTAAAAATAATGCATCCTGCATATATTTGCAAAACAAATTTCTTACTTGACTATATATAAGTAATTTAATGGTGGGAAGCAAGTGAAGTGAACTACTCCTGTGAGTGGCCACATTTCCACATGGACAAAACCATTTCCTCTCAGGCCTTCTGAATCTTGATCCCCAGAGTCAGCCCTCAGTTTACGTTAGAATACTAGTATAAGACGTCGTGGAATTTATGGCTATCGAATTCTAGAGTAGTCATGTGTATATTTGGTTTACAAAATACATGTATAAGGAAGATACATGTATAAGAAACTCAAAACGAAAGGATCTTTACCAAACTGGAACTAGGTTATTACGTTACATTATTACGAACTATACGTACATGTTAGGTTAAGTTCTTTTATGTTGATTATTCTACTTGTACAACCGTAGGACTTCTCCTGTGGAACCAGACTAGGCAACAGTGGGTTGGAAACAGAAGGCACAATTCTCAGCGTCAACAACCTCGAGAGCCAAAAATAAGGTATTCATATACAGATTCCTGCAATTATTTCAAATTATTCATACTTTATAAGTGAGTGCAAAAGTGGCTAAATATGTGTAGATGTGGTGATACAAAAGTGGTAATGCTAGATTTGTAGGTCTAGTGATACAGAAATGTACTGTTAGATTTGTACCCATTGTAGTTTCATATTATCATGATTTTCTATTAGCAACGATATGTTGCACGAGAAATTTATAGTAAAGTTCAATTTAGAAGATGCCTAGTCAAATAGTGGTATATAAAAATGGATGGATGCAATAAGTTATCTCTAGTTCAATTGTCGAGTCACGAAGGTATGGATTAGCCGATTAGGAGGTTTTGACATGAACCAAAACAGTCCCCTAGTATGCATTATTATTACTTCATCTCCTTGTTTGCCATATATTAGATATGTTAAATACCTCCTTTGAAAAGGACGAGCTAGTAGTTCTGTTATTTCTTAGAGGGACACTTTGGGAGCTGCAATCCTGGCCGGGATCCCAGCCTGGTTCATTTCGGTGGGAATAGGCCAGGATCCTGGCTGGCATTTGTCTCCCAAACAGGTCCTGACTTGTTACTCTTGGTAAAATCTAGCCTAAGGTCTGTTGTCTATACTGCTTCCAACTCATCAGTTTGTATTTGGGCACTGCTGACTGTTTACCATGCCTGTGCCCGTCACTGCAGTTGGAATGCTACATATGAGAGCCTTCTAGGAAGCACAAAACCATTTCCACAAGCGATCCCTCTTGGTGTAAGATCTCTTACAAAACTATGCTTCATCCCCATTTTCCGCACTTGTCTCATGCAAAAACAATGTATGAAGTTTCTGTCGGTTTTCAATTGGCAGGAAATGGTAGATTTCCTCGTGGACGGCTGGGAGCAGGAAGGCCTATATGATTAGTGGGTTAAATGAGTGATGAAGGGTGTTGTTTGTGGGGTCAAATTATGAATCACCGAGAATGTACTCAGAAAAACTTCAGCCTTTCAAAGCTTGTGGGTGATAACTGCGGTATTCCTGGAGACAGGATGGCATCCCTATCTTAAGTAAACGTAACATATTCTTTACTGCTAATTGTGTTAACATAAGTTTCATATTGTGATATCTTCTCGCTGTGCATAATTGGACATTGTTATTACTAATCAATGTGCAGGCTCTGTTTAGTTTTTTTTTCTTTTTTTCCGCGAGGTGGATATGTGTCGCATCTGACGTCCTCTTGGCAATGCCTTTAGCTGATTGCCCCTTGTCCATTAGGCCATTACCGTGTTTATGCAGGTGTGCTGATTGTGTCGAGCTGACTAGACAAAGATGGTACTCCTACTTCTCTTCTCCTGAATATGCTTCATTTCTCAGGCTCTACCAGAGGGTTTTGGATGTCTTCGCCTCCTTTCCAGATGCCTCTCTCCGGACTCCTGTCCTCGTGTTCTTTCTCGCTTTATATGCGAAACCCTTCACAGCAATACGATCGCATCGCCATCTTCAAGCAGAGTAACTAACTGACAAATTCACTTCACTGCGGTTTAGTGGTGCATTAGCATTTTATACACACTTTGCTGGCCATGGCTTTAGCTCGCCAATGCCTCAGCAAACGCCTCGCCGCCGGCTGCGCTCTGGCGAGGCCACTGCACGCGGCGTCGCCGGTGGCGGCGGCGGCTGCCAATTCTCATGGGCCGCTCAACTTTCGTGCCCTCTTCTCGTCGGCGGGAGCCGACGCCGCCGCCACCACCGGCGGCTGCGCTCCTGCGAAAGGCGACGGTCACAGCCGTGAGGTCGCCGTCGTGGACCGCTCGCGCCGCCGCTGGCCGTGGCGAGACCTCCGCGACTTCGTCCCGCTCCGCCTCGTCGACGGTAACGTACCACTTACTCAGTTAGTTACTCCTGATTTTCTTATTCTTATTTTATTTTAATTTTAAAAATAAGCATTTTCAGAACTTATTTTTAATATATGAATTTTTTAGCCTAGGACTGACGTGACAAAACAACATTATTATACATTACTAATCTAAATAGTGTGACTAATCTAAACTATCCGACAGCTGCGGGTGGCATGATGATATTATTTTTTCACGTCATATGAGTTAGTGTAGCAAAGACTCAGATTTTAAAAGTAAATTTAAGAAAGGTTTATTTTTGAAATAAAAATTAAAAAGTTATATAAAAAAAACTCTGTTACTCCTCCCCATTGTACGCCGGCGAGCATTGACGAGCGTGGTTGCTTGCACGTACACACGCAGGCATCGGGAGCGCGCTGTCGCAGGTGGCGGAGACGCTGACCCGGCCGCTGACGGGGAAGGTGCGGGAGGACGAGGAGCGGTACAGGCTGCGGTTCGAGGTGCCGGGCCTCGGGAAGGACGACGTCCGCGTCTACGTGGACGACGGCGTGCTCGCCATCCACGGCGAGAAGCGCGACGTGGTGGAGGAGGACCGCGGCCGCGACGGCGACGGCGAGTGCTGGGCGGCGGCGACGTACCACGCCGGCCTGCTCCTCCCGGAGGACGCGGTGGCGGAGGGGATCACGGCGGAGGTGAGGGACGGCGTGCTGCACGTCACCGTGCCCCGCTCGCCGGAGAGGAAGAGGAGCGTCACCGAGGTCAAGGTGCGGTAGTAGCAGCGTGGACTGAGCCTGGCTGCTTGGGCCTCGTTTGTATGGGCCTTTATCCCGGCCCATCTTGTGTATGGGCCTGGATTCTGTAATTAAGTACTGTATGGGCCTACTACCATAATGTGGCATTCTGGAGTTCTTTATTAATGCCACATTACCCTTTATGAATGGCCTCGTTCATAGTCTTGATGAATTTTGAGTGAATTTCAAGCATATCAAGCCACCTCGAATCGTGTGCTTCAGGTGTTTTGATTCAAAATTTTGTTTGAAATTAGAAAGAAAAAAACGACGTCTCGCTAGGGTTCAAATAATCAAATTTCACTAGCCTATGCCCTATGGAGATTACCCGGATGGTTACATAAACATCATCATGAATTGTCTATCAATCTTTTTTTTCTTAAAAAAGAAAGGGAACTTAACTCTCTAAAAAAAGGGGAAAAAATACGTTCAAAATACGACTGCCACTCCAAAAAGAAAAAGCTAGAGTAAGAGATAACAATGACCATACGGCTGCCTCGCTGGCTCCTGGTCTCTCACCAAGTGACACCCACCCCCACCGCCGAGATAACAACGACCGGGTCACCGACGACTCCCCCAATTTCTATCTCATTATCGGCGATCACACCCCCGTGAAACATACGTGTCCCCATGTGCGCGCCGCGTGGGGATGCCGCCCAACTTGCCGCTCGTCGTCGTCGTCGTCGTCGCCTCGTCGGGGTGGTGGTGGCACGCGACGAGAGGGACTCGCGTGGCTCTCGTCTCCCGTTTCGCGCTTGCGAAAAGTCACTCGCTGCTGTAGCTGTAGCTGTACGCGTGACGAGTGCGAAAAGGTGAGGTGAGGGGGATGGATGGATGCAGTGCATGTATCGCGCGGCCTTTCTTTCTTTTCTTTTCTTTTTCCTTTTATTTTTCTTTTTCTTCCCGACGACTGGGTGAGGAAGTGACTGACAGCGTGGGGGCTACGATTGCGACACATTCGCGCGCGCGTGATCCAGGGCGCGCCACGTAGCCCGGATGGGCGATATTGGGGGTGATGGGCACAGGCGCACTGCAACACACATCTCGTGCCAGTAGTAGTAGTAGTACGATTCTTCTTCTCGCTGGATTAGTACAGTCTACAGTACTAGTTTTAGATTTTAGTTAAAATTAGAGATGATGTGACTGAAAAATTATGTGTGTATGATAGATTGATGTGATGAAAAAGGACTCAAGTTTAGATCTAAACTTCTGGATTCATACACAGCCTGTTTGCTACACGGAAGACAACAGCATCACGAACCCACATCAATGTGTGTGCACCTATGCGCTATTTTTAAGATAATGGAGCTCAACGAGCTATAGCTAATTATTACAACGTAATACTTAAAACGTGTACAGTTCACATAACTAAAAACGGACACTAACCATGAAGAAAAAGCAAAATATAAAGACTACCAATCCAAGGTAAGAAGTACACAATTATTGAATTCTATTTGTTAATCTCCTTCTAAAATTAGAAAACAGTTGCATAACCGTTGCCTCAATATTTCGACATGTAACTTTTAAAAACTCGTCCTCTTCATCATCCTTTTGTAGTTGTGCCCATGACTTGAGCCAATGTGTTGCTCTGAAATTTACCTGTATATATGAAACAGATGATGATTTATCAAAAATCATGTCATTCTTACTCAACCATAGAGCCCAACATATATCAGATGCACCTGTGCGCTATACTCCTTCCGTCAGTAAAAACAAACCCTACCATAGGTATGTCCAGATTCATTTTCCTTTACATAATATTAGTATTCAGATTCATTGTAGGATCTAATTTCTATAAGATGAAGGAAGTATGTCCATGAATATGTTTTTCCTCCATCTTGCTAAAGCTATATTTTTAAGCGTGTGTTTAGTTTTAAGATATTGTAGGATGTGCTAGGTGCATCCTAATTTTTTGAGATGAGATGACATGATTTCATCCATTCGTTTGGCATAAGGATTGGATTAATCTTATCATGTTAGGGTGTGAAGGTATAACTCATATTGTTAACGTAAGGGAAAAGTTGGTTGGATTAGTCCACCAGTTTTTAGGATGGGCTGACTTGGATTCATTTCTTTGATCATTTTATTCCATCTGTTTTCAGACCAAACACCATAAATATCCGGTTCATTTCAGCCCGACCCATCCTACCACTCTAATTAAACACATGCTAAGGGTGTGTTCTTTTCAGCTAAAGCGGCTTAGCTAATCCTCGTTTTCCGTTAACACACTTTACAAGCTGCTAAATGCGAAAACTTTCAGTATATAAGTTGCTTAAAAAATCTAATCAATTTTTTAATTAAGTTTTCATATAATAATATTTAATTAATCATATACAAATCATGTTTTTTCGTTTTACGTGTAACTAATCGGCTAAACCATCCCGCCGATTAGAACGCACCCTAAGGGAGTCTGAAACCCTTCCCATTAGCACATAAAACAAATTAATTAATTAATTAATAACTTATAAAAACTTTAAAAATAGATTAATATGTTTTAGAAACAAAACTTTTTTCAGAAAAATTTTTGTGAAAAATATATCGTTTAAACGTTCGAGAAACATAAAACACATATGTGTGTTCGTTGACGCCATACTTCAAACCTGTAGCTACAAGTACTTTACTTGTCCATTCAAAAATCAAGACGGAGCAACAAAAATGAAAACGAACATCTACATTAATTTAAAATATAAAATTGGCTGATGCTGCACTCAAACAAATATACTGATTGATTGCTACACTTTTCTCAAATTTTACAACAGAAGGTGATGTTCTGCCGCAATTTACAAGAGAAGGAATATACTCCCTCCGTCCAAAAAAAAAAAAAGGCAAACTCTGGATTTCCGTGCCAACGTTTGACTGTCCGTCTTATATGAAATTTTTTTACAATTAGTATTTTTATTGTTATTAGATGATAAAACATGATTAATACTTTATGTGTGACTTATCTTCTTAATTTTTTTTATAATTTTTTCAAATAAAACAGACGGTCAAACGTTGGACACAGAAACTAGGGTTTGTCTTTTTTTTTTTTTTTTGGTACGGAGGGGTACATAGCTGCAGGAGACCAAAAGAAAAAAAAAACTCCTACAAGATTTGATCTATGGAAAAAAAAAGAAGAAGAAGGAAGAAGTAGGCCGATTCGGCACATCTTGTGTGGTGTACTGGTGCAAGCATTCAGCTCATCTGGACGCCATGTGAATTCGTGAGAGAGATCAGCAACGGGAAACACGCCCATTTTTGGAGATTTCGGGCGCCTAACCGAATCAGTCTCCTTTGTCCAGGTGCATCCCATTTGGTTCAAACTATATCGTTGCGAGTGATTCGTTAATCATTATGCGTGTTGGCTAGAAGAAGCTTCTCATCACACCCTGCCAGCGAGTGATTAGTTTAATCTAAGCACACAATAAACTAGTACACAACTACACATCATTGATCAGCTTGGGCCATTAGAGAAATCTTAACAGCCTAACACAATCAGCAGCGTGATCAAGTAGCCATTAGAGAAATCGCAAGTGGTTTGTATTATATTTTTGGCAGGAGCATGTGTACGACCAGTGTGCGGTGGCGGGCGGCAAGGGGAAGGGCAGATCTAAGATAAAGTAGCTATACTATGTTTAATTATGATTAACATGATTTTATTATTGTGTTTTTGAAAATTCTATTGGAATCATTAGATTATGATGATTCTATGCATATATTCACCTCCGCAATAAAAGGCATGCTAGATGGGTGGACGTGGGCTTAGAACATTCAGTTATAGAGCCAGCTCGATCGGGCGGTTAAACCAGAGTTCTCTCGTGATATCTTCACCATTGATTGGTGAAAACGACAGTAAAAGCATTGTCGGTAATAGGGAAACACTCTTTCATCGTTTAAGCTCAACAGCTCTGTTTGTTTTACCTCTATATGGATTATAGACTGATATGTAAATGAGCTCATTACGCTATTTAGTGTCTTATTATTGCAATCCTACCTTCAACACATGGCCATCTCCATCTAATCATCTGAACTGGTTCAACATTGACAAGAAAGACTGTGAGCCATTATATTCCTGTCTTTGATCCACAAAATGTATCATCATATTTTGTCATCACCTAACTCATCCCGCCTTCGGCACCACTCATTGTTCACCTTCGCTCATGTGACACCATCGCTACGTTATTGGTACTATGTACTCTTGACCTCCTGTATTACCTTTCAGTGGTAGCCGTTGGTCTCGCTTAACAAGAAAACTCTAATTGGTTATGCTGAAGTTTGTGAAAAGTAAGGGAAAAAACTCCCAGCACATACATATGCCTCAAAACCAGAATAAGACAACAAATATAATCTCACAAAATATATCGACACATGTGTATTAATCCGTAAAAAGAAACAGGAGACTATCCATGATCCTCATCGGTTGCTCATATATTCTCTAATAAACCAAAACTGCCTATTAGAAAATAAATATTATATTTTATAAGTAAAACTTTTAGATATTTGTTCGTAGCGATTTAAAAGCCAATGTTACAAAGAAAATACGTTGAAAATATTCTAAATTCAATTTTAAAAATTTAAATTTTAGTTTTCTTTTCTTTGACTTATTAGGTCAATCGATGGGATCTATGCGTAATACTCCACTTTACAGCCTCGCAGGACAAGACGTGTTGCAATCGGAGACCGGGGAGAGAGAGGGGGGGAGGGGGGACGCAGATTCAGTGACATTCCCCCGTGACATTCTCAGCGACATCGAGTCAATGACATGTGGGACCCACATGTGCTGGACCCACATGTCAGTGACTCAATATCACCGAGAATGTCACGGGGGAATGTCACCGAATCCCAATCCGGGAGGGGGATGGGTTAGCCGCTGAGCCCGATTTGTACGAGTGGTGGACAGGGTTTCACTTATCGCACGATAATCGCGCGATTATCGCGGTTATCGCGCTTATCGCGGGGGTACGGTAGGGGAAACCGGCAATATGGTTTGGATGAATTTTGACCAAATTCAAAATTCTGGAAAAATTCGAAAAAAAATTGAAAAAATTCATGGATGTAGTTCTTGATTTGTAATTGCCAATGGTGAAGAATTTTTTTGAAATAGAGTAAGCTAAATTCAAATTTGAGGGCAAAACCAAAAATGATTTACAAATTGAAAAAGGAAGAGGATATTGGGCCTTAAGTATCCTACATATTCTTCCAATTATTCTGAATTTCTAGTTTTCTACACATATTCAACCGTATTTTTTATTGTTTTACCCTATTTATTTTACATTTACATGATTTCAGCTACACAGCCCGCGATAACCGTGCGAATATCGCGGTTATCGCGGTAAACTGTGCGATTATCGCGGCGAAACCACGAAACCGTCGAGTTTTGAATTCAAATTTTTAGATGTGATTTTTGTGTGATTTTAGACGATTATCGCGCGATTATCACGGTTATCGCGCTACCGCGTGGTGGTGATAACCCCGACCCAAATGATAAGGTAAACCCTGTGGTGGAGCGGATAGGCGAGAATCCCCAGCGAAAAGGCAGCGGAAATCAGAGGTGGATGGCCGTGGACCCTTTTGCCTCCCTGGCTCCGTGCACCGCATCCGGCGATGGATCGAAGGGTGTGGGGGGCCAACGCCCACGCGACGGCCGAGAGCGACCGACCGACCCGGGTTCCCTGCACCCGCCGAAACGTGACGAAACGCAACGCGGTTGGGGTGACGCGCTCGGACGACAGCCGCACACGCCTCGCCCTCCGCGGATTTTTTTTTTCTCTCTTTTTTCTTTTCCCATTTCCGCGATGCGTTTCTTTTTTTTTTTCCTTTTGTGCTGCACGCCTTTATTATTGTTGCGCAGGAGGGGGAGGATCAGAGGAGTAGTACTTCGCTTTCGTAATAAATGTTTAAAGCTTTTTGTTGGGTTTGATAAGTGAGTTTTTTTTTCCAAAAAAGTTGCCGTTAAAGTTACTACACCGCAGTTCTTTGCCATGTTCGTTTGCTGAAGAAATGGTTTAGCGGCGAAATCTAGCACGTTTATTCGATGCTACGGATCAGCTAACAAATGTCACTGGAAATAAAATAAAAATACATGCGCATGTATTTCTAGTCATGCATTTCAAGTTCAATTCATTATACGTAAAGAGCAGATAAAAAAAAAACTGTAACGAATTTATATTCTTAAGTTTATATCGGCATCTCGCGCCTCTAGCCCGCCACGCACCTATATCACGCGCCTTAGCCTCCAATACCTAACACCACCACCGAACGTAGCTACTCATCCACTCTGTGGCAAGCACGAGCTTTCCTGGTAATGAAGTTGTTGACGAGCCTGAGATCCTCTTACGCGCAACCAATGACAACCTGAAGCTCGTCCTCTGCTCCACTCCACCGCACCGTGGCTCATGAGCTAAATAAATATGATGGCTTGAGCTAAACTTTTAGCTCGTTAGGATAAAAACCTAACGAGCGAGCTAGCCTGATATCCACCCATAAGTATGCGTATGTGTAACCTGTTACTCCCCTTATCCAAGTGACTACTCCATCCGTAAAAAAAAACTAGGATTGGATTTGAAAACATATAGTACAACGAATCTGAATATAGATGATGTAAAATCCAATCTAGGTTATTATTTTTTTGACAAAAATAGTATTTCTTTTTCACCAAGATAAAAAAAGAATTAACTCATCCACCATACGATAAAATCAATGAATTATATACATGCATGCAATTAATAAGTATTAAAATGACTGTTTATATTCCGGTCAATAATTTAATCTATGGTTAATTGGATTCATGTCATTATTAATTTGTTCATTTTGAAAATTATGAACAGTGCCATTACAAATCTTTTAAAATTGGAAATATGCTACTACTTACCCTTTTTCTACACTAAAACATCCTTTTGATAAAATTGCCCCTTATCTTGTACCTTAGTCCCCTACCCTCTCACTCTCTCCCCTCTCTCCCGTCCAGGTGCTGAACCATTAGTGGCCATGGTGCTTGCCCGTTGATGAGACTAGCGACAGCGGAAGGGAGAAGCAGTAGCCTGACGGCTAGATTCGACGCACCGCGTCTCCTCTTTGCACTCGAGCTCGACAAACTCACCCTCAAGTTTGCGTCGAGATTGAGTCGTGCCTGTCGCCGCCCTAAACCACCCCACCCTAAGCCCACCCCAGTCTGCACCCCTTATATCCCAACCGATTCGCCGCCGCATTGCGCTACTGCCACCACCCTCCTCCGTGTTCTCATCCACTCGAACATCTCCACCAAATCCTTCTTCATTCACGAGGTGTTGTTCCTAGAGCCTGTCCTTGAGACCTCCCACTTCTTATGTGCGGCAGCCACGACGACCGCATCTGTCGCCCATGCCATGGACGTTCTCGGCTTCTTAAACCGAGTGAAGATGATAAACAAGAGAGACAAAAGGAAGAAGAAAGGGGCAATTTAGAAAATATACTGAAAGAGTAAGTAATAGCATATTTCCAATTTCAACAAATCTATAATGGCACTGTTACAATAAGATGAATAGTAATAGTATTTTTTTAAAACAGAAAAATTTATAATAATATGATCTGTTTAACCCAATTTAGCACTTAGAGATTACAACTGTGCCTAACTTATTTAAAAAATCAGAAAATAAAATATACCCAACTTTTGTTCAGCTATTTTAAAGATTGATCTGATTTTAGAAATAGCAACGTTCCCAACGAGGCCATTCTAACTCCTTTATTTAATTTTCCCAACGCGTGAAGTACAGTGCCCCAGTTCCAGAAACAAAAAAGGCAACAAAAAAAAAAGAAGAAAAAAACCCAGATGCATGCACCTAGCCACCGTACCCCCCATCCCCACCAACACCATTCATGGTGCGTGCACCCACCCCCACACCCACACCCATCAAACAGGTTCATCGCATCCGCCCCAGCCCCGCGTCCGTGCCGTGCATGCACCTTGCCGCCACCCACATCCGCACCGCGACGCCCCCTCGTCTCCCCCAAGAGCCGCGCGCCTCGCGGCGCCGCGCCGCACTCCACCCCTCTAAAGTCCATCTCCCTCTACCCCCTCCTCCCCCTTCTTCTGTTCGTTCCGTTCCCCCCTCCACTTTCCCCATCTCCGACACCTCTCTCCTCTCCGATTTACTCCTCTCCTTTTTGCCCTATCGCCTTGGCGATAGGGTTCCGCTTCGCTGCTGCAGCAGCGGCGTTTCGCCTGTAAATGCTTCTTGTTGTTGTTGGGGGGAGGGGTCTCTTTTAGGTGATTGTTCTTGTTCTTCTTCTTCGACATGGTGGCTTTCTATGGACTCGGAGGTGAGCTTTCTTCTTGTTGTTGTTGTTGATTTGTGTTTTGGTTTGAGGTGTTTGTCTAATGGTGGTTTCTTGATTGTTGATTTTTGTTCAGATGTAGGTGGTTTGAGGTGTTTGTCTAATGGTGGTTTCTTGATTCTTGATTTTTTGTTCAGATGGAGGGTGTCTCGTGTCGGCGCCGGCGGAGCTGGCCGGGATGTTCTGCCGCGGCGGCGTGGTGGTGCAGCAGCAGCAGAGGAAGCGGTCGCTGGTGGCCGCGTCGGCGGTCGCGGCGGCGGACTGCGTCGTGAGGGCGGCGAAGAGGCAGAGGCAGCAGCGGCAGCCGCCGTCGCTCGACGCGCTCCCCGACGAGTGCCTCTTCGAGGTCCTCCGTCGCCTCCCCGGCGGCCGCGAGCGCGGCGCCTCCGCCTGCGTCTCCCGCCGCTGGCTCGCCCTCCTCTGCAGCATCCGGGCTTCCGAGCTCAACCAGGCCACCGCTGCTGCCGCCGCGGCGGCGCCGCCCTCCCTTCCCGACCTCAACGAGGAGTTCGTCATGGAGGAGGACGACGAGGAGGAGGAGTCGTCTCCCGTGGTGGATCCGTGCGTCGAGAGGGTCCTCGAGGGCAAGGAGGCCACCGACGTCCGCCTCGCCGCCATGGCCGTCGTCGCCGGCTCCCGCCGCGGGCTGGAGAAGCTCGCCGTCCGCGGGAGCCACCCGACGCGCGGCGTCACCGACCGGGGCCTCCTCGCCGTCGCCCGCGGCAGCCCCAACCTCTGCTCGCTCGCGCTGTGGGATGTCCCGCTCGTCACCGACGCCGGCCTCGCCGAGATCGCCGCCGGTTGCCCCTCGCTGGAGCGCCTGGACATCACCCGTTGCCCGCTCATCACAGACAAGGGCCTCGCCGCCGTCGCGCACGGCTGCCCCAACCTGCTGTCTCTCACTGTCGAGTCGTGCTCCGGTGTCGGCAACGATGGCCTCAGGGCAATTGGCCGATCTTGCTCCAAGATTCAGGCATTGAACATCAAGAATTGCGCGCGGATCGGCGACCAGGGCATCTCCAGCCTCGTGTGCTCCGCGACCGCCTCGCTGACCAAGATCAGGCTGCAGGGTTTGAACATCACTGATGCTTCGCTCGCCTTGATCGGGTACTACGGGAAGGCTGTCACGGATCTCACCCTTGTCCGCCTCCCGGTGGTCGCGGAGAGAGGGTTTTGGGTGATGGCCAATGCTGCCGGCCTGCAGAATCTGAGGTGCATGAGTGTCACCTCTTGCCCTGGGGTCACCAATCTCGCGCTTGCTGCTATCGCCAAGTTCTGCCCGAGCTTGAGGCAGCTTTCCTTCAGGAAGTGTGGACACATGACGGATGCCGGTCTCAAGGCTTTCACGGAATCGGCGAGGTTGTTGGAGAGCTTGCAGCTTGAAGAGTGCAATGGGGTTACTCTTGTTGGTATTCTTGATTTCCTCGTCAACTGCGGTCCGAAGTTCAGGTCCCTCTCTTTGGTGAAGTGCATGGGTATCAAGGACATCTGCTCTACGCCTGCGCAGCTTCCTCTGTGCAAATCGCTTCAATTCCTGACCATCAAGGACTGCCCGGATTTCACTGATGCAAGCTTGGCTGTGGTGGGGATGGTTTGCCCTTACTTGGAGCAGGTTGATTTGAGTGGTCTCCGTGAGGTCACTGACCGTGGGCTTCTTCCACTGATCAACTCTTCCGAGGGTGGTCTAGTCAAGGTCGATTTGAGTGGTTGCAAGAACATCACAGATGCAGCTGTTTCTACCCTGGTGAAGGGGCATGGAAAATCTCTGAAGCAAGTTAGTCTTGAGGGCTGCAGCAAGATAACCGATGCTAGCCTCTTTGCCATCTCCGAGAATTGCACTGAGCTTGCTGAGCTCGATCTGTCCAAGTGCATGGTCAGTGACAATGGTGTTGCTACCCTGGCATCAGCAAAGCACCTCAAGCTTCGTGTCCTGTCACTGTCTGGTTGCTCGAAGGTTACTCCGAAGAGCGTGTCATTCTTGGGCAACATGGGGCAGTCTTTGGAGGGTCTCAATCTTCAGTTCTGCAACATGATTGGTAACCACAACATTGCATCGCTGGAGAAGCAGCTCTGGTGGTGCGACATTCTCGCATAGGCAGACAAGATGGTTCATTGCTGGAGGGTGTCACCTGTGCTTGGGTGAGGCACCTCCAGATGCAGATATACATCCTTAGAGGTAGCGCAACCAGTCAATTGCTGTGCTAGTCATGTTTTTGGCTAGTGCATGAGTCATGGTGGGTTCTGGATTTGTTCGAGGACCGGTTGTTTCCGAGGGGTGCTTTCCGCCAAGTGCTCGTTTTTTCACAGACTGCCTCAAGAGGCAATCTGTTTTTTGAGCCTTCGGCTGCCATTGCTGGCATTCTGCCCCCTCTACCCAGACATTGGTCCTTGCCGCTATAGTCACAACACCATGATTGTTTTTTAGGTTGCCGTAGTGTCCCTTGTCCTTTTTTCTTTACTGCTTGCTTCCTAGTCATGAAGTTGCAGGCACCGGCATCGGCACAGGGGGGCTGTCATGGAGTTCCGCAGCTCAACTGCCGGTGTCACCAGTAGTCGGCAGCGCCGGTGTTCCAGGCTGCCGACGACGCTGGAGTGCCTGCAGACTTACCCTGTGTGTATGGTTACTGAGTCTGTTGGTGTCTTGAGGTCATGTGTGATGATGTTTTCGGTAGTGTGTAAGGGTCATAGAGGGTTGATTTTTTGTTACAGGTACTCTTGGGAATGCCTGGTGTTGGGGGATCTGGCCATTGCAAGGCGCATACTAGAGCCTTGTCATGACAGCCTTGTATGGTTGTTTTTTCACCAGATCCCTGTTTTTACCGGCATATTGTTGAGGACTGTAATCTTTGCAACCTTCTCAGAATAAATTAAGTATGTGTTTATGTGAAAAATCATGTGCCTTGGAATTTCGGTTGATTATGTATGTCTCTGCTAATGCCTTGGTGATCTATCTATTTATCTTATGAGGCAAAAAGGGTGTATGAACTGCTCGTTTACTGTGTGGATTTACCTTGTCTTTCCTGCATCAGGCGAAGTAATTATGTTTTTTGTTTGGAGGATGAGCATCTCTTCAAAGCATACAGCTACATGTATATGCAAAATGAGAGTGCGAGCTTCTCTTAACTGATACTAGTAGTCAAAGTGTGATTTAAGTCCTATGCCGTTTCGCCATCTTGTATGTTAGAAATGTGAGCTACAGCTTTGTTACTGAAAGGAATCAAAGCTGTTATCTTACCTTTAATACAACATCTTGATAGTTTTTCTTTTGCCATCTTTGGCTAATTCCATGTTTGGTTCTAACATTTTGAAAGAGCAACAGAATTCCATAATGGCTAGCTAGCTAGAGACTTGGCCAACTTTCGAGCATTTGAACCATCGGTCACAACTGCAAGGACATTTTTAGTGCTTCAGTTGACATGTCTTGACCACATTGTTGGCAGGTTGTCAGGCTTAACTGAATCCATGATAAAAATGGTTCATTAAAAAAAATCTGGTTTACTAATACATTATTAGTCAATCTATAGCATCACCTGACTTCTTCCATCCGTCATAGTAGAACGAATCGCCTGTCGGAATGACTCTGACTCTGCCTAAGCCGTCAAGTAGCACCTCAAACTGGACTTGGAACATTTCAAATCAATCACAAAAAATTCAGAATTTTCCTCTAATATTCTGGGGCTCAGGACATTGCAACAAAATTCTCACTGATTGATTATACATAACAGTGAAGCAGGGCACTTACAGCAAAGGAGTAAATAGACACAGCGAAGGACAACTGGAGCCTCACTAGCGATATATGAACAAAAGCCATCGCGACAACGCAATACACAGGAAGAAGAGGTAGGGTTCGTCACAAAAAAAAAAAGAAAAAGAAAAAAGAAATACTGGCAACTAGTTACTACTCAAACAGTTAAAGCACAATATGGGGGCAAAGCTTCAGCACACCATCCATCACGGACCAAAAGGATTTGACCACCGGGCTCTTCGATCTTCTCTAGGCAATTATCTGTTCGTCGAGTTCTTGCCCACCTGTTGCAATCCTGTCTTGGATCGACTCGGAAATGCTGGTGTTCGACTCAGTTTCTTGTTGATTTGGTGTCGTCGACCCTGATTCCTGAATGTTACCTGTGCTCAGTTCAGTGTTCTTCAGATGACTTGAATCAAATGGACCCGTTTCCTCCGATGGCAATTTGGGGAGTGACTTCCTCTGGGGCTTCTTCACAGCATTTGATGGGTTTGCTTTCTTTACACCGTTTTGAGAAACCTTTTCGTCGAGGCTGTCGAGGCTCAGACGGACCGGACGTCCTGGGGGAGTGACAGTTTCCTCGGTCTCTCCCGCAGATTTGTTCTTGGAGCGACCGAGCTTTGGTGATCTAGCTCTCGTGGGAGGGATCTACAGCAAGTAAGAAATAACAGCAGATGGTATGTGTTGTCCCATCAAAGGACACCTTTCATCATTATAACCAGATCTCCCAGCTACCGTATTTGACCTAATAAATATATAGGTACGAGGTATTCCTTAGCATGCATTCCACCCTCAAAGGTCAATCTACATAATGGCACCTCACACTAGATGTATCAGCTACAACTACCAATTTAACCCATCACACATCAGGAAACATCAAAACAGTAAGCAAATATTCAAGTTCTGTGCAAACAGAAAAAAAAAATTGCATCCCACATTTCCAGAAATACATTTGAAGACAAATTAACAAAATCTCTTCCAATTAGTTTAACCTTATAGCTGCTGGTTTCTGCAAGTTTTTACTGCACAAAAGTCCATTAACTGGGTCCCTGTCCCTGTCTAATCAAGGCTATCCCATGCAGTGCTTGATTAGTATTATGGAACAGCATAATCACTAAATCGCAGGAAATCCCAGTACATCCAAACTGAGCATGGTAACAATATAGTTGAACCGCACCAAATAAATATAGTCAAAGTTCCAAATTTTGTGTGTCATGATAGAAACATGCACTCGCTCTTAACAGATAAGCAATGGCAGAACAGACAGGATGAGGCATCTAAACAGCTAGTGAGGTACTTTGCGACAAGTATCAAGTCTAATGTCTAAGGTGATGAGTAAATAGGCCACTATTTGTTTTTTGGCTTGACTAGAGTCTAGAGAGCTCCTATAGTTGTGAGATATGATGACTACATAAGAGAGCTCTAGTAGGTTGTTGCAAACTGTCCAACGCTTGCTCACTCTTAGATCTGAAGTAAAAAGGAAGAATGCTAGCCTTGAGTTGTGGTCTCTGAATACCTTTTTCAACTCCACCTTTGGAGGAGTTGGTTCCTGGTAGAAGCTGGGCATTGGTGTTGCCTTGAAGTTCAAACTCTTCCTAAGCATTTTGAGTTCAGCTTCTTCAGTCTCCTGTGCAATATAAAGAAACTAATATTAGCAGGCAACACATGCAATGCAAGATGGGGTAACATTTCCAAGAAAAGTAAAACAATATTACCTTTGATTTTGCTTGCAAATTGCTTATTTCCATTTCTCTGGCATGAATCTTCTCCTCGAGCTTTGAATAGAACTATTTGATTGCAGACTTGAGTAAGAAACAGTTGCATATTTTCCAAAAGATGACCAGGAACAGGAAGTAATTGAACACAAATTACCTCCTTCCTTTTTTCAGCTCTCTCATCACACTTGAAAGAGAACCCGTAGGCAGGAGTGCCTCCAGCCTTTCGTGATTCAGGATTTGACTCATCATCCTTTTTGACAGAAGAATTCTGGCCTAATGGCTTTTGTGTTTTCCTTTTCTCCCTGGATTTATGTGGTTTGAGTATAAAAGCATAAGTTACTTTTGGAGTATTCATCTATACTAGAGCAATGGAGTCTGAACTGCAACTGCGAGAATATTTCTCTAGGATTGTTATATATGTAAAATAATACAGATTCACGTCAGCTCAAGTAAAATAATACAGAATATTTCTCTAGGATTGTTATATGTAAAATTTAGCATTTAACACTGAGTCAGTGAAGCATCATATTTCAATGCTCAAGGTTGAGCATGTCCATATAAGGTATAAGGCATTCAGAAGCTGATAATGCATAAAGCAATTTCTGATACTGAAGTGAAGGTACTTCTTGCAGTAGATTGGTAAATGATGAGAAGGATATTGAGGAACAATTTTATTGTCCTAGGTACAGGAAACATAGTGTTAATCCCACTGAATGGAGAATGAGCAAGTTTTAATCCTTTTATTTTGCAGTATGATGCCCCCCCCCACCCCCCTCAAAAAAAAAACCAAGAATTCTGAAATGGTACTCCCGAATATTTGCATTTTAAATTCATAATTAATCAAACTTAGCAACACAACCTATTAGCCTCTGAAGGTGTGCTGATTAGAACTTAGATTAGGCACTACATGCTTAAACATACAAGAATACACAGGCAGGAAAAGAACTGCATACTTTGAGTCCTCGAGAGATGTCTCCTTAGTACTGGAGCGAGGCTCTTGCTTCTCAGCTTTCTGATAAAACCATTGAGAAACAGATTATTTGATACCCAACTGGATTGAATATAATATTGATTACATAAGTAGAAAGAAAGTCTAGCACAATGGAGAACTTACATTCCTATCAACACTGGAGTCACCATTGATCTTTGATCCAGTACTTGAATCTGCATGAGAGACTCGAGCAACCGGTGCTTTAGAAAGAGTGGAACTAGGAGTGCTTCTCCTAGCTTGACCCTCGCCTCCACTCTTCGGGCTCCTAGACTTTACAACCTTAGGACCATGACTTTGGGTTGCCTAGCATCACATCATACAGAAACAACAATGAGCACAAAAGCGTCGCTAAACGATCATAGAACACTACCACAAAACTCACCTTGGCAGGGCGAGGCTTCTTGCCATCAAGATGCGAGGTGGATTCCCCGCCCGCCTCTTCGGGCGGGTTGATCACATCGCTCTCCCCGGAATGGTCACCATTGGCTTGCACCTCATGTGCTTCCTCATGCTCCTCCATGCTATCAGGCAATGCAGGCTTTCCATTGACCTCTTTCTCTATACCCGGCGCACCCACAGCATCGGCAATGGTACCGTCCATCTCATCAATCTTCACCTCGTCCTCAATTCATCAGAAACTCACTGAATCCCTGATGCAGGGATGCACCTAAAGCGGGGGCATCCTTATGGCAACAACCAACTTAGTACTACTACACCGGCAGAAAACAATTCGCAGTAAAACTGAACAGATTTAGGCTAAACTGCACAGAAGAACACAAAAATGCGGTAACCAAACTCTCGAAACAATCCAAGCAGGTCAGTGTCGATCACCAACTAAAACAAATCAACCCCCCAAGTGAGCACGGATCTGATCTCCCCTCTACCCCGCCTCGACAACACGGACGAGGAGGACCGCGACTACGTTCTTGGAGACGAAAAGGGCAAAACAAAATCCAAGAACCGTAAACGCGGTCGGATCTAGGCCAAGAAACGGTTTCCAAGAAATGCCAGTGACAGGCGCCGCCGACTTGGCCCACACAAGAGAGCGCAGGGAGGCGAGAGAGAGAGAGAGGTAGAGATGGCGGTCTTTACCTCGCCGGAGCGGCGGCGGCGGTCGCGGGAGGGGGGAGGACGCCGGCTTCTGCGGGAGGAAGAGGAGGAGGAGGGGAGACAGCGGGGTGGTGGAGGGGGGGTGGTGCTGTGTTTGGGCTGGAGGTGGTTAACTCGTTTCTATTTTTCCAATCTTGTCTCTGCACTGTGCAACTATTGTGTGTGTGTGTGTGTGTTTTTTTCTCTCTCTACTGTTTTGTTTTGTTTTTGTCACCTCTGGTTTTATTTATTAGCCATTTTTTCAGATCCGGTGTTATTAAATTTCCAGTGGTTCATTCAAGCATTATTCATTTTCATATAGTGGATTAGAGTTTTCTCTTTTTTTTTCCAAATTATGATTTAGGAGGGTGTTGTGATACTAGGGGCATCTAATAACGAGACAGTGAACTATTTTTACTCTTAGGATGTGCCACCCTTATCATTGTTTATATTTATTTATTTTTATTTATCAGTGAAACCATGTGAAATGTCCTTTTGCCCCTCCCTTTCATCTCTCCTATCTCTTTGAGTTAGGCGGTGATGGAGGTGGGCTGTGATGGTATGGGAGAAAACAGAGAAGATAGGCGCATGGGTGACCAGAGGAAATGGATCCCTAGCCTTTCCCGCAAGCCTATTGCTAGTCCTGAGCTCCAGCTTTACCGGTATTGATCACTCTCCAAGGCATATGATATCGAGAAATCACGTGACAGGCGTTGTGTTGCTCTATATCCTCGCCACCCTCTTCATTCTTGCGTGGGCCGCCAAGGCACGTTCACAGTGGTTGCGAGCTCGTAAAAGCCAACATACATACGTTGATAGTGGTAGCGATGTGAGCAAGAGGAGGCGAGCGAGACGTGCCACAATAGATGGGCTCGAGGACTGCATGATGGGCATCCTCATGCCAATATCCACCGTGGTAGTAAGGGCTATGGACCACTTGTGACCGTGGCCACAACCACGCCGCCGATTAGGACATTTGTTTTATTCAATTATTTATTTTTTATGATATGTTTTGCCACTAAAAAAAATTTAAGTATGACTTATACTTGTTGACGAAAAAAATCGAACACATCGGCCTGGAAGATCTGCTTAGCTCCTGTGCAAGTCCAAAGATTGATGAGATGCGGGCGTGCCAGTCAGTTTGATCCTGCAACTGACAAGATATGCAAATAGCAGATCAAAACAGCCGATCGGCTGACAAGCCGATGGAGTAGTTCCAGCCGATAGCCGATAACAGCCGATGCCGATACCAGCCGATAGCCATAGGGTTTAAGCAATCGGCTATATATCCAATGTAGATAATGATATAAAGGCAATCGGCTGATGATGATATAATAAAATAACAATATAGTCCTGTATAAACCAATCGGCTAGCAATGATATGATAAATAAGCATCGATCCGAGGGTTAAAGCACACATCGGCTGGAGGTCCGATATCATGAAATCCACAAGATTAGATTAAACAGTGAAACCTTTGTTGTCATCGGCTAAATCCAACTTATATGTATATGCAATCATTATAAGCCGATGCAGCATCCAGATAACTCACCGGCTGAAACCCCGATGAAACCCTTATTGGCAATCAAGAAGCAGGCTAGAGATTATGGTTCTAAGCACGACTTAGTAGATCAAACTTAACTAATGCAGTACTAGGTATGAAAAGAAACATAATACCTAGACAATCAAGCCGTTGACTGAGTTTTTAGGGTGGTAGATGTCTAAGCTAATCTAATCTAGCAACGCGATTTAGCCGATACCGGCAGAAACCCTAAAACGAGAAGCAGTCGATAGAGCTAAATTGACATACTAAGACTAGATTATCAGAGACATATGATAAATAGGTAGGTAAATATATCATCCAAACCAGAGCAATCCAAGAGGTCGAATGTATTGATGCAGTCTTGAACGACGCCGACGTAGACGATACAATTGCCTGGACCGGCGGAACATTGGACTTATCCCTTCGCCGGAGATCGAAGACGATGCAGCTCCGCGTCGGGTGCCAAGTCCCATCGGAACGTAAAAACAAAAGTAGAAGTAAAAAAGGTGGCGATGCGCCGAATTGTATTGATCATGAAGATAGATTACAATGACACCAGGTATACATATTTATACCCATAGGTTGATACAAGTCCTTGTCGGACAAGAAAGAAACCTTCCTAAATATAAAAGGAAAAGATAAAGTCCTTATAGGACATTAAACACACTTTTCTAAAGATAAAAGGAAACTAACAAACTATTCCTAATTAATAGATAAACTGCCATGCCACATCCTCTTTAAACTCGGTCACTTAGGGATAAGCTTTCTTTAGTAGATTAATTTCCTTAAACGAATATAGGAGGAATCCGACTATTGACGACTTGATAACTCCCATCGGCTGATTCCGAGATGCTGTAGCCGATAATGATTCTAAGCCGATGACGTCTTTGCCGATTACCAAATTTCACTGTTAACAATATTTTAGCAAGTTTATATTAAATTTTCTAAGCAATATGAATATTCCAATACTAGATTAAAAATTAACAGCGTTCCGTATTAAAAACCGGAGATACTATTAACTTGGGTTTAAGGTGGAATTGGGGCCTTAAAGCCACGGGCGAGAGATGGATGGAGTCATGGTCTCATGGAGACGAGAAGAGGAGGAGAAGCCGAAAGGAAAAAGTACACCGAAGGTCCCTCAACTTGTCACCGAGTTTCGAAAACACCCCCAACCGTACAACCAGATATTCGGGGTCCCTTAACTAATTAAAACAAGTCAAAATGGGTCCTTTGATGATTTTGACTCCGGTTTTGGTTTACGTGACGGTTGAGTCAGCGTGGGACCCACGTGGGCTCTACATGTCAGTGTGGCCACATAAGCCTCCCCCTCTTTCCCCTCCTTTCCCTTCTCCCCCCTCTCTCTCTCTATCTCTCTCTCTTCTCTTCTCTTCTCTTCTCTTCTTTGGGCAAGCCGGCCGGCGGCGGCGGCAGTGGCCGGTCGCGAATGGCGTCGGCGACGCTGCGTCGCCGCCGTCAGCGAAGTGGCCCCGCGCGAGCGGGCGCCGCGGCGTTGGGCGTGGAGGTGGAGGCGAGGCCGTCTCGCGTCGTTTAAGTCCCCGTCTCGGGCGGCGAGGATGAGGTTGACGTCGACCGCCGCGGGGTGGCGCGTGCCTCTCGGAGTCGTTCACCGCTCGGCACCGGCTTCATCGACAACCCGCTCAGCACCGGCTTCAGCACCGCGCCGTCCCTCGCTGCCATCCCCACCAATCAGTCCGTCGGCCGGTTTTGTCGTAGTGCAGGCGGCGACGGGGAAAGAGAAGGCAGGCGGCGGCCGGCGCGCGAGAGGGCGGCGGTGGTGGGGAGGAAGGGGACAGCTATCGTTGCACGATATTTTTCTGGTGTTGGATCTGCTGGAAGACTCATGCGAGTCATTAGTTGGCAGCATCGTTGCAGAGAATGCAAAGCGTTTCTGCTTGATCTGAATGAAGCTATCTGGAGGCAATGTAAGCATCATTTTTCCATGTAACCATGTTCAGTATCTATCTATGCCATTTGATTGCGATTCAGATAACCAGAAAACACTCACATCAGCATGCATGTACCCATGTTCATACAATGTCAAGCTGGAGACATACTTATATCTTTCATGTACACCATGATTTACACTGTAATAAAATCACCAACTCGAATTAGAGAAGCTGAACTGTTTTGTTAGTAACACATTGCACATGCAGGAAGAAGCCAAGCCACCCCTCGCCGAGGAGCAGCGCGACCTCGGCGTCAGCGACGACGGCAAGGTAGTAGACGCCGCCTCGCCGATGGGCTCAGGGGACTACGAATCCGACGCGTACGTGGCCTCGGCGGTGTCCCAGTGGACGCCCACAGCCGTGCCAGTGGCGGTGGCGAGGACCTGCTCCCGCGCTTCTTGTGCAGCACATGGTGGGCGCACCTCGACGACGGCGAGGCCGGTGGCTCCGGCAGCGTTCTGCGTCCACGTGACCCGGATGAGAAGCTCCTTCCCGAAGTGCAGCGAGGCACCGTACACCGCCGTGGTCGCCGCCTGCAGCTTGCGATCCAGAGCACCGCCGCGCCCAGAGTCACTGGCGGCGGCGGCGGCGATGCCGACCGAGCTGTCGCCGAAGCACAACGACTCCCGCGTCGCCTCCGGCTTTGGTTTTTCTTCCGGCGAGATTAACTGCTGCTTGCTGTTGCTGCTGCAATAAAAGAGAGAGTTGACGTGGCACGCTGACATGTGGAGTCCACGTGGGTTCCACGCTGACTCAACCGTCACGTAGGCTAAAATCAGGGTCAAAACCACCGAGGGACCTAAAGCGAACGTTTTGTTAGTTAAGGGTCGTCCGGTATTTTTGCGGTTCGTGGACGATTTTGTATGTCGATGACAAGTTGAGGGACCTTGGGTGTACTTTTTCCAAGCCGAAATGATGCGGGCCTTTTGGCTCTTTTCTGGGCCCAGCTGAGGCCTAGTCCAGGCGACGCGGAGGCCCAGCTTATGCACTGGATCCTTCACATGGGCAGCAAGAATGGAATTTCTGCGGAAAAAGTACAACGAAGGTTCCTCAACTTGTCATCTAGTAAAAAACGTCCTCAAACCGCAAAATCAGATATCCGGCGTTTCTCAACTTACAAAACCGTTCACTTTATATCCTTTTGTGGTTTTGAGTCCGATTTTATTCAATGTGGCGGCTGAGTCAGCGTGGACCCTACGTGTCAGGATACCACGTCATCTCTATCCTCCCTCTCTTCTCTCGCTTCCTTGGTTCCTCCTCTCTCTCTGTCTTCTCTGCCTAGCCAGTCAGCGGGGTGAGATGGGAGAGGAGGAAGGTGTCCCCACGACGGCGGCCGCCGGCGGCAGCGGGGAAGCACAGCGCGGCAGCCCGGTGGCGGCCAAAGATGGACTCGGGGACAGCAGCGAGGCGGGAACAACGCGGACGTCGACGGGGAGGCAGGGCAGAATGCGATGGCGAGCGCCTCAGCGCCCGCGAGAAGGAGAGATCAGGGCTCGTTAGGGTTCTACCTCTTTTGCAGCATTGATCCATCATCCATCGCTGGCAAATGCATCGTGTCACAGTATGTTCCCCGATGACGAGTTGAATCCGGATAGATCAGCCCAGCCGCGCCGCCGCTGACGTCGCCGCCTCCCGGAGCGACACCGGCGCCGCTGCCACCTGTGGTGCTGCCTCCATTGTCGCCGCCTGCGCCGTTGCCACCGCCCCAGAATTGGAGGTTGCCGGGAGGCCCAAGAACTGGTAGTCGACGGGATGTAGTACCATGTAAAATGAGATGAGCCATGAGATTACTCGAGTACAGGTCCTGACCAATAGGGGTGGGTGTTCGGTTAGACCGAAAAATTCGGTCTCGGTCTTCGGTTTTTCGGTCAGTTCGGTCTTTGCAAACTCAGGACCGAATTTCATCAAAAAAAAACTCAGGACTGGCAAATTCGGTCTCGGTTTTTTCGGTCTCGGTCTCGGTCTGACCGAAATTTTTTAGGAGAGTTTGGAATGAAAAAATTTGGAACGCGCGGTGGAGGGCGGAGGCGTCGGCCGCGGCGCGGTGGAGGACGGCGGCGTCGGCTGCGGCGCGGTGGAGGACGGCAGCGGCCGCCGCGCGGTGGAGGGCGGAGCCGGAGGCGGCGGCGCGGTGGAGGCTGGAGGAAGCGGCGGCGGTGGCACGGTGGGGGCTGGAGGAGGAGGCTGCACTAGTAGTAGGGTTAGTATCACTTCTAGGGTTTGTTTTAGTGGGCTTATTGGGCTTCCTAAGTCTATTGGGCCAAAATTTCGGTCATTTCGGTTATTCGGTTAACCGAGCCTAATAACCGAAATGACCGAAATAAATTCGGTCTTTTGAGGGCTGGGACCGAACAGATAACCGAATTTCTCGGTCTCGGTCTCGGTATTTTCGGGTCGGTTCTTCGGTTCGGTCTAAATATGCCCACTCCTACTGACCAAGAAAGCAAAACCATTCATTTCACTGTGGCAAGTTTGCACAGCGACAACGTCCTTAACCAGCCACCAATAGCCCCGCCGCTGCCGAGCTGGTAGTCGACAGGATCCAACGAGCTCAATCCGGGAAACCCTAGCCTCGACGCACCGGTGCTGTAGTGATCGCCGCCGCCGAGTGGGTGGTGCAACGAGGGCTTGAACGACAGCTGCGCCTGCGGCGGCATCATGGCCGCGGCCGCCACCGCGGCAGCGCTGCTGCCACCCGTGGCGGTTGACGAGGTGGACGACAACATGCTGCCGGTGGCGGAGGCCGAGGCGGCCGACAACGATGACAACTTGGATGACCCGCCGCCGGCGGGGATGTTGCGGACAGCGCGCCGCCGCGCCTCCAGTAGCGCAGAGAAGTGAGAGAGATGAGGAAGGGAGAGAAGAGAGGAAAGAGAGAGGAGCTGAGGTGGACACGCTTACACGTGGGATCCACGTGGGTCCCGCGCTGACTCAAGGATAAAACCGGGTGTAATACTGTCCTGGACCTATTGTAACCTGTTTTAATTAGTTAAGGGACGTTGAATATCTGGTTTTACGGTTTGAGGATGTTTTTTAACTCGATGATAAGTTCAGGGGCCTTCGGTGTACTTTTTCCAATTTCTGCTGATGATCTGACTGAAATGTGGGCCAGGGAAGGGCTCGTTCAAAATTTGGGCATAGCATCACTGCATGGAAAATCAAAGTAGTCACCTATGCAATTAACACTTGTGCACTTAAAAGAAGGTTAAATTTTGTGCATGTTGTGCATGCACATTTCTGGAAAAATTCGGGAAGAATCAAATGTGCTTTCGGGAGATGATAGTTAAATGAGGGCGATGAAACCATAGAACTTTGAATTATGTGTACAATTCATATTTTCTGTATCTTACAACCATATAGCCTGTAGTTTTATGGAAATAAATTACTAGTTAGCTAAGACAGTGTCCATACTCTTTAGTAACCAATTGAAATTTCTAGTAAGAAAGCAATTAACATTTCATCCTATAGTTTCAAAATAGACGTTTTCAACTCTAAAATACGACGGAACATGTAAATACGTGCTTTTAAAAAATCACTGCTAAAAATATTATTCAGGTATTTTACGTATACTGATGAATATTTGAATGCCAGATAAAACGCGTATGTTAGTTTTAGACTCCATTTTCGGGCTAGTCATGCAGCCGTTTGGGCTCCACCGCTATATGCTACACCATAGATTGTGAAAATCGCGTGAATAAGACCTTATTTAGATGGGACTAAAACGTCTCTATCACATCGAATGTTTGGACACTAATTATAAATATTACACATAGGCTATTAATAAAACTCATCCATAATCTTGGACTAATTCGCGAGACGAATCTATTGAGCCTAATTAATCCATGATTAGCCTATGTGATGCTACAGTAAACATTATCTAATTATAGATTAATTAGACTTAAAAAATTTATCTCACAAATTAGCTTTCATTTATGTAATTAGTTTTGTAAGTAGTTTATATTTAATACTCTAAATTAGTGTCTAAATAAACACCACTTAAAGTAGTCCGTAGCAAGAAAAGTCTCTTGGTCGTACAGGCTCGATGGCATCACTGGCCAGCCCATATTCCCGCTAAAACAACTTATTAGGAAATAAAAACTAATCCATAGGCAAAACTTTCATATATTTATTCGTACCAACTTAAAAGCCAATATTACAAAAATTATGTTGAAAATATCTTAAAATCAACTTTAAAATTAAGTTCGAAAATTTCAATTTTGGCTTTTGCTCTGACTTATTAGGTTAACCGACGAGACTCGCTGGCTTTACCACTGTTCACGGTCGCACTCTAGCAACTTGCACTGCCTTCTCACTTCTCAGCCATCTCTCCCTATCAAAACATTATCCTTGCTTAAGAAGAGAAAGTGGAATCTTTAAAGAGATGTAGAGACCTATCCAAAACACTCTTTTCATAAATTGAACCTAGACCACTCCTTTTTTTGTGTGTCTACACACAGTTTTATGATGATCACCGAGTGAATCCACTTTAGCATATCATACTGGAAAAATACAATTGGCTTTTAATTTGGCCAAACGCATGTGACTCACATCTGATCAATTTGGTTCCAAAAGGACAAGGCAATTCTTATAGAAAAAAGTTTAAAACCGTAAAGCTAAATCCTAAAGCTAGGCAAAGACTAAACAACGTAGTGAGAGTTCAGATAACGTAGTGCCAGTTGGTTGCTTTTGAGGTTAGCCCGTACACAATTTGGTTTGCAAAGCTAAACTTTCAAATGCCTAGAGAAAGGAAAAACATTGGTTCCAAGAGTTATTATTCTAATGGCACACCCTCGCAGTTAAGTCTAGCTATGATCAGCAACTATGTCACAGACTAGAATATACTTTTGACGTAAACAACTAACAACCTCATCTTTTCGGCTGTGCTTATAATTATCAGCCAAAATTTAAATTTTTAATCTTAAATTTAAAGCTGATTTTGGGGTTTTTTCATCGAAGTTTATTTTTCAATTATTGCTTTCAGATCGCTAAGAACAATATATAAAAATTTTATTTGCACATTATTTTTCGTTTGTAAATATGCCATTCGGTTTATTCCCCGAATAACCAAACGATGGGGCCATAAGGCTCCTTTGGAGACAATGAATTATGTACATTTTTTTTAGCAAAAATGAAATTGTTTTCTACGGAAACCATGTGAAATTCATACATTTCAAATGAGCTACTTTCTCTGTTTAATGTTACTAAGACTTTTGGGTTTTGAATAGGCTCTATTTCATATTACAAGACTTTTTGGGTTTCGAATAGGCTTTGTTTCATATTACACTATTTCGAATAGATTTATGCATGGATCTATATGTGCTTCAAATATATGTCTGCATCATATGAATCTAGACGATGAATAGAGATAACAAAACGTCTTATAACATGAAATTGAGGAAGTATGTAGAAAAGACATATTTGAATTTTTTTCACATAAATAAAAGTGTTTTCGAAAAGCCAATGCCAAACACATTTGCAATGGTCTACCATCCTTTAGTTGGATCAATAATCCTTGTAGTTTTCTACACTGTTGATAGTCATGACTCATCACTTTGTCTTTGCTGCAGTATCTGCCTGCCTTGTCAGCATTCCATTTCCCTCCCTTTAGCTAGTAGTATAGCTTCCTCACCTCGCCGGCCACCGCTCCATCGCTGCCGTGCCGGCGCGCCACCGTGAGATCTCTCTCCCCCGACATTCTCTCGGAGACACAGAGAGAGCAGCAGGGACAAGGAATCGGACGAACAGTTTGTGTCAGAGAGAGAGAATAGACGAGAGCTCGGATGCAACGCAAGAGATCGGATTCCATGCTTGCTCCGCCATTGCCATTCCGTTCTTGGCAACTTTGATCCCTCGCTTGCTCCGGCCATCCACGGCAACCAACCCCAACCAGGAAGGTCACCAGCGAGAGGAGGATCGGAGGAGGATAAGTAGCCGTGGGTGCTTGCCGCCTCGCTGATGGCCCTTGCCGCCGCGCCGCCATGCCCCGCACCGCAAGAAAAGCTCGTGTCCTCCTGCTGTCCTCGCCGCCGCCGCCGCCGTCGCCGCCGGTGATGCTTCGGCGTGGCGGGGTGGTGTTGTTGTTGGTGGTGGTGGTGCTCGGGCTGCTCGCCGCGCGGTGCGACGGGAAGAAGGTGTCGTCGTTCGTGGGGACGTACGGGGTGAACTACGGCAGGATCGCGGACAACCTGCCGCCGCCGACGGAGGTGGTGAAGCTCCTCCGCATGGCGCGGATCAAGAACGTGAAGATCTACGACGCCGACCACACCGTCCTCGACGCGTTCCGCGGGTCGGGGCTCAACCTGGTGATCGCCGTGACCAACGGCGAGGTGAAGGACATCGCGGCGAGCCCCGCCAAGGCCATGGACTGGCTGAACGAGAACGTCCAGCCCTACTACCCCTCCACCCGCATCGTCGGCATCACCGTCGGCAACGAGGTCCTCGGCGGCGCCGACGCCGGCCTCGCCGAGGCCCTCATCGGCGCCGTCGTCAACATCCACGACGCGCTCAAGATGCTCGGCCTCGCCACCAAGATCGAGCTCACCACGCCCCACTCCGAGGCCGTGTTCGCCAACTCCTACCCGCCGTCGGCGTGCGTGTTCCGCGACGACCTCATGGTGTACCTCAAGCCGCTGCTGGACTTCTTCTCCAAGACCGGCGCGCCGTTCTACGTCAACGCCTACCCGTTCCTCGCCTACATGAGCGACCCGGCGCACATCGACGTCAACTACGCGCTGTTCAAGCCCAACGCCGGCATCTACGACGCCAAGACGAGGCTGCGCTACGACAACATGTTCGAGGCGCAGGTGGACGCGGCCTACTTCGCGCTGGAGGCGGCGGGGTACCCGGAGATGGAGGTGAGGGTGGCGGAGACCGGGTGGGCGTCCGCCGGCGACGCGACGGAGGCCGGCGCCGACCCGGCGAACGCGAGGGCGTACAACTTCAACCTCAGGAAGAGGCTGTTCCTGCGCAAGGGGACGCCGTACAGGCCGGGGAGGGTGGCCAAGGCGTACATCTTCGCGCTGTTCAACGAGAACCTCAAGCCGGGGCCGACCACCGAGCGCCATTACGGCCTCTTCAAGCCCGACGGCAGCGTCTCGATCGATCTGGGGTTCAAGGGCCTCGTCCCTTCGTCGTCGTTGCCATCGTCGTCAATTATCTCATTCAAGGTACACTTACTTATTGTTCTATTCTTGTTGGTCGTCTTTGTTTTTGTTTCGCCATGGTTGATGGATTGAGCTTCTTGATTATCTTTGCTTTGATTTGCCATGGTTGATGGATCGAGCTTCTTGATCGTCTTTGCCTCTTTGCTTCGATTCGCCATGGTTGATTGATCTTCTTTGCTTCGATTCGCGATCGACTGGACTTCTTAGTTTTATTTGGACATGGTTGATTGGTTGACCTTCTTGGTAGTCTTTGCTTCGCCATGGTTGATCAGTTGAGCTTTTCTTATGGTAGTCTTTTGCTTTGCTATGGTTGATTGATTGAGGTTTATGATAATCTTTCCTTTGATTCGCCATGGTTGATTGAGATTTATGGTCGTCTTTGCTTGATTGATTGAGATTATTGTTAGTCTTTGCTTCGCCATGGTTGGTTGATTGAGCTCCATGATCACCTTTGCTCGATTGATTGAGCATATCGATAGTCTTTGCTTCACCTTATTGATCGTCTTTGCTTTGCCATGATTGATTGGTTGAGCTTAATGTTAGTCTTTGCTTCGGCATGGTTGATCGATTGAGCTTTTCTTTGATGGTCTTTGCTTTGATTCGCCATGGTTGATTGATTGAGAATTTGAGGTGAGATTGATTCTTGATGTTCCTGTTTTATTGCAGAGAGCTCGAGAAAGGGGATGGATGGCGCTTGTACAGTACTCGGCTACACTTCTGTCATGTACATTCATTTTTCTAGTTTTAAGTTAGTGATCTGATTACAACCAGATTAATTAGTTACTAACTGTCAATCGATCCGTCATGCCCATGTGAAAAAAAAATATTCGTTCTTTGGATGCAAATTCCACGAAAATTGTGGCATAGAAATTCAAAAGAGTTGTCCCTTCCTGTACATAGTCTCTGTTCCTCTTGTAGTCTTGTAGCAAACGATTATCTAGATGTAGTTCTTATTTCTGAATATGTTCTTCTCATGCTCCAGAGCTCAGCAATCAGCATAACCTCCAGAACTTAACCTAAGTACATAACTATGCCACTTTCCCCTTTTTCAAACCAGAATTTGAATTACATTACACCAAATAAACTTCTCCTAAATTGAAACATTACTAGTTGTGTAGTTTCATTTTTTGAACTATCAGATTAGAATTTCCACTACTACGACTTGAATTTAGAGCCTTCTGAATTACTCAAGGCATCTGATTGCTACAAGCTATGAAATGAAACACCATGCTTCTGTTCTGAAGTTAAGGATTACTTGTGCGACATTGAAATCCAATCATCTTCTGCCTGAAACAACAGGGCAAAGATAAGGAGATTTGTGATGCTTTGCTTATTGCAATGATCCACATAAATAAAAGAAGTTTCAACACGTTGACAGGAGACTAGCCTGCAGGCATATTCCTGTGACTTGCCATCCGTTCTTTTTTTTTTCGTCGTTTCTTTTTGCAAAGACAAGACTGAAAAAGCAGATGCAAAGCGATGATGCATCAGATAGGATGCTGATGTTGTTGAAGAAACAGTTGCTTCGTCACAATCTTTCTTTCACAGGGCTAAAATGATATGCGTATCTTTCACTTTCTGATCCTTGAGCAAAGCTGGGCATCTGAAAAATCTGAAGGACATGGCAGGAAAAAGTATCCTACCTTTTATAATTTTTCTCCTCTCGTTTTTAATTTACGATGACCTTTTTTTTAAAGAGAAAACAACACGAGATTGTGCCTTTTTATTAAATATAGCGAGAGAAAAATACAACCCCTAAAGATAAGAAAAGGAAAAGAGAAAAATATCTATGCACTTTATCTTCTACCTTAGTCTGATCATATCATGATATCATTTGAAGAATCTATGGTCCAATGGTCATAGCACGTACTGGTATCTGAACATGATTGATCACTACGAATACACTACCTGTAGCCGATGTTAATTAATGGTATGATCATGGGGGTAGTACTGCACAAACTTTAATGTCGACAAATCCATGAACAAAAAAGTGCGGAATGAATTGAGCACAAACTTAAATATAGATCAATCAGGGGAAGCTTGGGCGAAATGAGTTGGACTACTTCAGAAAAATCTTGGACTAACAAAAAAATGACCTGTACTACTTCAGAGAAATCTTGGACGAAATATTGGTGTGACAAAAAAAAGTAAAGGAGTGTAGAACTAATGCGCATCCAGGGAATCGAACCCTGGTCAGTACCGTGGGAGGGTACTATGATACCACTACACCAGATGCGCTTACATGCCTACAAGGACAATGTTTCATTATATCTGTTGAGCAAAAGTATCAACTTACCTTTGTAACTGTTCGACGGCAGATCAAATTAATATCAATCCTAAACTTAGTTTGCCCCATGGAATGGAACTACTGAAGACGGTTAGTGCTTATACTGTGTTGAGCCAAAAAAAATGGGTCGCCAATTTGGTTGTACCGTACCGTACGCAACTGTTGCGACAATTCTTGGTTTCATATCACAAGTATTTTGAATTTTATTTTCCTAATTAAATTCTTTTAAGTTTGTAAAAAGATATACTAAAATTTTTAACACAAAACAAGCATACCCACATTATATTTAAAATAAAACTAATTTAGTGTTATAGATGTTTCTAACTTTTTTTTATATATAAACTTAATCAAACTTAGATATAAAAACGGTGGGAGGGAGTACTACATTGGAGTACTCCAGTACGCTCGCGCCATCGTGCAACAGAAGATCTCCCAACTCAACCATCTCACGAGCGCGCAAAGCTAGCCGGGCGCCGCGCTCATGCCAACCGCCGCCACCACCAGCCCTACCACGGCGCCGCGGCCGATCGAGCACGCGGCCGGCGCCGTTCGTGTGTGCGACAAGGTTGAGAGAGCCACCGCCCGCCGGCGACGCGGATGCCATTGCCGGAGGCAGAGGCGCGCGCGCGCCGGAGCGCGTTCGTCGGCCCGCTCCTCGGGCAAGCTCAACCCGCCGGCGGCGGCGGCGGCGGCGCGGCGCTGTCCACGGGCCACGGCTCCATGCGCGACGCGACTGGAGCGCACCCTAGATCTTGTCAAGGTCAGGTCGCCAGCTAACATTCGCACGCCTGCAGGGTGTTCGTCCAGATGCAGGCCGCGCATACATCCTGTGGCCTCTGCCATGAGCTGTGGCCATATGCTTCTCCACAGGTCTCACCCTCCCCTACCAGCTGTCTCACTTCCCCAACTCATTTTTGTTGCAAGTAGTTACTACTAAATGCAAAGAAAAAGTTACCATTCACATCTTAGTAATAAAATCCACAAAATAAAATTTGATCCATTCAACATCCTGGTGCAAAACTATGCGCTCAAGCTTATGACAGCTTTTTTTTTTTAAAGAAGTCTTTCAACATCCATGGATTTCCTTGTAACAGCTTTAACATATGTAAGTTACACTAACAAAAACATGTTTATGGCTTTCAATTCCATCTAATTTCATATACACTGGTGACTGGTTCATCTCTTCCTCTATCAACTCAAGGCTGCACCACTGTTTATTTGCATCATCATGGGAATATAATGATGCAAGACCTTGCTGCTGCTGCTGCTGCTATATTCCCCCCAGAAAATGGGGGGTTGTCAACAAAATTACTGACATGGACAGTAGTAATCAACTTCATCAGATTCAGAAGTCACCAGCACTGGTTAAGGTGTTCTGCAGATGGCCAATGTTTTGGCTAAACCTTGTGACCATTGGCGGATCCATTCTGCTCACCGATCTTCTGGAATTCAGCTTGGATGACCTCAACAATCTTTGCGTCATCGGGGTCAGGCTCGGGAATGCTGACATGTAATGATCCCATCTTGATGAGTTCCTTGCACGATGCTAGCTCCTCAATGTGACCATAAAGCTCTTTGTGGAAAGGATGGTCAAGTGAGTAGCAGTCATCAGCGTCAGTAGATGAATGTTTGGATGAGCCAGAGCCCTCCCGGCGGCAGAAATGTGGAAGAGATGAATAGTCCATAATCTACGTTAGCCAATAAATGAAATATTCAACATACTAATATTGAAGAAAATCAACGGAAGAATCGTTTGTTCTGTGCCACTACATTCACTCTGTTATGAACGATCTGTGAAAAGAAACAAGTAGCCCAGTGAATTACTGAACTTACCTTCAGAAGTTCATCTCTTCCACAACCATGCAAAACTTTAACCTTCTTTTTTGTCCTCTCCTGCAACAGGGGTTTCACAACCTACCAGAAAGATCAAATGAAATGTCTGAGCTTTCGGCTTTCACTACAAAATTATTAGCACAGCATTAGGCTAGAATAAATCATATACCTTCCAACATGCAGAAAATATATAGGGAACATTAACTACATAGTACGTCTCCGTTTTTTCAGGGTAGTTCAAATCATCAACCGTTGAGATTGAAGTCAACATCTGTAATCCATATTGACAAAAATCATGTCACCCTATATTGCCAGAAACAACGGAAGTAATAGAGAAAATTGTATGAAATTTGAGAAAGAATAGCATAAAACATACCTTCATTTGGCTCAGTGCTGACAACTTCAAGCCAGTCATGTCCAAAACTTTTACACAGGTGGTAACAGGCCGCCCAAATTTTTCCGTCAACATGGGCTAATTTGGAGATATATATTTTCATAAGAAAAGTTTCTATGCATTAACATAAATATATTGGAATCTTTATTCTCATACTCACCAAAATTACACGATCACGGTACTCATTAATCTGAATATGAGATTGCACATAGTAATGGACCTGAAAATGTAATATTTCTACTCTTAGTGGACAAAGTGGGTTTAAGTAAAATGGGGTAGAGCACCACAAAACTGTAAGTTGATCTTATGAGATCATTAACCATGATTTAGGTTACTAATCGGTGATAATATTATGTCAATAAGTTACATCACCATCACAACTAACATTTAAGTACACAACAAAAAGTAAAATCTAGCTTCATGACTTTGGCTGCAGCCTATTCAATAAATAGTAGTCATCATCTCATAATTACCGAAGCTTTGTCATATGTGCTCTGCCCAACACCAACGGCAAAAACTGGGAGACCCTATAAAAGAAATAGAAGAAAAAAATGTAGTAACATATTTCTTACGTTTTAGTAACCAGAGTCCAGAGTAGCATTCTTGATTTATTTTTGGCATAAAGAGCATCAGAGAGCGGATAGTAAGCATGGTTAATAGAAAATATCTACAGGAAGTCAGGAACTAGAAGTCCTTATGTGTCAATCAATAGCACTACGGAAAGGACATTAAAAGTGGGCAAGCCGAATGCACAATTGCAAGTGAGAAAATTATCCTAATTGTAAATCCATGCTGGGACATGTATAATGCATTTTTATACATATCAAACACATGAGAATTTACCTAGTATCTAATAATAAAAAGGCTATGAAGTCAGCTGAAATGATCAAAACTTAAAGCAAGAACATATTGTAAGACACCACACTCTAGTTTGAATTCTACACTGATAATCTTAGGTCATATCTTGCTTTACAGACCCAAAAATTGCTGCCACTGAGACATCAGATTACGGACCATTCAGTGTATTTACCTTTTCTATTGTCTACAAAAGTACTACAATTAACCGAAATGCGCCCGTAAATGATTAAACTACGAACCAAGTTGTTTGCCAAACCCCACTGAAACAAACACATGCATGTTCTATGCATATAGAGTAAAACATGTAGACAAATAGTTACATCAGGATCAATGTATGCTGGACAAGAAACATACTTCAACACAATCATTTGGGAGTGTGGCCATACCTCCTTTGTGTATCCTGAGAGTCCAACAAGTTGTGAATCACGGATTGATCTGTACAAATCTACTGGGACTATAGGTCTCTGTATATGGTCAATGTAGACAGTGATCAGCAATTATGAAATAACGTGCAAGATCAACATAATGACTATAAGTTTGCTTGACGAAAGGTATGAGTAACAAGAGACTGAAACTGAAGACCAATAAGCGACTCAGCCATAAATTTCTGACAGGATTGTAGTCTAGAAGAGTTAGTCACCTCCAGAACAGTATCGATTTCGTTTTGAATCCTCCAATTCAAAGAGTCTACAAGCTGCATATACATAACCAGCTAAGCAACAATAAATTCAAGAGATCATCTCTCCTCAGTATAGAATGGATAAATATGAAATTCGTTACCATTTTATGAGCCTTAGATACGTTCCACTCTCTGGCCTTAAGGAAACGCAATAATGTTTCTTTAGGATAGCCCTGGTGCACATTCTGAGAAAAGAGATACATTTAGATATTCCTTAATTCAAGCAATATTCACTTCACAAGTCACATGTAAGGATGATTTGCAAATCAATCATATCGCATAAAAACCATCCAAGTGAAGGAATTCAAGAATCAGCAACGAATACTATATCCCAAGGAACATAAAATGGCTGCATTATGTATATGTTCTAGTCATGCATACAAGTATGGACTGTTGGTGCAAAGGTAGGTTATATAGTGTAATATATGCTGGTTATGGTATTTGGTTTACTTCCCTTCAGGGTTGTAAGTATTTTTGTGAACACAAATAGTGACAATCTTTTTCAAGATTATGTAACTCTCAGACGACTCTAGAAAGGAATAAAACTAAGTGTATTGACTATTGTTGCATAGAGGAAAGAGAGGAATAATTCTGAATCGCTTTTTCTGGAAACTATTGTTGGAAGGGGTGATTGGATGGACAATGGAATAACAGGTTCTTTGGGTGGCTCTCGTCCATTTTAACCCCAGTTGACTAGTTCTTAGGGCAAGTGCTATGATAGATGTGACTACCATCTCCAAATTTATTTATTTTATTCACTCATGAACTAAAAGGCAACCCATACAATGTATCACCTCTAGTACACAAATACCAATATGTCTAATATTCTCACACACTTTTTGAAATTTGTGTGGAGGTTGCCTCTTGATTTAGGGGTGGCTCATCTTCTCTCTCCTCACTTCTCTCCTCCACCTCATCACTCAATCCAATGTGGCACTCTTAGGGGCAACATATGGTACATTATAGTACTTGCCCTTAGTAAAAATATCAAGCAAGCATTGAGTCAGCTATTGATCTTCTAAGGGAAATGCAACTGAAACAATAAACATGTACGTAGGAGTTAGGAAGAGTCCAGCTTCAGTTAATGGAGCAGCCACATCACTTGTTTGGTTACTGCATGTTTCCCAATCCTTGGCCACTACAACAAACAGAATTGATTCTGCATTTCTTACAGGTTGTGATGCGGTAACTTTCATACTTAGTTGCGCTCCCCTAACCAGTATATTCCACTCCAGGACAAGTTGACATCTCATAACCTCATACGTGTAACATGTTGCCTCTTAACTTTCAGAGAACATTTAGGAAACCGACAAGCGATAACGCCATGTATTTGGCACGTGTCAACAGATTTAGGCTACATAGCTGGTTTACATTAGTAGCCAAGAAAGGAATATCGCCAGCACTCAGAAAAGTTCCTATGGAACTGGTAGCAGCGAATGATATACTCAATGATGATTGTCGAATAACTCCAAAACAACTTAGCTCCTTAATAGACTTGGAGATCAGTATAATTCAGACACTTCCTCTGTTGCAGGAGACAGCACGATTCCCTCGCCATGAACGAATGTCAACCCATGCAACCATTGCGAATTTCATTGAACACGCAAAGCCCCTAAACTTACTACACTAGACAAATCAAACGCTAGCATTCCCTCGCTTACTCATTGGCATTACACAAACTCTACATTCCTTGTTTCCGTCCATGGATCAAGCACCATTATCCAATCACATCACTTCCCTAGCAGTCCATCACTACATTGACCAATAATGTAATTTTCAAAAAAAAAAAATCCATTTTAAACTAATGATCTATTATATCAGATATAAAGACCCTAACTCTGACAAGCTCGCTCTCACGATCTAAATCAGATCAAATCACGCAGCTCTGCTAAAATCAGCTAATCCACACCATGATCCAACCACACAGACTACAACAAAAATCTACAAGAACCATCACCAAGATCCAAGCTGGCACAGGCTGCCGACATAGGGCACCCCAGATCCGTACCTGAAACGTCCTCCTCAGCGGCGCCTCCACTGCAAAGATCCATCCAAGCAACCCCCACCTCGTCAGATCACCCCAAGAACCCGGCCAGCTCGAGCCGAAAACTAAAGCACACACGCACGCACCCACCTTGGTCCATGAGGAGGGCGAGCTGCTTGACGGCGTCGTCGGAGGCGGCCCCCATTGCCGCGGTCGGGGGAGATCGGGGCAAGATTTGGGGGCAGGTGAAGGGCGTGGTCGTCCTCCTCCCGATCGATCTCGGGGTTGTGGGGGTTCGTCGAGGCGTGGGAAATCCGGAGGCGTCACTCCTACTCCTACTCCTTCTCCATCTCCAGCCCGCGAGGTGGTGATGCGTACGTTACACTATACGGAAGGAAGGGAAGCTGCTTCTGTGCTGCTGCTGCTGCTTCAGCTGATGCCGCTGCAGCTGCAGCTTCGCCTACTTTATGAGAGAGAGAGAGAGAGAGAGAGGGAGGGATCAGGAAGATCTCGCATTTTTTTTCCTAAAAAGGGCAAAACCAGAGGAAAAATAAGGATTTTTTTCCCTTGCTTGTCTTAACAGAAGAATATAATTAAAGAAAAAGGCTTGCTTGTCTTAACAGAGGAAAATAGGGATTTTTCTTGCTTGTGTTTTTATAACAAAAAAAATAGGTTTTTTTTCTCTTTTTTGGTGTTTTTTTAAAACTATATTCAATCTTTGCTCCGCTTGAAAAGTTGGATAGGCTTGTATATAGGTAGTGTATTCGTTTATTTGTAGTTACCTTCTCCCTCTATCCTAAAAAGAATAAACTTCTAGGGATAAATATATATAGCTACTTGTCCATATTCATTTCCTGAAGTTGGTTGGTTTTTTATAGGAGACAGAGCGAGTGTATGTGTTAAACTGTCAATTTCGTAGGTTATGGTACTGATGTCACTTTTGTTTTCTTTCAATGATGATATTTCATTTTATTATCGTATAGATTTTGTTTTTGATTCAAGCATGAATGAGTAGCAAAAGTGAGATTTGTTGTAAAAAAATGAGACAAATCCTCACTTGCGAAAATAAAATTATCTCTTTCTTTTATTTTGTGCAGTATCAAGTTAAAGTCTATCAACTACCGGCAGGCGGCAGCATGTCTTGAACTATTTAATATATGGATTGTTCAAATAAAAATTATATTGCTAAATTTGTTGGTGAAATCTACAATATCTTAATTTTAGTACTAACTATTTTAGGCATAAGTGGTCATTGCTCAATATTATCATATAATCCTTGCAATTTGATGGTTTCCAATGTTTAATAAAGAATGTATTTTTGTCAATGCCTTATCTAGTCGTTTTCACTTTTGTTATCTAGCTAACCAATTCTTAATAGGGACAAAAAAAAAGAGAGTTGTTTTAGTGGGCACAACTTTTGCACGCAGTATACTCTATACACTACTCCCATGATATATAGGAGGTGAGAGGACAAAAGAAAACCAAAGTTATTGCTTGCACTCCTTAACTATTGCTTCCAAGTTTCTATCACTGTATACCAACATTACATCAAGCATAAAAGTTGACTTTAGCTGTATGTAGTTTTAGGGAAAAACATGTGTGAGGTTGATGCCATATAAGAGCATCCAAAGCTGGAAAGAAATAGTTGTATATACCAAATTGCGCTACTCATTAAAAGTGAATTGAAGACTGTCTCTTAATTTCACCGAACTCCTTTGTTCCAATAACATTTTGCTTCCCTGCATTGTCATCCTTCTCTAACGTCCTGTAGTGCACCATCGTTTTCTATTTGTCTAAAGTCAATAAAATACCTATGTGATTCAAAATGGTACTTTTTAAAATTCAAATTCTCTAGGTAATTCAAGTCGACCTATAGGAGGAATACAGGGCTTGTTTGGTTCTTCACCCTACCAATTCATGAGTAGTGCCAAAGTCTAAGGCAAAATCTGACACTACCAAAATATTGGTAGTATTTTAGTAGGATAAAATTATTTAGTTAACATTTGAATTGTTACCGATATAAAGCCAAATTCTCATATCATAGTGGAGAAACTTCTAGAATATGACCAAATAGGATAGGGCCACTACCAAATATTTGGTCTCAATCCAAACTAACACTCATACTATTCAATTTGCCAATAAATTGGTAGGGCATGTTTTTGTTTCAAACCAAAACGGCCCACAATGCAAAAATCTTTAATCACAAGACAAGCACACCATCCAAACATTTTTTTCTGAAAAATAAGGATGATATTTCTATTTAGAAAGAAGCTAGGATGTCTACTAACATGAGTGAGCAATACAATGTTGTAGTTTGGAGTAAGCTCGCTCCTTGATTTTGTTAGGATTCAATAAAGTTGTAACTTGGTAGACCTCCTTTGGCTAGCCCGGTATAAAAAAAGTCGACTTTGTATTGGTAGTAACCAATGTATCAATGGCACCGTAATATGCACACATGCTTTGATAATGGACAGCTAAAAAATGTGTTTTCATCACCTATATCACAAAATCAAATCAAGAAAGTGCAAATCCTATTTGCGGGTGCCACTACTGAAGCAACACACAAAAAAAATCCCAACCCTTTTTTATCGTTCTAACCCAACTTATTTTTTAAGAACGGGCAACATCTCACAACCCAGCTTTTGGGAAAAAAATTAAACTAAACTTACAACCTTCCTTTTTAAAACAAATAGTCAAACTGTATGTCCTGTGTCTCTTCATTTCTATACTCTCCGCTTCCTAAAATATATATAAACATAATATATGATATGTGTACTGTGTTTATGTGTTTTGGAACAGAGATATGAGCAAAGCCACACTATAAGAGGGGGGGGGGGGGGCTAGGAATACATTAAAAAAAAAGAGGGGAGGGGGGGCTAGGAATACATTAAAAAAGAATTTAGATATGGTTAATCTATTTTTACCTTACGTGTATCCTTCCATACTCCTTTTGTCCCAAAATATAAAAACTTAACACTGGATAAGATGTTTCTTAGTATAATGTACGGTGTACTAAGAACGTCCCATACAGTTAAATGTTCTTATATCTTAGGACGGAGGGAGTATAAATTTAGATACCAGTATCTTAAATTTGGTCCAAAGTAGAGTAAACCATATGAGTAACATTGTCTTTATTTCGATCTAAATCCAAAATAGAGTAAAACAATCGCGTGACATCATCTTTATTTCGTTCGCTCCATCTCTGAACGGAGCAATACAATTTTCTTTTGGTTTAAACCTCCCTAGTACCATATCTAATATGTTTGATGGTTGGTTTTTGCGGTTGACAAGAAGATAAGTAAAACTCATACTCGTTGGAGCATCTGTCATTTGTTGGGCTCTGTGGTTGAGTAGGAATGATATGATTTTTGACAAATCAACATCTATCTCATATATGCAGGTAATATTTAAGGTAACATATTGGCTTAGGTTTTGGGCAAAGCTGCAAAAGTGTGAAGATGATGGAGAGTTTATGAAGGTTGCATGCCGTAAACTGGAGACGACGGTTATGCAAATATTTGCGAACCATGGATGGAGATTCACAAATAGATTTAAATAAATGTGTGCTCATTTTCTTGGTTTGGTCTTTTTTATTGTTGGGTGTGTTTAATTTTATTTGAACTTCACTCATTATTTATATGATTTCTTATAATAATTGGCTGTAACTCTGATGAGCAAAGGCTGAGATATTTATTCCATTATCTAAAAAGAATCTCTGAACGGAGTTAAGTCCAAAAGCGTAGTGCTTTTCTGGATACACCGTATACGACTGCCACTACACACACCTCACAAACCCACAACAAGACGTACTCTAAGCAGATACGTTTTCGCTACACCGAAAGCGGAAGCAGCGAAGGCGTATAGCTCGCGTTAGGATATTTACGCAACCGAGAGAGAGAAAGGAGCTCGTGCGCTACTCTTCTTGCGACAGAAGCAAAAGGCGGCGAAGAGAGAGAGAGAGAGAGAGAGAGCGAGATCGCCGGAGATGGCCGACGGGGAGGACGCCGCCGCCGCCCGCCGCCGCGCCTCCGTGACGGAGTACCGGAAGAAGCTGCTCAACTGCAGGGAGCTCGAGTCGCGCGTCAGCACCGGTGAGCCGCCCGCTCCCCACCCCTCTACTTCCCCCCTGCTTGACTTCCGATCTCCCTAGGGTTCGGAGGCGATGGGTTGCGATGTTACCCTAGCCGCCGCGTGGCCTGCGCGCGCGGTAGATCTCGTCCGCGTCTGCGGATGACTTGGATGAAGAGTGGCTCGTGTGTAGATTCGGTCGGCAGGGTGGCTTAGTACTGGTGATTTCGGGGATTTACTAGGGGAATCACTTGTTCCGCGACGTGTTCGGGGTGCTAGATCGCGGTCTGGGGCGCTGGGCGTTGGGTTACGAGGTTGATTAGGTCGGTTTGGTCTTTCGAGCGCTAAATCTGGTGATTTGGGCACTTTTTGCTCGATTTGGATCTGAAGTCTGTAGTGTGATTAGACTTAGGATTTTTGTATTAGTCAACCCTGACCATTTGGGTGAGTGATAACCAACCTCTCATAAATTCGGGATCAAGGAGGAGTATTTCCTGATCCTTCAGTAGTTTTTCTTCCTTTTCAACTGTATGATTATGGAGGTGCTAGCTCCTCTTAGTGCGTCATTTAGGTCTCTAATTATGGTTTGAACTTTAAAGTGCTTCCTGTGAGAATGTCTAAAGAATTTATTTAACTTGTTTGAGATTTTGGTACTGTGGGGGTGCGATTTTCATGGAACTCAAGCATTATCTGCTTCTTCAACAGTAGTTTCCATGCTTCAAGTAGGCTGCAGCACTCTAGCCTGATGTGGTCATTAGTCTCTTAGAGCAGCCACATTGTTTAAAACGTGGATTGATTATTCTAGTTAAGTGAGAGCTGTATAGTACACCATAGGTGTCTATATCTAGACCTATTTAAGCCTGAATCAATATACTGGTATCCTTGAGAACTCTTTCATATATACTATGCTTCTGGTGGACTGTAGTTTCATAGGTTATACTTTTGCTGCTGGCAGTCAATGAGTTAAGGCTTAGGTACAATGCTCGTAATCTTTAGTCATGGGATTATGGCTCATCCCAGTTAATGTCAACTAACAAATGGGCTTTGTGATGCATATACTCATTACCATGTGTGGTTTGAGGAAAAAATGTGGCAACCAGGGTTATATGGCTTAGAGCAAGTCTTATAGAAGAGGTAGATGCCACCTCTGTCCATGTAGGCTATTCATTAATGAAGAGGTGGCATGTACAATATATCACCTCTATATACTAACTCTAGTGCACTAACCCTAATAATTTTGTTTTATTTGTTTGTCCAATCTACTCTTCTCTTTTCTCTCCTTTCTCTTGGAGTTTGTGTGGAGGCTACCCCTTGCATGAGTGGTGGCTCCTCCTCTCTCTCTTCTTGTCTCTTCTCTCCTCCACCTCATCATATGATGCTATGTGGCATCTTGTGGCAAGTGATCCTATGTGGATCTTGGGGCAAGTGTTTAGGGGCTTGTAGTACTTGCTCTTGGCAATACTCAGCCTGGAGGGACCCATGCGATGATAGCAGTCATTTATTTGCTTTGATAATTTTGTATTATACTAGGATATTCAGCCAAATTTCCTTCCAAGGAAGTAGCGTTATTTGTGGAGTCAAAACACATTCCTCTTTAGTTTAATGATCGTGAAAACACACTTCAGCTGCATGAAATCGTGGCTTGTTATTGTTAGTAAAGTAGTAACTGTTAGCTATTGTAGGATTGTGCATCATTTCTTTCCCATATTTTTTTTGTTTGGTTTAGTTGTAACAGCTTGTTTGTTCACATGCCAACCTTTGGTTTCTTCTCTTTTAGTCTTATACTCCCTGTTATTATAGATAAACAACAGGAGGAGAAGATTAGTTTTTTAACTATTGGATGATTCCCATACTGAAGTTTCTTTGCATCCATAAACTTTGCTACTATAGTTCATTTGGAACTCAAGTCAAACCTTTTTCTTGGGCAACTGAACAACATCTAGTCATGTCTTTGCCGTTTTGTTTTGTTTTTTGGGAACAATACAAGTAAATTTAAAACACATGTTTGCTTGCTTTTAGAACTTTTTGGAGCCTGTTTCATTTTTATTTGCTTGATCTTGCTTTGATGCATGGTTCATCTATATGCAGTGAGGGAAAACCTAAAAAATGCTAAGAAGGACTTTACAAAGACCGAAGATGACTTAAAATCCCTGCAAAGTGTTGGGCAGATCATCGGAGAGGTTCTCCGCCCTCTTGATAATGAACGTTGTAAGTAAAGAGCATTTCCTTTTTGTGTTGAATTTACATCCTTTACTTTGGCCACTCCTTATCACTACAGAAAAATCACAAGTATTTGCTTTTGCCATTTCTTTCCTTCAATGATGGAAAATGACTACAATACTGTTAATTAACTTGATAGAATTATTACTTATAGCATTTTTATATGAAGCTATTGCTTGCATTTTAGATTTTTTTTTATCAACAGAATTTTAGAACTAAACAACTGAAACGCCTATTTCTTCAAGTTATTGTTAAGGCTAGCAGTGGTCCCAGATATGTGGTTGGTTGCCGGAGCAAAGTGGACAAGGAGAAATTGACTTCGGGAACTCGTGTTGTTCTTGACATGACAACACTGACAATCATGCGCACACTTCCACGTGAGGTATATTTAGTTTTTAAAAATCATCTTCCTTTTTCATTGGAGCATTTTTGTCGAACCTTTTACTGTAGGAGCAATTTTTTTAAACAAAAATCGATGATCTGGGATTTAAAACTGCTTTTTTCCCCCCTTCAGGTGGACCCTGTGGTTTACAACATGCTTCATGAAGACCCTGGTAATGTCAGTTACTCTGCTGTTGGTGGTCTGTCTGATCAGATTAGAGAGCTCAGGGAGTCCATCGAATTGCCCTTAATGAACCCTGAGCTCTTTCTTCGTGTTGGGATCAAGCCCCCCAAGGTAAATCCTACATTATTTGTACTTAGATCCCTAATAGTGCATGTAATGTGACTATGAGATCACAGAGACATATATATGGATATTGCAACTATGGAAGTTATTATATTTTACTTTACTCATTGCAGGGTGTTCTACTCTATGGTCCACCAGGAACTGGTAAGACACTATTGGCGAGGGCTATTGCCAGTAACATCGATGCCAACTTTTTGAAGGTGTGTCGTTTGCTCACTTAATAGGTAGTAGCCATCTTTTACAAACTAATTATTCTTTGTACTGATAATTTGGCTAAACAGATTGTTTCAAGTGCTATAATTGACAAGTACATTGGAGAGAGTGCCCGCTTGATTAGGGAAATGTTTGGCTATGCACGTGATCATCAAGTAAGTCTTAATCTCTCTCTACTTTTGTCTGGAAAGCTAGTTGGACCTAAATTGGCATCCTCATTTCTGCAAGACCTACTCTGACATTTACATGATCTAACCATAATCATATCCACATTGTGGAAGTTATTGTTGGTTCTAAAGTTAAAACAATCCTTACGCTATAATCTTCCTTTACATTTAAGTTGCTATGTGGACACTAGCGGTGCATTTCTCCAATCACTTTAACTCACATTCATTTAGTTTCCATCACTCAGTTTTGCCTCCCAAATTTTCTTTACCTAGCCATGCATAATCTTCATGGACGAAATCGATGCCATTGGTGGGCGGCGGTTCAGTGAAGGAACTAGTGCTGATCGCGAGATCCAGCGCACACTGATGGAACTGCTAAATCAGTTAGATGGATTTGATGAACTTGGAAAGGTAACTTATTCATCAGACATATAATTTGGCTATACTGCATTTTATTTTGGTATCATACTGCAGTATGTAAATGCAAGTGAGTTTGATTAAAGTAGTTTACTTGCTAGCATGTTTGCATGTCTACATTCTGGTCTAGCTTTCTTGGGTAAAACTACACTGATGAGGGAAAATATATTCTAATTTACCTTTCTTTTAACAACCTCCATTGTACAAGATTAGCTGATCTGTACAGTGTAGTATTAAGCAAAGGTATGCATACCTTAAGATCAGTCCTTGGTGGAATCCTGAAAATCATACCATTGACATGATGATTCGTTTATAATCCCTGTTGTAGTATTGTGAGTTGTGGCATGTTGGTGGCTTGACCTTTTGCCAATTATTCCCACTGGCAACAAATATTAGAATCTAGATTTATGATGAAATGACTTTTGGCTCTTCCAATTGATCGAATTGATCATCTTACCAATCTAGGTTTTTTGACTGCTCAATTGTCCATCTATGTCTATGTTCCTAGTTTGTTCAGAATCAAATTGGGTGTGTTCAGAATCAAATTGGAGATACAGTTGGTTACTCTTGTTTGTATGGTTTTTTTGGTACCATGTACAATGATTGCTGCTTGATGATGCATGATTTCATCTTGACAAGAACTTTTTTGCTTAAACAGGTGAAAATGATCATGGCTACCAATAGACCTGATGTTCTGGACCCTGCGCTACTGCGTCCTGGACGTCTAGACAGGAAGATTGAGATTCCGCTACCAAATGAGCAAGCAAGAATGGAAGTTCTTAAAATCCATGCTGCTGGTATTGCCAAGCATGGAGAAATTGATTATGAGGCAGTTGTTAAACTGGCTGAGGTGAGTTTGTCTTATTTAACTTCCTTATCAACTTGGGCAACCTTCCTGACTCTGGTGGTTTTAGGGCTTCAATGGGGCTGATCTTCGCAACGTCTGCACTGAAGCGGGTATGGCTGCAATTCGTGCTGAACGGGACTACGTTGTCCATGAGGACTTCATGAAGGTGCGCCGCATTATACTCTCTTCTATCTACCAACACACCAGCTGTTAGACATTATCTCACAGTTTACATGCGAATTGTACTTCAGGCTGTCAGGAAGCTGAACGACGCCAAGAAGCTGGAATCCAGCGCCCACTACAGTGCAGACTTCGGCAAAGAGTAAGGTGCAAGATTCTGATCCTGTATTCGATCTTCTACCATGCCGGGAGTTCTCCGCCATGGTGCAAAAGCAACAGAGAAATCGGTTTTTCACCGTCAGGCTTCTATTCTGCACTGCAAGCTGAAGCCATTTGTCATGTGTGCAATCAAAGAGCCATGAATGGTTGTCAAGCTTATCTCTGGGACTGGAGAAACATACCGAGAACTTGCAAATTTTATAACTGATGCTTTTGCCTCTGTTTCACTCCGTTTTTTGAGTCTCACCTTGTGTCAGTACTACTGTGTAGTCTTAGTTTTGAGCAGTTGCATGTACTTTTGACACCATGCTTGGTAAAGAATAGCAAAATGGTATCTTGATTCAGCTTCCAGACCCCCATCTGGTGTGGGAATGCATCTCAATTCCTGTGAAATTCGTGCAAAATTATCTTTGCTTCTTTGTGTATTGCATCCCTTCTCATCCATTCTAGTTGTAGTGGTGTGTGCCAAGAAAATGGAGAGCTTCATCTTTTCGCTTATGCTTAGGAGATAACTACGGATCAGGCGTTGGATTATTTTTCACAAGATCAGGTGCCCGCCTGCATGTTGCCTCTTCGCTAGCCTACTGCCCTTCTGTTCCTGACGCATCCATGCAAAAAGTGTCCGCTTCTCTCCTCTCTTTTCTCATCTACTACTTCCTTTGTTTCACAATGTAAAGACTTCCATATTTACATTTATGTTAATGAATATAGTTATATGTATGTGTCTAGATTCATTAATATATATATGTACGTGGGCAATGCTACAAAGTTTTACATTGTGAAACGGAGGGAGTAATATACTATTATACTAGTACTCATACGTAACTACCTTTTTTCGACTCTTTAAATACCTTTTTTCTCATAAATCATTTATCTGATCTATAATCCGTTTACACTGTTATATGCATTGCAATTAAATATTTACAAGATATTACACTTATATTTTAAAAATTGAGCGTTGTTTCACTACTCATAAAAGAAAGTTTCATCATGTGGTCCAGCATTGTTTCAGGGAGATGCAACACGAAAGAAATATTGGAACACCCACAACCACTACATGAAACATAAAGTCACAATAGGTGAAATATCTGATTTTGTTAAAATGTTTATGGTATTTATCACACATGAAACATTTAACTATAATTATTGAGACATCACAAAATACCATGTGCAACATATGCACATGACCTAGTGTAAGTGTGTAACATCAAAGAAATACTTATTGAAACTTCCAAATAATACCATGTGCAACATTAATGAAAAGATACATTGCAACAAGAAAACTAAACAATACCCAAACTAAATACCCAAACTAAAAATATGCAACAAAGTTGATTTTTAATTGAAACATTCCCTTATCACATATGAAACATCAATTTTTTATTTGTTGAAACATATAACTTTTGTTCATCGTAATATAGTCATATGAGATCGTATCGTAAAAAATTAATTATAATAAATATAATGGTATAATCAGATCGCAAATCAAATATAAGTGGTTCATTTGAATAAAAAAGTTTGAAGTTAAAATTAAAACCTCTCTTTGCATGCAACAAATCCCTCCCTCCACCATGTGACGTCACACTTTTTTTTTCTTGTGTTGCGTATGCATGTGGTTACTGTGATATGAGCATCCGATTTTATGGCTTGCGTCGGTTGTCCGACGATAAATATTCTTCTTATGCTTATACTTATTAGTCGAAATTTAAATTTTCAACCTTAAAATTTAAAGTTGATTTTGGGTTTTTTTTATCAAAATTTTTTTTAGTCTTTGCTTTTTTATGCTAAGAACACGTATATAAAGGTTTTATTTATAAATTATTTTTTTATAAATATGCCGTTTGGCTTTTTTTTTCCGGGCCACAACATAATTACATATCCTTGAAACCCGATAATTTACCAGTTCTCTTAGCTGGATAATGACCAGTTTATCCATCTGAATTAGGCGCTTCTGAAGACGCTTTTAACCTGTGGCGACCCAAGAAGCTCGGAGCAACCTGCCACGTGTTGGGCGGGAAGAAACCATCACCCCTTCCCTCCGCAGATCCGATGGCCACAAACCCCCCCTCCCTCCTCCCCGCACGAATCTCGATGCACCCGACGAGATGAACACCCCCATCAATTCAAATCGCCGCGGGTAATCGCCTCCAAATTAATCCCCAATTCCCCGGAGAAAAACCAGAGATCGCCATCGCCATTGCCGCCTCCTCCTCCTCCTCCTCGAATGGCGAGATCGGTGGGCGGCGGCAGCGGCGGTGGCGGGGAGCGGCCGGGGAGCGCGCCGATGCGGCTGTGCGTGCACGTGCTGGAGGCGCGGGGGCTCCAGGCGGCGTACCTCACCGGGCACAGCGACCCCTACGTGCGGCTGCAGATGGGGAGGCGGAGGGCGAAGACGACGGTGGTGAAGAGGTGCCTCAGCCCCCTGTGGGACGAGGAGTTCGGGTTCGCCGTCGGCGACGCCGAGGAGGAGCTCGTCGTGTCCGTGCTCAACGAGGAGGGGTACTTCGGCGGGGGGTTCCTGGGGCGGGTCAAGGTGCCCCTCTCGACCGTCATGGCGGCGGACGGCCTCTCCCTCGGCACGGCGTGGTACCACCTCCACTCCAAGGGCGGCAGGTTCAGGAAGAAACGGCGCGGTACGTTGCCCTAGCTTCTCCTTGCCATGGATTGCCTGCTTAGATTGCAACCACTAGAAATGTGGTAGGAGAAATGGTAGCAAAGGTGATTCGTTGTGATGCTGTGTTGTTCATGACACATCCTTCTTCTTCTTCTTCTTTTTTACAAAATGAAATTTACTCTTAAAAAACTGCTACTCCATCCGTTCGCAAATAAGTTCATTTCTCACCCATCCCACATATATCAATATAAAAACAAAAATATTATACTCATTAAATCGCAATGTAATATCAATATATCAATATAAAAATATAAAGCAATATCCATACTTTATTAAATCGCAATGTAATTATTTTCACTTTATCTATTCCCAAATCTCAATGCAATTATTGCTTACTTTTTTCACAAATTCTAATGCAATGATTGTAAAAAATTAAATTTATTTTGGGACAAATAGGAGGAACCAAAAATAAAGTAATTTATATAGCGATGCTTCTGTAGACAACCCTTTTTTTAGATGTACAGGTCTTATATGTTATTTTACATCCATCAGATGGATGCTTCGCTGCTACTCAGTGCTAAAAGTATAATGTAGCAGTGGCCAAAGCTAGCATAATTAACTGTTCAATTCTCCTCCATTGCAGTTGCGGGTGAAATTCGCTTGAGGATTTACTTATCTAGGACAGCCATTTGCGACGAACCGAGAAACATGCCAATGCAACTTATCAATGATACACCATGCAGCTCAATGAGGTCAGTTGGAACCACTGCCTCGTCCTTATCAGCGAGGTCAGTAGGAACCACTGCCTCGTCCTTATCAGCGAGGTCAGTTGGAACCACTGCCTCGTCCTTATCGGCTTCTGTTAGTAGCCTTGATCTGTCAGCCTGTCCTAGCATGGAAAGGGCATCCTGCAGCAGTATGGATAAGTTGAGCCAGGGCATCATGGATCAGCAAGGCCGTCGAAGCCCAGGGCAACTGTCTTGTATCAGCACAGAAAGATCTATTCTTTTGGAGCCCGAGGAAGATGACAATGATGCCACCACCAATGCATCATCAGTAGTGGAAGTCATGTCTCGCTACTTTTGTCGGAAACCTGTTGACGCCGCACCTTCTGCCACATCAGATCATGAGCAGTTTCAAGATACACAAATGAACTCTGAATCTTGTGAAAATGGTGATAATGGGGCGCTCCCTGAAACTAGTTTAAATGAGCTAATGAAATCCCTGGAGTCTAAAGATAAAGGTTCTGAAATGCCAGAAAACTTGCGTGGTGGTATACTCGTGGACCAATCTTATGTTCTTCAACCAACTGAAATGAATTCCATGTTGTTTTCTGCACATTCAGATTTCTGGCCAGCAGTTGCAGAAGTTCAAGGGTTAAGCGGATTCCAAACTGACCCCTGGAAACTTGTAAGCAATGATTGTTTGAAAAGAACTTTAAGTTATACAAAAGCTGCAAGCAAATTAGTTAAAGCTGTAAAAATTACTGAAGAGCAGACATACTTAAAGGCAGCTGGAAATTCTTTTGCTGTTCTTTCCAGTGTTAGCAGTCCTGAGGTTCCCTGTGGTAATTGTTTCAAGGTGGAGATTCTGTACTGTATAACACCAGGTCCACAGTTGCCATCTAAAGAACAAACATCACATCTTACTATAAGTTGGCGTCTGAACTTTGTCCAGAGTACAATGTTGAAAGGGATGATCGAGAGCGGGACAAAACAAGGACTCCGAGAGGGATATGCACAGTTTACTGAAGTACTGTCCCAGAAGACCAAAGTGATTGCGCCTGATGATTCTAACTTAAGCAAAGACGAGATTTTAAGCTCATTGCAGACACAGGAAGAATCAATTTGGAAACTGGCTGCCCGCTTCCTTGGAAACTTTGCATTCATATTCTCTCTCTGTATAGCACTGTATGCCACTGCACATCTTCGTCTAGTTAAGCCAAATATGGTGCATGGGCTCGAATATTTTGGTATTGATCTCCCAGATTCAATTTGGGAGGTTGTATTTTGTGCCATTTTGATAATTCAGGGGCAGAATATCTTCAAATCAGGACGGCGGTTTTTGTATGCATGGAAACAAAGAGGTAACTGATTCTCTCTTATCTAAAAGAACTCACCTTACATGCCTTTTGATTAGCGTACATGCTTATTCTGTAAACACTAACAGAATGAGTGGGAATTATGTTTTTCTCCATCCTCCTCTACCTAGTCTTTTCTAGAATTGATCTAAGTCCTTAAATGATTTAAACAGAAAAAAAACTGTATTCACCTAAGAATTGACTTTTCCTGTTCTTGGGGATAAATCATAAATGACAAGCATATGTAACCTTTTTCCCTCTTCCAATATTAGGTAGTGATCATGGGGTGAAAGCTCATGGTGATGGTTGGTTGCTGACTGTTGCACTTATTGAGGGAAGCGGTGTAGTAGGTTCAGGTACACCTGGCTTGCCTGATCCTTATGTTGTTTTTACCTGTAATGGAAAGAGGAAAACAAGCTCAGTTAAATTCCAGACATCCGAACCGAAATGGAACGGTCAGTTCTGCCCCCACATTATTCATGTTGGAAAGTTACTTATCCTTATGATCTTTGCAGATCATTTTCCTGGTTATCTTACCTTCTTTTTTCTGTTCTAGAGATATTTGAATTCAATGCAATGGATGATCCTCCATCAAGGTTGGAAGTAGTTGTGCATGATTCAGAGGGACCACATAATAAAATTCCTATTGGTCAAACAGAAGTGAACTTTTTGAAAAACAATTTGTCAGATTTGGGTGACATGTGGCTTCCTCTTGATGGAAGGTTTCCCCAGGGATGTGAGCCTAAGTTACACTTGCGAATCTTTTTGAACAACTCGCGTGGGACTGAAATTGTTATGAATTATCTGGCAAAGATGGGGAAAGAAGTAGGTAAGAAGGTAAGAGTTTGGATGGTGTTTGTTTAATTCCATTGTCGGCAAAAGTGCGCTCTGTTACTGAAGTTGCATATATGACTGAATACTCAGATACACCTGCGGTCTGCTCAGACAAATTCAGCGTTCCGTAAGCTCTTTAGTCTTCCTCCAGAAGAATTTCTTATCGATGATTTCACTTGTTATCTAAAGCGGAAAATGCCACTTCAGGTAATTAGGGCTAATTATTTGTTCTGATGTGTTGAGCTGGATTTTTGTTACTTATTACATGGAATATGGTATGCTAGACAGCACTGCTGATTTCTGCTGTCGTTGTTGGCTTATAGCCTGATACAGGCTTTTATGCTATTCTTTATGAAGTTTAAGTTTAACCTTCGGATATAAGATTACTTCCTTCATTATTATATATGTACATTTGTTTTCATTGAAGCCTTACTTCCTTTAGGAAGGGGAAAACAAGAGATCTGTACTATAGGTCCCTAAACTTGAAACCAAAATTTAAGGTCCCTAAAACTGCTGATGTTGACTTGTTTGGTCATTACCTCTGTTAAGTCATGGAAGACAGCTTGGCATGGTGTCCAGTAAGCCTGTGGTGCAAGTACATGTCCTTTAGCTGTTTTGAGGCCACATCTTCCAATTATTCTATTTAACAGTAATTAGGTCTAAACAGATCACAGCATGTAAATTTAGGTACCTTAGAATGTTAGTTTAACTTCATCCAGCTATATGAGAGAACATTGCAAGTTTAGAGACCAAGACTATAAGTTCCCTATAAGAAAATAGCAAGCACAACACAAGGGGTTTGTATATCTGTGAATTCATGGTGAACCAGTGATTTTTTATGCTCTTGTTAATGATTGTATCGCACATTGCCAGTTGCCACATTTCATTTTTTTAACTATTGTATTCTTTACATATTTGGTCTATTGGATCAAGAATTGAAATAGATAGAATTTCTTACAGGGGCGCATTTTTCTCTCCTCAAGAATACTTGGATTCTATTCCAATATATTAGGCCGAAAAACCAAATTTTTCTTTCTTTGGGACGACATTGATGATATCCAGGTTGCTCCACCAACCCTAGCAAAAGTTGGAAGTCCATCCTTGATGATCATTCTCCGCAAGGACAGAGGTCTAGAAGCCAGACATGGAGCCAAAACACTGGATCCTCAAGGAAAACTGAAATACCATTTCCAGACATTTGTTTCATTCAATGATGCTCACAGGTGCCTTTTCCTTTTACAACTTATTTTATTTAAATTTTCCATATAAGGAGCTTTATTGAGATGTAGTACCATAATGGCCTAAAGAAATTTACATGTTCAGAATTTGATCTATTGGTCATACATAAAAAAAATAAACTACTGGTAATAATCCACGGTCCCACCGCACGGGTTATCATGAGTGCGCCACTGCAAAGTAAAACTAAATGTTTTTAATAGAACTGTTAATAGATCCTTTTTGGTTGTACTTTTATCAACATCGTATGAAACAATAGCTGGAATCCCAATCTCCCATCATATTTGCAGTGAGCTTATCTTGTCAAACCTCAAACGGTTGATAACATATCACAATTATGTCTGACAGAATTATTATGGCACTTTGGAAAATGAGGTCAGTGGATCCAGAACAGAAGGGAGAGATGATTGACAAAAATTCTGAACTGAAACAGCTCCCTTGTGAAGAAGGTTCTCTATTAGCCAATGAAGATGTGAAAATGTCAGAAGTCTACTCGGCGGTTCTTTCTGTTGATGTAAGTTTTTCTCTCTAGTCAATAAACAGCATAATTGGAACTCATATGATGCACTTGCAAAAGCATCTGGCTACAGCCCGTGAGTTCTGTATTTGTAGATCAATTCCTTGATGGATATGTTCTCCGGAGGTCCATTGGAGCACAAGGTGATGCAGAAAGCTGGTTGCGTCGATTACTCGCCTACAGAATGGGAGCTACTAAACCAAAACATATACCAGAGGCAAATCAGCTTTAAGTTTGACAAAATCTTGTCGCGCTTTGGAGAGGCATCAACCACTCAACGAAAATATAACTTAGCGAATCGAGATGGGTGGGTCATTGAGGAGGTGATGACCCTCCAAGGAGTCCAACATGAAGACTACTCCAGTGTAAGAAAAGCCAAAACTGAGTTCGATTAGAAATGCATGTGAATGTTCACTTTTACTTTCATCCTGTGCGATCACCAGTTGTAATCCAAAACCGCAGATCCAGCTCAAGTATCAGATGACTAGCACGTCCTTAAAACCAAGCACCTGCAGCATTCAGGTATTGTTAGGGATTGCCTGGTTGAAGGGAGCTAAGCAGCAGAAGAAGGTTGTGAAGAATGTTATGTCGAATTCTGCCAACAGGTTGAGGGAGATATTTTCAGAAGTTGAGAAGGAGCTTGCATCAAAAAAAGGTATCTGTTTGAACTTTGAACTCACCAAACTAACTCCTCTTCGTAGTAAATTGCTGAATTATAGTTGGCCGTAGCTTCTTTCAGCAAAGGCCAGAACGAATTTCATTATCGAAAAAGAGTAAATTGCTGAATTGACTTTGGATTCAGTCTGACCTATTTTTCCATGTGGCGACGACAAAAGTCTATAGAGATTAACATCTAACCGTGCAGTTACCTTGTAAAAGTACTGCAAAGCAGTGAATTACCATCTCCGATCCTGTGCCCTTTTTATTGTCTCGGCTGCTGCTCTAACACTAAAATAGTGTGTTTTTTTATGCCTAGAAACAGAAATATTACTGAGTTTTTCTTCTGCTACGAAATTCCAGGTGTGAGCTGACATCCCGTGCAAGATGAGTAGTAGATTGATTCATGTGTTCTGAACAATTAGAAGACTAAACGAAGGCAGCAAAGCTCAGTAGCCAACACGATCTGTGTTAGCTCGACGGTATCACTGCTTCCTTTAGCTCTGTTCACTCTTCTGCTGCCAACCTATCGCCTATGTAAAATTGTGAATACCTTGATAGGAATCCAACAAATTTGCATATACATATTTAAAACTGTAAACACGTGATTACAGAATGGAACGAAAAGAATGAACTTATTTCTGGTGGCAGTAATTTTCTATAAAGATATTTGACCCAAAGTCGTGTGATAAAGTGTGCCCTTTATGTTCTCATATGTGATTCACCTTGTAAATAATTACCGGAATTTCGAGTTGTAAGTAAGTGAGATTTTCTTTATTTTCAAAAGATCTTAAAAGGACTTCCATAGGAGTCACGAATTACAGAACATTTACGGTAACAAGCAAACAAATTAGTAATGCCTTTTCTTCACATTCCAATCTATCATTGTTAGCACATAATGGGAAAAAAAAGGAAAAGAAAAAGGAATAACAGATGGCTGAAATTCGTTATCATCGGATAGCATAAAAAAACCCTACAAAAATACAAAGTTATGAATGATTGGAGCAGCAAACTTTTGCCCTGTGATAATGTACATGTACAGCTCACCTATAAAATCTAATCATAAATTCACTGGACAACAATGGATGCAAACAGGTAGAGACCAGGAGATATTAACAGGTTGTGACGTGGAAATGTTGGTTTTATCAACTATCTAGCTAGTGGCAAAAATGCCAAAAGCTGATGTGACAAATCATCAAAATGAAGAGGATCACTTCTGGTAATACAACAAAAACGTTTTTTTCTTTTTCCTTCAGAATGGGAAGGACACAACGACATGATTATCACCTAATCATAGAGATATTAGCTAGAAGCTTAGAATCAGTAGTTGTTTTCTACTCTTGCACCGCCGAGAAAATTGACATTTAGCCATTCTCGGGTTGGGGTTTCGTCAGAATGCCATCGCCAAATGTGGCTTCGTTATAATGCCATCTTCAAACGACCCCATCTTGCCACACTGCCATTTCAACCAATTTTTATTATTTGCAAATGTTTTCTACTGTTTTGCTTATTTGGTTTGACCCAAATGCCCTTGCCTCAGCCGTGGGGCTTGCCAGGAGCGTCTTTCACCTCCGTCCGCCACCATCATTCTCTCTCCGATGAACTCATGTCCCAAATTGATCTCACTCCTTGGTTGCTCTCGCCCAAAATTGAATGCAAAAATTGGTTCCTCTCGTCCTCCTCATTAATTCCCCCAACAAATCCCACTCAAATCGGCTTAACTCCGTGGTGGATTTTGAAGTCCCTCTTCAATAGCGAGCTCCACCATGGCCGGCGTCGATCTCTCTCCCCGGCGAGGTTGGAGGGCCCACTCAAGCTGCTGGACGCCGCGGGGTTGAGCTGGCTGCGGCTGCGCGCGTGAGCAGGTCGCCTCGACAAGGAGCTCCGCTGCGAGCAGGTCGCTGCCCATGTCGAGGAGCACATCGGAGAAGGGGGTGACGCCGTGGCACGCGTTCAAGTCGAGCGCTTGGTGCGCCGCGCCGCCGAGCCGAACCATCGTCCCCGTCCGTGCCGGCGCTTTCCCCATCCCCAGGCGCGCCGCCTTCCCCGTTCCTGGTCGCCATCGCCACCGCCGGCAACCTGTGCGTGAACCCGGTGAGCTTCGCCGTCGAGCTAGTGAGGGCGGCGAAGGGTGGCGTCGGCGCCATCCCCGGTGTGGCCAGCTTTCTCATCCCGTAGCGGTTCAGCGACGGTCCCGAGCTGCGCCGGCGCCGCCCCACCATCTGCAACGAAGAGATGAGGTAGGAGAAGAGAGATGAGATAGGATCCAAGGGTATTTTGGTCATCTCAGTAAGAAAAAAATCATTAAACTAAGAAGAAATGGATGAAATGGCATTGCAGCATGTTGCCCCTGACTAAGGATGGCATTTTAACGAAACCACTTTTGAGAGTGTCATTTTAGCGAAACCCCGTTTTGACAATGGCAAAATGTCAATTTTCTCTGCACCGCCACACAAATTTCCTCATTCATATCATCACACAAGCCGTTTTATGTACAGTAACTTGTCTTGATTTTTTCTGAAAATCTTGCAGCTGATTTTTCATAGCCTTTCAGTATTAATTTCATCAGTTTTTTTGAGCAGATATTCAGCCTTACAAAAAACAATAAGACAATGCCAAAGTCAAACTTATATACATGTATTTCTTGATTTCTAGGACTGATGTGGATCTCTAATTACAGTCTTAGCAAAATTTCTCAGTACTTTGCTCTGAGTAATAGCAAAATCTCCATACTTCACTACGGGTAAAAAGAAAATATATTATAATATTGTATATCATATCGAAACATATTATTTTTATAAAATATGTTACCAACAATTGTTTGCTTATTTAAATATATGGTATCAACTTGTTTGAATTAAAAATTGACTATTTCATAATATTAGAAAATATTATAAGATAATTCATAAAAACTGTGAAAGCAATGGTAAGGGTGGCACCGTGGCAAATTAACAGCCACCACCAATAAAGCCTAAAGGAATACAGATGTAAGATATTTCTGTTCATCATGAGTAACACCGTTTGGTCCTGCTGTTCATGAAAAATCTCTAGGACTTGCAGGTGGTACCGAACCATACGTTGTGCTCCTAAAAGGCCAAAACCGATTGAGATGATCAATTTGACAGTGAAAGAAAACGAAACCACGGCCCTTGTACAATGCATTGGCAGTTTGGCACTATATGTACAACCACACCATAAATTTACCTCATGTTTCTGAACACGACAAACCAACTGCTACTCCGTACTAGTGATTTTACAAAGTCACATATTTCATTGATATACTATGTGCGAAACTACTGGGCTTCTTAACTTTTTTTTTTCCTAGAACCAATTCGATAGCCTTTTCTCTAATAGGGAAAAAAACTCCCGTCCGTGTCGCTCCCAAGGTGACCCGGAGGGCGCTCCACCAAGCACCGCTGCCACCACCATTCCTTGTTCCTCTACCTCGCCGCCGCCCGAATGGCACGCTAGAGAGCCGAGCGGCCTCAAGGACGACGGCGGTGGGGCTCTCTCCTCCCGAGCGCATATACTGTAGGCGATGGGATGACCGGGCAGACGCCGCTGTTAGATCCGAGCCCTCCATGACTGGATCCAGCACTAGTGAGCCCCGCAGACGGGGACAGTACCCGACAGGAGGCAGTCAGCCAGCCAGCGTGCGTAGTGGTGGCGGACGGTGACCATCAAGCAGGAGCCATGGCTGCCGTGCGGCGCCGACATCCAGATCTGGGCCTTTCGAGGCCGGATCTAGCGCCGGTGAGGCTGGCAGCTGATGGGGAACGTGCCACCGGCAGGAGGCAGGCGCCAACGTGCTTGGTGGTGGGGAGCGAGCGACACCGACACCCAGATCCAGGCCCTCACGGATGGGTACAACGTTGGTGAGGGTGGTAGCTATTGGGGACGGTGCATGCTGGTGTGCGGTGGAGGTGGCTTGTTGCTGGCGATGACCGTTGGTGAGGTGTGGAGGTACGGCAGATCTAGTGCAGCTGTTGTGACGGTGCAAATGCCGACCCTGGCTTCTTGGCCCCCGGTGGTGGCAGTGTGGCATTCGTGCGACAATTATGTGTGCGGATTGGTTGGGTGTGTGGGAGTGGATAGGGAACCTTAGGCGAAAGCCTTGCCGTGCCATTTAGCTAACTTGATGTTCCCGTTGATGTGAAAAACACACACTGGTCTAGAAGATATGCTTAACTTCAGTACAGGTCCAAAATCTTGCTTTTAGGTTCGTGAGCGTGCCAGTTGATTTGATCCTGCAATCAACAAGAAAGAAAGACAAGAAAAACGCGGTTAAATCCATAAACGATAGCCAATCGGCCAGTCACCGATGACATATCATTTATCTTCAAGCCGATGTCATATTGAGATCAATCGGCAGTTATAGAAAAATAAGATAAGACCAAATCTACTCGATCGGTTGTAGATATTAACAATATACAATCCTTCTGTCGATGTATATTTAAACCAAGTGATTGGGATAGATCGGTCGCCATGCCGAGACAGTATAAACCACTTAGATCGAAATATGCATTAACACAAAGATTATAAATGCTTATAGCATAGCCGATTAGATAGATCTAGCATGTATCGGCTAATACTCCGATATTACTCTTTATTAAGATATCAGAACAAGTAGAATATATTAAACAAGAAGCCTAATATACCTTAATGCGATAAGATCTTAATATAAAGCGCGGATCTAGCATATCAATCAAGCATATAAAACGTAAAGTAGCTAAATCAGGTAAGAACGGCTGAAACTCCGACACTATCTATATTGATAATCATAAAACAAGTTAAATATTAGAGTTATAAATAGAACTTAATAGATCGAACCCAACCGATACAACATTAAGCATAACGATAACTGTAAGATCTAAACCAGATGATGAAAACCTCTAAAAGATGGTAGATATACTATATAATCTGGATTAGCAATGAGATCTAACTCTATCGGCTATGTCTTAGCAGTAAAAACCAACCGATGACAAGTTATATAGCGAAACTAACAAAGATTATAAAGTATATATGATAACTCGACGGATTACATAAACAATATTAGAGTGTCATAAAGATGGAAGCACTAATTCCGAGAACGCAAGCCGCCATGACAAGTTTACCTCTAGTCGAAATAAAACGAAAGTAAAAAGGGTGGCGATGTGCCAAAATTGTATTGATCGTGTGATAATTGATTATATGGGTTCGGGTTCTATTTATACCCGAGATTACAAAACATGTCCTTGCCGGACACGACTCTTATCTCTAACAAACTCTAAGATACCATAAGTCTTTGCAGCAGACTTTTGCCCAAACATATCTCTAAGGAAATTACACGAAATATCCTAATTAATAGATACACTTGCCTATCTGAGAGCTTTATCTCTATCGTGGCAATCCCTGTGAAGCACTTTGATCGATTCTAGAAACATCCTCGAAACCATCGTCATCAGAATCGGTTGCATCACCTCTATCGGCTGTATCGGCTGTCCTCTGTCCGATCCATCTCAGCCGATGCATACTCTGTTCTTCGAATCCATTTCTTTACCGAATCCGCTTCGATTCCAATATCGAACCTGGTTCATATCTTACCAAATTTGGTCGTCAACAGTTCTCCTCCTTGGAGGCATCGTCATGGCATGGTCCCTCTTCTTCCATCATTGTGCTCCAGGCGAAAGCCTTGCCACAGTTACCGGGCGAGCGACAACAGAGATTCATGTCGTTTTTCTGTTAAGGGTGTAGTTTTGGAGAACCTTTTCATGTATATGTCTGATCGTCAAATCGACGTTAGCTGCGGGCTTTCTGCTTCCACACCAACACTCAATAGGCCGGGATGTTCGGCGAGGCCTTCGCCTTCTTGGATTCGTTTCTTGCTTTGCAGTAGGCGGCCGATGCTCTTAGTTGATTTTGCTAGGGGGAGTCAGAGCTGCTTTGTTGTTGGGGTGCAATGTAGCTTGGCAACGATAACACGTTGCAGTCGCTTTCTAGGTGTATAGGTACCAACCATAAGCAGGAAGCGACGATACGGTGGCTTTGGTTGATGTCCGTCATGGGAAGTCGCAGCTGCTTGGTAGTTTTTGTGATGAGCTCGTCAACGACGACACAAGTTTGTGGTAAAGTCGGATATGCTTTGCTCTCGCAAGCTTGGCAACGATGTCATGCATTCACTGTGAAAGTTGGAGTTGATGTGTCGCTTTTGCGCAAGCTTGGTAACAACCACTCATGTTTGGGTTCCGTCGATGATCTACTATAAGTGTGTTGTAGTGTTGAATTGTTGTGTGTGCTGTAAATTTATCTAGCCGGCAACGGTAGTATTGAGGAGCTTGGCGAGATTTTTCTCGTTTAGTTGTTTTTTCTTTTTTTAAAACTTATCTGGGTTTTTAATCTGCTTATAAAAATATAATCAGCAGCTCTTCTACCGGTTTAGTTTCGCAAAATTCGATGGCCTTTTCTACCTCTGACGCGTATCTAGCATTCGGACAAGTTATAAATGTTTATTTTTTCATGAAGATAATGAACTCCATTGGTCGTGTTGTGCCGTGAGTCTACTTGCATGTGGTGCTTACCAAACGCGTCGTCCTCGTGAACACGAGATGTTCGACAGCGAAAGAAAATGATACCACGAATAATTTTTTCCTAACCTCATGCAACTTGCTGTGATCTCTGTCGCTTAATACCTTCATCTTAAAATATATAGTAACCCCGTACCAAATTTAACATAACCTAATAATCTAAATAAATATATTAGGTTAAGATTATTATATATTTTGGCGGAATGAGTATATAGATGTCTTGATGCCATTGAAGCATACTAGCTACTCCCTCCATCTAAAATATAAGTATTTTTTTTAACCCTGACACGGTTTTTGAGATGCTACTTTGACCAACAATATGTGTAAAAATATGATGTTTTAAATAAATATAGTTGCATATTATGATTGTTTGTTTAATAATAAATCTAGTAACATCAATTTTACATTATAAATTTTTTTTGCTACTAATAGTCAAAGTTAAAAATATTTGACTTGTCACTATGCTAAAGTGCTTATATTTTAGGACGGAGGGAGCAGTAACATATGTTTGAATCCTCTTTCCTAAAAAAATTGGGCGGGGCGTTCATCTCTTCCCATCCCTTTTTTTTATGTTATTGAAGCAATCTCTGTCCCTCTCCGCTTCTCATGTGACCTGTAAAACTGGATCTAGTGAGAGAGTAAGTTTATTTGTCACTCACACACACATACACACATATATGTATATGTGTATATGCTCTACCATTTTCATATGGCACAGTCGATAAAAAGTCGGAAACTAACATCGGTCATCCAGGAATTAACATTATTGTTTTCACTCTTGATATAATCTATGAGTATCATATGTCATCGGTGTTATATATATGTGGTTTAGTGTTGTGTGTATATGCCTATCATGTAATAAAAAATATATTGGAGCCAAAGACATTAAATATATATGCTAGACGACGCATATTCTAGACGGCACATATTGTGCAAATACTTCCTATATAGTTTTTTTCTTTAAGTTTATACTACATCCGTTTTATAAATAGATAACGCGTTAACTCATAGAATAACGTTTGACCATTTGTTTTATTTAGAAAAAATGTAAATATGCTAAAGTATAAGTCATATTTCGAATTTATTTAATGATAAAACATGTCACAGCAAAATAAATAATATTTACACAATTTTTTAAGTAAAAAAGAACGGTCACACGTTATATCACAATTTAATGGTCACATTTATTAGAAAATAAAGAGACTTAATAATTAATACTCGATTAATTATACCCCAATGATTTATACTGTTTCACCTACCACCTAAAATCTCAACAATAAGCTAATTCAATTTTGATGTCGCTTTATCAAAATGGCTAATGCAAAAATTTCGATAAAGTAGCAAACCAAATCACTCGATAAAAATCTTCACATGCTAAAGTTTTGTAAGTGTCATATATATCATTACGTTATAGGTATTACTAGAAAATCAGCGCGCCTATATTTATAGTGTATGTTGTTTAATTGAATTTTAGTTTTTTCATAGTCCAAGAAAGACTATTGTGAGTTTATTGATTGATGTCAGAAAATGATATTTTAGTAAAGAATTTTGATATTTCATCAAAGGGAGATAAATCATTCGTTATAAATCAATAGACCAACGAACTAAATAATCGATGGATTTATATATTATTTAAATGTGTGACCTGGTTTTGAGACAAAGTGTTCGAATGCAAGACTTTTCCTCAATAAATTTATTATTATTTTAAACATAATTGATGAAATAAAGGGTATGTGATTATAATCGTACATTTTTTCCCTTTTCTATTGGTGCATGCATTGTTCGTCCTATTTATTTAGAGTTAATTTATAACACATAAATTTCAGAGGACTTTAATAGACATTATCTAATTTATTTTAAAATTTTAGAAATCATAATATTTTTCATATGTATTTTTTTCTGGATTTTTTTTCCGCTTGATCACTCCATTCAGTTCTACAAATCCTAGGTAGAAGATACCATGTACTACTATGCCAGATGGGAAGCTTCTAGCATTTGCTAGATGTGGTGCTCAAAACTTTGTTTTTCAGGATTTTTTTTGCTTATATAATTTCTAGCTTTATCTCAAAGCTTAACTGTGCCACTTGTATCAATTGTCTGTTAGTTTCACTGCCAGCTTTAGAAGTACTGATGATTATCTGCCAACTAAGGATTGTTTAGATTCAGGGGTGTAAAATTTTGATGTGCCACATCAGGTATTATATAGGATGTTACATAGGGTGTTCGGGCACTAATAAAAAAACTAATTATAGAATCTGTCAGTAAACCGCGAGATGAATTTATTAAGCCTAATTAATTCCTCGTTAGCAAATATTTACTTCAGGACCACATTATCAAATCATGGAGCAATTAGGATTAAAAGATATGTCTCGTAAATTAGTCGTAATCTGTGCATTTAGTTATTTTTTAGCCTATATTTAATAGGAGTGAAAAAATTTAAGACGCGATCTAAACAGGGCCTAAACAAAAGCATTAATTCAGTCCTTGAATCCATGGCTGAAATACAAACGCACGGCATGATGTGGTCCTCGCTCACAATTGATTCCGATTTTCATTTTTTTTTCACGTGTGAGGCTATTGCTGGGCCCACAGGTCAGTCTCACACGACAACGACAGCTGCCGCGCCAAAAAAAAAAAGAGAGAAGTGATAATAAAATGAGTAAAGTGTATTGGCGATCCTTAAGCTTATAGGATTGTGTCATATGTCTATAGACTCTTAAAACGTATATCCAGATCTCATAACTTGTCAAAGTATATCATCTAGGTCCCAAATTGACACATCCCCTCTAGAATCCTACGTATTGACATATCCCCTCTAGAATCCTATGTGGTGCTGATGTGACAATGCCATATGGACGTGACGTGTCCTTTTCTTTTTTTTCTTCTTTTCTTTTTCTTTTTCGGTTTCTTCTCATTCTTCTTTTTTTCCTTTTTTCTACACGGGTCACAGAGAAAGGAGAAGAAATAGGAAAAAAAAGAGAAAAAAGAAAAAGAAAAAATAATACCATGTCATGTCATGTCTGTGTGGCATGCCACATCAACGCCACGTAGAATTCTGAAAGAGTTGTGGTGATTTAGGACCTAAATGACATATCATGATAAGTTCTAAGATTTGGATATGTATTTTGAGGATTTGGGACCTAGATGACATATCATGATAAGTTCTAAGATTTGGATATGCATTTTGAGAATTTATGTACCTAGATAACACACTCCTACAAGTTTAATGACCGCCGGAACAATTTACTCTAATAAAATATTTCGAGCGCGCCCCCACCCCTCCTCGCTCTGAGTGTCAGCCGCGCGCGCAGCTGTTGCCATGGCCGGCGCCGTCGCCGTCATCGTCGCCGCCGGCGAGACGCAGGTCCCCGACGACGTGGTGGACGAAATCCTGGTCCGCCTCCCCTCCCGCTCCTCCCTGGCGCGCGCCGCCGCGGCGTGCTCCGCGTTCCGCGCGCTCGTGTCGTCGCCGCGCTTCCTCCGGCGCCACCGCGCGCGCCACGGGCCGTGCCCCGGCGCGCTCCTGGGCTCCTTCGCGTTCTCCTCCGAGGGCGGCGCCTTCCACCCCGCCGAGCCCCCCCACGCGTCCGCCGCCGCGGCGCGCGCCGTCGCGGCCGCCGCGGACTTCTCCTTCGCGTTCCTCCCGCCGTCGCCGGTGGTGGGCGACGACGACCCGCGCAGGGGCCTCGGGTGGATCGTCCGCGACCACCGCGACGGCCGCTTCCTCCTCGACCGCGTCGCCTCCCTCGACGACAACGTGTTCCCGGAGCTCGCCGTGTGCGACCCCCTCTCCCGCCGCTACGTCGTCCTCCCGCCCATCCCGCGCGAGCTCGCCGCCGCCGTCGACAGGCCGCTCGGCGTCATCGGCGGCCGCCGCCGGTGCGAGCCCTTCCTCGCGCCGTGCGACGCCGACGCCGACGCCGACGCCGAGTCAGAGCCCGCGTTCGCCGTGATATGGACGGCGCGTTGCCCGAGGAAGGTGGTGGCGTTCGCCTTCGCGTCGCGCGACGGGCGGTGGCGCGCGCTCCCGTCGCCGGAGTGCTTCGTGTGGAGCAGGCACCGCTCGCCGTTCGGCTGCCCGGTGCACGCCGTGTGGAACCGGCGGTTCTACGCGCACGGCTGCTTCTACTGGCTCGACTGCCTCACCCACCGGTGGCTGGTGCTCGACACGCGCGCCATGGAGATCACCGTCAAGCAGATCCCGTCCCCGGCGTGCTACTGGGAGGAGCACGTCGCCGTCGTCGAGGGAGAAGACGGCAAGGTCGGCGTGTTCGCGCACGACTTCTACCGCGCCGGCGGCGAGGCGTGCCTCTACTACTACACCATCGTCGACGGCGGCGATGGCCCGCGGTGGCGGCTGGAGCGGACGGTGCCGTTGCCGTGGCCGGCGGCGCACGGCCGGCCGTACAGCATCCGCGCCGCCGCCAACGGGAGCCTGATCCTCGAGGTCAGCCATGGCACGCCGGCGTTCATGACGAGCTACCGGAGCAGGGACGTCGAGCTGTACAGGATCGACGTCAAGAGCTTCGAGCTGGAGATGATCTGCCGCGCGCGGTGCGCCGCCGGCGACATCGCCTGGGCATACTTCGGCTTCCCGCCATTGCTGTCCTTGCCAACCGTCTGAACAACAAAATCCCAAACATTCTCTGTGTGTGTGTGTGTGTCTATATATATATATATATATATATATATATATATATATATATATATATATATATATCTCATAAATGGAAGGATCAGTTCTCATATATACTAATATAGTTGAAGGAAACAAATTACACCAAAATTAACCACAAGCATCATGTACAGTTTGTATCTGATATGTATTTAAACAACAGTTTGTATGGATATAGTTTCCAAAAACAAAAGGATGTTTGTATTTATCTTTTCCTGCCACATATACTGATTAACTGATGCTCCAGGTGCAATGGAGGCATACAGTTTACAACTACAAATCAAAACAAGAGTACCTTAATCATACAGGTTTATTTCATATAGCTTTCCATTTTCTGGTATAAAGGCCCCCATAGGCAGGGGCTTAAGCAAAGCAAAACATATGTGAAATACACATTAACATATCACTGTATCTTTTCTGATCTTTATCTTCTGTCCAAATTACCAAACCACTTCCATGGTGTACCTTTTTCTCTCCAAGATAGGCATTACTCATAAACTGCTAATAGCTGCTTCTTCTCTGCCATAGGCATATACAAAGACCAATAGCTTTTGCTGGAATGTAGGTAGGTAGCTTCAAGCTGCTGCACAGTCCAAAGAGATTATTTCATAGCCCCTGCTGAATCTTGCTTGTGCCTTCTGTATACATCTTCCACACTAAGTTTATTGTTCTCTTCGCCCGCTTGGAGGATTGCACAACTGCTGAGGACCACCTGGAGGCAGCGGGTGAACGTCGAGTTCTTGTTGAGGAAGATCCAGCAGCACGAGAAGATGGTCCAGAGCCTCTTGATGATGACCCAGCATAACGAGAACCGGTTAATAATGTCATTGAGTTCACCAAGCCTGTGCCTGTCAAAGCAGGTACAAAGCTCTCCACAAACATGCCAGAAGATATGATATTTTCACCAGAAGGAATATCAACGTAGCAAACCGTCCCATCCAAAATATCAATATAGATGAATCTCTTTTGGCTCCCCAGAAAGAGCTTGCTCTTGTACATGAAAAATGGCTTCGTGCCCAAAACAGAGGGATGGGCAATATTGTGCAAGTGAACCCAGAATTGCCGGGTTGAGTCTGCCAGCCAAATCTCTGATTCTGTATATGCTGCCCCTTTACAAGGCATAGACCATAAATGAAGTTTCCCTTCCCCCTCGACTAATTCCAAATCACGGTCTCTTACACTGTCTGGGACATCAAGATATGAAAACTTCTCATCTGTCAAGTTGAATGAGAGGATTTTTCGAGTAAAGTGAGATGATTCATCATCAAGAAGTAGCCAATGCATTTCATCATTAACAACAACCGGCTTTGTTGTCTTCAGGAGTTCTTCCTCTTCAGATCCACGTACCGTCCTCCATGACAACGTGCCAATAGTGCAGACTTCAAATGTCAAGTGCTTTATCCAATGGCGGAGAGCGACTACCTTATACTCTTTTGTAGAGTGCACATATCCAAGAAAATATTCCGAATATTGAGCCTGATATACACTTTCTGAAGCTGGCAGCGTCAAATGCTTCCTTGTTGTTGGATTCAAAACTTCAGCAGCACCTTTTAAATCATAGGCGCACACCATGCCGTTGCAGGGTTGTGACATGTGAAACCTAGATGAGAACACAGGCTCTGTTCTTTTGAAGTTCACTGTGATGGGATCAAACATGTACATCTGGACAAGACCGTTATCAACTGAGGTGAAGCAGGCAATGGCCTGGCGGAAGCGGAGAGCACAGTTGAGGTGGTGATCCACAAAAGCAGGTTCTACAATGCAGTCTCTCCAGAACTTGCACACACTGCAGAACTTGAGAACAGTCCTACCGGGTAGGAAACCAATAATAATCCGCTGAATATCTTGAGGAAGAGAAACTTGGGATTGCACTTCTTCATTTTGCCCATCAAGAATTTCATCATTATTGTCTTCCATGGCTTGATGGCAAGTGACAACTGCAACCAAGGTAAAAGGCTTAGTCAGCACAAAATTGGAAGAACAAAAAGGTAAAGTGGTTGGATCTGGATCTGGACTGTACTGGGGTAAAAAACAAGAAAGAAGATATTATTTAGGACATGACTAACAAAAAAATTACAATATTTGCCCACTAGATCACTTATCAGTACATTTGGAGTGAAAATACAAGGCATTGTTGATGATCTACAAGGTCATTCAAAATGGACTTGATGATACGCATGGACCACAAATGAAGCATAGGTAAAACAGAATGGTATAGATATATAATATACATGTTCTAATAACAACCAAACAATCCTAACTGCATTGGTTTTCTGAAATAACAATTAAGCTTAGGAAATAGGACATGAACTAAAGTACTCCTTCCGTTTCCCTTTCTAAGACTATATGAATATATTTTTGAGATGGCATACAGATCAAGCAGAGTATAAACCAAGGGAAAGAGAAGGTAAAATGACCATGCTGCCTATTCTTAAAACACCTTCAAAATAGGAGTTGAGATGCTTCCTATAAATGCAAGCCAGAGAGTGAGGGTAAATAGGGAAATGAGTCAATAAATGCACATTCAAACCTTATGTCTTTAACTAGGTTGGAAAAACCACATGCATCATAAGAAAATGGAGAGAGTACTAAACAATAGTGTTATCTGCTTCATAGGAAGATGAGACAAAACATTGCATTTGCATGTTCCTCCTGCAACTTGGTAGAAACAGACACCATATCCAAATTTGTCCTCAACTGCAGATTTAACCAGCAGTCTAGGTAACCCTGATAAACCTTCCATTCATGTAACATTCTACATTGTAAAAGTGTGATCATATATTCATATCTTTTCCTGCTTCAAGCGACAATTATAAAGATCATTTCCAGTAGTGAATCCATTCTAAAGGAGACATCCATCCAAAGAAAAATGTTGCATGATGACTTCCAAAACCACATTCTAATATACAAATCATACATTCATACGGAAATACCCCCAACAAATTCAACACCAATCCAATGATTCATCCTAATGCTTTGCAAGCAAATCACAGAGTCAAACTTAGCCAAACATCACCGCATCTCGACGGATTCTATCCTGGGGGCATATGGGGGTTAATTCTCTCGGAAACAAACTAAACTCCAATTAGTACTAGGGTTTAACGCAAAAGCCATAGAGATTAAAAAAAAACCCTCCAGATCTAGCACAGAAAAAGCTTAGGGCTAACGCGAATTCGAGATAAAAAAAAAGTGCGGATAGAGATAGAAATGGAGGAGGAGGATGTGCGGATCGGATGGGATGCTCACGAGTCACCAGCGAGCGAAGCGGGGGGATGCGGCGGGAGCAGCAGACGCCGGCGTCGCGGGGTGGAGATCGCCGCGGTCGACGCGGCGGCGGCGGGCGAACTCCGGGGAGCCGAGGCGTCGCGGCGGCCGGCGGCCGGCGGCGAAATGGCTCGCGGGCCGAAGTGTAATGGGCTTTTCTCGAGATAGACGATCGGCTAATCTCCTCCGGCTGAAACAAAGCAAATAATAAAGCATAATATTGGGATTAGTATAATAATCGATTTTGCTATATATTTGTCGACAAATTTTCTCCTAAAAATTTGACAGATGTAATTACAGTACAATCGTAGTGTAATTACACTGTAACTTTCATGTAATTACACTGTAACTATAGTGTAACTTGTATGTAACTTTCAAAAATCTCTTTGTAATATGTTATTTCGGTAAAATGGAGGTTGTGGGAACAAATTCTTACACATATGTTTGTGCTGTGATTTTTTTTTCTTCCTCACCAAAACAAATCTTGTAATAGATTTAACGATTCAAAATTACGTGAAACTTATATGCAAGTTACACTGTAGTTACATGCAAGTTACAATGTAATTATATATAAGTTACAGTGTAATTACACTACGATTGTACTATAATTACATCTGTCAAATTTTTAGGAGAAAATTTTTCGACAAATGTATAGGTGGTCCCTATAATAATTTGATCCAAATGGAGACCGATAGCTGAATGAGAGAGAGAAAAAGCAGGTTAAAAAAAAAGGAAATTGCTCACTACCATGGTTTACTCTACTGGATTCTCATTTATGGTATATTTTAGTAATATCATTGAAAGTATCATTAAAGTTTCAGAAATTATAATAACAGTTCCTTTCGTTTACTATTATAATGAAGTACCCATATCTCCCAAAATATAAGAGATTTTGGTTAGATAAACATGGAGTCTGATCTTACGAATTTGGACATAGAGCTTATCCAGATCCTACTATATGTGTCTCATATAATCAACACTCTTATATTTTGGGAAAGGAAAAGATATAAAATAAATTTTTATCCATGTATTCTTCCCCTTTTGAATAGATCTGAACACCTCGATCGGAGGTGCTCCCTTAGTAGAATCATTTTAGATCCAACACTAGGCTACGAGGATAACGATAGTTATACATTAATAATAGGTAATTAAACAAATCACCGGTGCGATGAGACGATAACTAGGGTAGATATAAGATCAGTTGGCGGTGGCGAACCTGGAGTAGTGGGAGGGAAACCTCAGCGAGGAGGCATGATCCGGTGGACTAGACCCGAGAAGACGTTAGTTGTGTCGGCTAGAGCGCCACGATTGCCATGCGCTCCTCCGCTACCAAAGGGCGTGCGGCGGCGGCGACGAGCTCATGAGATGGGGATTAGGGGAGAGAGTGCCTTGACCAACCTAGCTTTGCCTTCTTCATATAGAGGTCGCCTTTAGGTAGGGTATGGTTGGGCCTTGGGCCTAATTATGAGTTGGAAGTAAGGTTAATAAATGTGACCTATTTGCTTCCGAGTGATTTCCTCAATAAATGCGGCTACCATTTAGTTACAGATCAAACTTTTAAAATTTGGACAATTTTTTTGCTAAAAGTTTAAATCTTGGTTTGATTTTTTTAAAAGAACTAAAAAAAGCTCGTATATTACAACGGGTAAAGACTATTTTAATCTTATTATTGTTATCTGTTAAGGTGAAATTTACCGTGTGAATTCGCTTGGATATATATATATATAATCATGAGTTGCAGTTAGGAGTAGATTTCTTATATGACTCCTTTTATATTTTCAAAAGCTAACGATCTTAAAAGCTGACTCAAATACTGATATGTAAAAAATCCATATGGATGACGTACCAAAGTATCGGTAAAAATAACTTTATTTTTTTAATAGTAGAGATATTGACAGGTTCATCGAGCGATTTCTAAATATGAACCGACTCGATAAGAATGATAACCACGAAGATCAACCGGTTAGAGTCTGTTTTAGGGCTATGTTTTTGTTTTATGCGAAGGGCTATAGTAAGCAACGATTTTGGTAAAATGTTTTGTTAGGTATTTTGCCCATAATTTCACTGTAAGTCGAGAAACCCAAAGTTCGACATGTAATGACACGATATAGCTTGTACTTTTAGGATGTAGAGTTGTGGATATTTGAAATAACCATGCAAAATATTGCCAAACTAGATTCGTTATTTACTGTTCTGAAAGGTTATCATTCCGGCAGATGTTATGAAGTTGTGAGTTTAGGGTTTTCGTCATTAGAGAGGTCGTAATGGTTTTCTACTTTCACTCTAGACTAACATTTATATGTATTGGTGGCCATCGCATATAGGGTCGAACGCATCATATAGCATGAAAATTGTTTTTACAAAATTTTTACAGGATTCCCCAATCTGAACTCTTTGTAGGAGTAAGAAAGAATCTCTCTTCTTTATTTTTTTAACATCCCACTTTTATCATAATGAACATTCCAAGTCACTTTATCGAAAATCCACACGAAGAAGTAAGTTTTGATTTTTAAAAAATAAAAAAAAAGTAGAATAATGCACACTCCAAGCCAGATCCAACATGATGAACACACCAAGTGAGTTTTCTAAAAAAAAAAATCCACCCCGTGAAGTGTATTTTGATTTAAATAAAATACTATTATGAAAATTAAAGATAATTTTGCCGGTATTTTGGTACGTTAGTTTTCAAAAAAAAATCCACTCCATGAAGTGTGTTTTGATTTAAATAAAATACTATTATGAAAATTAAAAATGTTTTTGCCTGTATTTTGGTACGTCATCCGTGTATGAGTCGGTTTTTAAATTCGTTTTCTTTTGAAAATACATATCCGTATTTGAGTCGGTTTTTAAAATCGTTCACTTTTGGTAATAATGAAGGAATCATATAATAAATCTATTTAAAAAAACTCGCATGTTAACTTGGAATGATCGGACTCCTAACTGCAGTTCATGATTTTCTAAAAAAATATATATCCAAGCGAACTCCCAGAGTGAATTTTATCTAAACTAAATCATATAACAATAATAAGATTAAAATAGACTTCACCTGTTGCAACGCACGGGCATTTTTTTTAGTAAAATAAAAAATGAATAATGAACACTCCAAGTCAGTTTTAGCTAAACTCCACTCCAAGGAGTAACTTTTGACTTAAGTTTTATCTTCCCCTCATCCCCTCAAAAGTACACTTCAAGAAGTTAGATTCGATTTTTTTTAAAAAAAAAACTAAAAAAGGAGTGTTATACCAAGTCAGTTTTTATCTAAATTACACTTCGAAGTTAGATTCGAATTAAAAAAGATTCGATTTTTAAAAAATAAAATAAAAAACTAAAGTCCTTTTCAAGAAGTTAGATTCGATTTTTAAAAAATAAAATAAAAAATGAGTGTTGAGAGTGGGATTTGAATCCACGCCCTTTCGGACCAGAACCTTAATCTGGCGCCTTAGACCAACTCGGCCATCTCAACTTTTGGTGTCAGTGCGTTTATTTAGATCTATAATCAGAATCTTTCAGTGCGCCTTCGTTGGATAAGCCGCCCTCTCCCTCCCGCTGTCCACCTCCACCTCACAGGCACACCATCCAGGCTTCGCTTCCTCCAATCCACGACAATGGCGCCCGCGTCGCTGACGAGATTGACCAACCCGTTGCCGTGCGCCTCTCCATCTCCAAGGTAAATGCGGCACGCGGAGAAGTTCTCCTGGATGTGTTCTTTTCTCGGGGTCTGAGTTTGCTTGCTGTTCTTGGGCGCGCTCTCGATCAGATGCCGGCGCCGGCCGGGGAGATCTCCGCCGGCGAGGGCGGCGGCGTGCGGGGTGGTTTCCAGGAGGAGGGCGGTGTCGGAGATGGCGATTCTTGGCGGCGCCGCCGCGGCCGCGGCCTCCTGCTGCGTCGATCTCTTCTTCGCCCACATGCCTGCCCGTGCCGCCACGCTGGAGCCTGATGTGATCAGGTGATCATGCTCATCTGGTTGGTGTTGATGAGATCTTTTATTGAGATGGAATTTTCGAATTTCGATGGTCACTGAATCCGATCTGATTTGATTTCCCTTCTGAAGTCTTCAGGTACAGAAAGCTGGACAGTGGAGTGAAGCTTGAAGGTAAAATATACATACATTGCAATTACTGTTACCAGTGGTTCTAAAGGATTTGCCATTGGACCCACATGTCATAGATACATGAGATCCTACATGTCATAGACAGCGAGTGGCAAATCATTAATTGGCACATCTTAAGACTATCAAATAATTGAATGTCCCGTTTTTTTATATCTGTCTGCTCATGAAAGAACTCATGTTTCTCCATATTTGATCAAGATGTTGTGGATGGCGAGGGTCCAGAAGCACGTGAAGGAGATGTCGTGCAATTCAACTATGTGTGCCGCCGCGCAAATGGTTATTTCGTGCATAGGTGAGGAAAGATGACACTGGGTACAAATTCAGCTCAAGAGACCTCATGTCATGTACGGATTATCAGTGTCAGTACAATCTGTCCATGTCCATTCATTTCTTTGATCTCATTAGCTGCACTCTGTGATCCAGCACGGTTGACCAGTTTAGCGGCGAGAGTAAGCCGGTCACACTTGCACTTGATGGAAAAGAGGTTATTAATTAGCTCCGCTCCTGAAAACTTCGCATCATTCAGATATCCTCACATTTTTCAACAGTTTTGAGTTATTCTGATATCTGGTTTAATAGTCTTGTTTTAAGTCATTTACAGATGATTCGAGGTCTCAAAGACGTCATCGTTGGAATGAAGACAGGAGGTAATTAGATTGCTGAATTACAGCATACTGAAACTCTGCATGCTAATCACTTTAAGAACAATGTTTTTCATCTCTGAAAATACCATGGTTTTTAAGCACATTAACGTTTTCCATCTGTTCATGGCTTGAGTGTAGGTAAGAGGAGAGCTCTGATACCTCCTCAAGTAGGTTACACTGATGAGAGCTTGCAGCCCATACCAGAAGAGGTACAAGTTACAAAACTACCTGATGAGCTAAGCTGATTGCTGCAACATATTCATCCTGTGCATTTTTTTCTGTCGTTTTTCCACTTGATTTGAACTAAGCTGATTGTTTCAACATATTCCTTGTCTGTGATTTTGATCATATTTGCACTTAATTTGATTGCGATCGCAGTTCGGTCCACGGCGAAGCCTCCTGTCACATGCCAAGGAGCCTCTGGTGTTTGAGGTTCAGCTGCTCAAGGTCCTCTGACCCTGAATTTTTCTGCCATTATCTAATCATCACATCCTATAGTGTTCACTCTTCAAAGAATATGCATTTCTCTTTCAGAATAAACTCAGAAAACTGTACTGTTTCATATGTATAAGATACAGTGATCACTTGCTGATTTGAAACGCAACTAGCAGCAAGTTGAATCAATGAAAGAGACAATGAACAGCTTCTAGCCAGTCTTCTTCAGATCACCATCCATTCCTGAGTCAAATTTGTACGACGAACGGCGCAATCATCCATTTTTTGGTACTATTCGTGCAAAAAAAAATTGAGGCCCTGTTTTTTTCCCTAGTTATTCACCGGATTATTTCCGCGGATTATCTGTTCTATGCTTCTAAAAATGTGATCTATCAAAAACAAATTGCTTCTACTGCATTACCACTTTGTTCTAACCTATTCTATTTGTTAGGTTTGTACTCTACAATATAATAGTTAATTTGTTAATAATCAAGTAGATAATCCGCGTCACTAATCCGGTGAATAATCTGTTTAGAACACTGGAATAATTCATTGTTTGTTGTCAGTGTCACTGTCACTGATCGTGCAATGAGCGGTGTAGTAGATGCAGTAGGAAGGGAAGACTGACTTGCACAGCAACACGGGCAACTCCGGCGAGCGGCGGCGGCGGCAGTGATCGCCGGACTGAGTCGCCGGAGGAGTAACCAAACAGGAGTCCTGGAGACTGACGATGCCTCTCTCCGGCGAGCGCGACATGGTGACGCTCTGCAAGGTGACGTGCGGCGGGAACAGGCGGCCGGCGACGGCGTCGTCGGCGTAGCCGAGGCACGGCAGGTCGGCGGCGCCGCTGCTCAGCACGGTGCGCCAGAAGCGCGGGTCGGGGCGCGACCGCAGCAGCGCGGCGAGCATCTTGCCGCCGAAGAAGGAGGCGGCGAGGCGCAGCCGCTTGGCGATGGCCTGCCCCGCCGCCACCAGCCGCGGGTCGGCCTCAGCGTCCGCGCCGCCGAACGCGTGCGCCTTGAAGAAGAGCCAGTACTCCGCCGGCGGCGGGGGGCGGAGGGTGATGGTGTCCGCGGCGGCGGCGGCGAGGCCCGCGACGTGCTCGGCGTGCCTGCTCGTCACGATGACCTTGCTCCCTCGCCGGCCGCGCCGCAGCGTCGGCATGATCGCGTCGATCACCCGCCGCCTCCGCGCGTCGACGCTGTCGAACACGGCGAGGAACCTCACCCCGCGCAGCCTCCGCTCGAGGAGTGCCAGCGTCTCGCCGCTGTCGCCGAACACGCTGGTGGTGGTGGCGCTCGCCGCGCCGCCGGTGCCGGCGAACATGGAGCGCAGGAGCAGCGCCGTCTCGCCGGCCGCCATGAGGCTCAAGCAATGGAAGTCCAGCTCAATGATCAGCGAGAAGCGGCGGCGCACCTCGAGGTCGTTGCAGACGTGCTGCACGAGCGTCGTCTTCCCGAGGCCTTGGCGGCCAACTATGGAGAGGACGGCGAGCTCTGCCCCCGCCGGCTCGCCGCCGCCATCGCCGTCGCTGTCATGCAGCAAGAAGTCGAAGACGCGGCGCCTCTCGACCTGCCGGCCAAACATCTGGTTGTCGGCGTAGATGTTCGTGTTCAGCGGCCGGTGCAGTGCCGGCGGGCAGCTCTGCAGCATCGTGATGAACCCGGTGAGATCGCCGGAGACGCTCTCCAGGTCGGCAAGGACGCCGTCGAGCTCCGCAGCCGCGCCGCCGTCCCAGAACACCAGCCTCCTCGCCGCGACGCGCAGCCGCTTGGCCGGGTTGAGCGGGTTCGCCACCGCCGCCTCGCCGCGCCCGCCGCCGTCGTGATCCGTCGCCACGGGGAACGCGTCGAGGAAGTAGCGGCCCTGGAGCGCGCCGTCGACGAGCTCGGAGAGCCACGCGAGGAGCGCGCGGCCGGTGATCCGCCTCGCCTCGGCGGCCTCCACCGCGCTCTCGATCCTGACGACGAGGCGCCGCAGCCTGCGCAGCTTCTCCTCGGCGTCGCCCCGCCGGTCGCGCAGCTGGCCGGCGACGAGGGACATGAGCCTGCCGACCATGTCGGCGACGACGCCGGAGACGATGGCGTCGCTGGCCATGTGGGAATTCGAAGGTGGTGGAAACGAGCTCAACGGCTCAAATCTGGTGCAAAGTCAGACGGGATTAGACTAAGCACCCATTATATGATTATTATATCCCACTTATTTGGATACATACCATTTTGAACATATTTTAAGTCAAACTTTAAAATTAGGGTAGGATTTGCATCATGTCTCTTTCCATGGAGGGGCCGAGGGGGACACAGGAATTTTTGCATTACTCTCTCTTTCTGTTTATTTTTATTTGATGTTGGATAGTTTTTATTATGGAGTATATTATGTATATATAAACTTTGAACGCTCGTATTTTTGCAAAAAAAGTTAAATATTGAAAAAAAAAGTTGCATAGCTCCTTCATTTTTTTAATATACGATGGCATTAACTTTTTGTTATATGCTTGTCTATTCATCTCATTTTAAATGAGTAAACTATGTTGTACATGAACTTTGCGTGGTGTGTACAAATAGATACACCAACATGTAAATTGCTCGTGTTCTTTGCAATAACTTGGCTAGTTCATGCGAACCAGGCCAAAACAATTCACGCAAGAAAAATTGATCAGTCTTGATGAAACCTTTGCAAGCATACTTATTTTATTCTGAAAAATAAAATCCGTACTACGGTAGGGCAAGCAGCCAACAAGAGATTGCAACATAATTATTATTGTTGACTACTATGTTCTACAAAGCACAAGTACAAATAACTACTAGCATGCATGTGTGTCATTCTTTTTTTTAAGAAACATAGTACAAACGTAGACACTCACAACGCGCATACATTCCCTCCTATGAATGCACACACGCACACCTTACCCCTATGAGCACCTCTAGAAGACTGGGCCGATATATCTTGGGACTGATGAAGTCACCACGGGCGTCTCGCTATCGACGGGTACGTCGCCATGTGTGTCATTCTGGTACTATATATTCAATCATTTTTGAATGTGTAGATTGTTTTGGACTAGGTTCGCTAGGCACGTTATTATACCGGGATGAGCAATTTGTAAATTGTTTTACCTTATTTACACCTACCTCACACGTTCATGTACCATGAGTGTAATTTACTCTTTAAAAATTTATGTAATTGTCATTTTTTTAATTGATTTATTATTTAAGATTCTTTAAGTATGATTTAAATTTAAATAAGACAAATGGTTAAAAAATCAATATCGATATATATTTTAAAAATGAAGGTAGTACTCTCTATTTTAAAATATAGGGTGTATTTTATTTTATTAGAATAAGATTTTGATTAACAATTGCTTCTCTAATATATTATTTATGTCACAAAAGTATAATTATATGGAAGAAATTCATATTTTTAAGGCAAATCTAACAACATCAATATCTTTTAAAAAAATTATAGTGTAATAGAGTAATTATTGGTCTAAGTCTTGTTCTAACAAAATAAAATATACCCTATACTTTAAAATAGAGAGGGAGTACTTTTTATTGGTCAAAGATAAAATCAAGCTTGTCAACCGTGTCAAGTAAGAGAGAACGGAGGAAACATGTCAGCACTTTGGCTGGTCGTTGTGGCTTATTAGAAATGATTATGTTGTCAACAACATAATCATTATAAAATCACCCTTTCAGGTGTTATGCAAAACGACGATGGTTACGCAGAAATGGAAAAGGGTTGCAAATAGAGGAGGATGGCGACCGGTGGATGGGCTTTCCGATGTCTAGTTTTATGGAGTTAAAACTTAAAAAGTGTTGTTTTCTTTTGCCGTGTGTTTAGATGTCAGACTCTTTTGCTGTCAGTCCTGGAGAATGCTCAGCGCCAATACAAGTAAGAGGGTGTTTATATTTAGGGGTGTAAATTTTTGGCGTGTCACATTGGGTATTATATAGAGTGTCGCATGGGGTGTTCGGGTACTAATAAAAAAATAATTACAGAATCCGTCAGTAAACCGCGAGACGAATTTATTAAGCCTAATTAATCTATCATTAGCAAATGTTTACTGTAGCACCACATTGTTAAATTATGGAGCAATTAGGCTAAAAATTCGTCTCGCAAATTAGCCGCAATCTGTGCAGTTAGTTTTTTTAGTCTATATTTAATATTTAATATAGGTGTTCAAACATTCGATGTGACAATGTGTAAAATTTTTGTGGGGTAACTAAACAGGGCCTAAGATGATAGAAATGGATTATACAAATTGTCATATCACATTTGTATTTATATAAAAGAGAGAGAGAGGAGAGAAAAGAAAATAGCCTACAAATATGTAGTAACTGCAACATGGACCCCAATAAATCCTATAAAATCTTTATTCTCGGTGAAGTACGGCAGCCATGGCTCCTGCTGCCACGTAACCGCAGCATCCTCTCTTCCATCCTGTATAAACTACAGTAGTAAACACAACCGTCCATGGTACCGAGTGTCAGAGGCCTGATACAGCCCATTAACTTTTTACCAACAAGTTTTGCAAAAGAACCCATTTCATTTTGTTAATTACATAATAATATTCTTTGCTTATAGGCTAACAACTTTATATGGTTATTGTCAGGGTTATGGATACCACATACCTAATAGTAGTTGACTAAATCTCGACAGGATCCACCACATACCATATCCTATACGGAAACAACCTTCGAATATAGGAGGAGTTCTGCATAAGGAAAGACAAACAGAGTTCTACATGGAAACGACAAGGACTACTCGGATTGTATCCATATTGGTTTCCTTAGTTCTACTTGGACAACGGGATACCTATGGGTATAAATACAAGACCCCCTAGGAAGAGAGGGGACACACCCACCATGGGACACACCCACCACGGACAATATAGACGCCACAAAGTCACAACATACAAACCAACATACGCCAAGATAAGACATCGGATATTGACTTAGTCCCCTACAGTGTCTCCGGATACTGTCAGGAGAGATGAAAGCGCTATCTCTGATCTCGCCGGGTACGGACTCGAGGAGAAAGACTACCCTGTTATCCATTATGAGTCAGACCTTCAGACCGGCATGTCGACAACAGTTAGATAGGCTACCCCAAATATTGTACTGGTGTGATTATGATGAATAAGAGCAATACCGGCTTCGGCCAACAGGATGTAGGGTTATTACCTGATAATTCAGGGGCCCGAACCTGTATAAAATTCCTCGCCTTCATCTCTTTTACCTCAATCTCGCATATACCCTGGTACCAACGATCCCCATACTATGCAAATACTGGAATCGCGACATCAAACGTCGACAATTATATTCCACAAACCCAATGAAATAAATGTGATATAGCTATTTTACCATGTTCTACGTGAAGAGTGTGACAAAACGAGTATATTTTCACTATTACAGTAATACTACATGTTCACCTTACATATGTACTACTATAATATAATTTTTAACTAATGAATAATTACAGAACCATTCACTTTTTATTTGTGTGATAAAAATATCTTAAATTATGTGTCTCCAAAGGGGAAACGTTTAGCTGCTTTTCATATGACAAGCTCATGCCCTATATCGATTATCATAAGAACACATATATCAAAGAGAGTGAAAAAGAAGCAAATTTTTTCGTATATAAAGCACATATTTTCTTTTTTTTTCAAACTACTATGCCCAAAAAAAATGGTTTCACATTAAATTACTACTCCCTTCGTATTTTAATGTATGACGCCATTGATTTTTTTATCAACGTTTGACCATTCATTTTATTCAAAAAAGTTATGTAATTATCATTTATTTTATTATCACTTGATTTATCATCAAATATTCTTTAAGTATGGCATAAATATTTTTATATTTGCACAAAAAATTTGAATAAGACGAATGGTCAAACGTTGTTCGAAATGTCAACGGCGTTATACATTAAAATACGGAGGGAATATGTTTTAAACACGTTGAATATAATCACCGCAGCAACACGCGGAGTGCTGGCTAGTTATATGTGAGATGGGTGGATTAGAAATTAATGATATAATATATATTTACAATTAATTGATGTATGAGTAGACTATTATGTAGTATGCTATATATGATATTTTAATTTTTAAAGCTAGTAGTTGACTATATTATTACTTGTTCTTATTGATGTGTTTGTGTTAGCATTTTAAGTTGGAATCCCGAGCAGGGGTTGTAGGTGTGTGTGAACTAGCATGCCAATGGGCCAAGCATGCCTTGGCCCAGGCTTCGGCCTATGTCGTGGAGGACTCCTTTGCCAGCGACACGGAAGTTTCTGATACCCAAGTCGTCGTGGACATCCAAGCGGTGGCTGTGACCGAGCTCGACCTCTATGGGTTGATGGAGAGCAAGCTCCAAGACGTTGCTGTTGATGTGGCCGGGAGCGAGGTCGATGCCGTCGTTACCGTACGTGAGGAAGCTATGGCCGTGGCTGAGATGGAGTTCCATGGCGCTGCAGTTGATGTGACCGAGAGTGAGGTCCGCATCGTCCTGGCCGTACGTGATGAAGCGATGGCGATGGTTGTGGCTGTGCCCAAAATGGAGCCCAATGGTGCCGCAGTTGCTGTCACCGAGAGTGAGTTGGATGCTGCCATGGCTGTGGCCGAGATGGAGCTCGATGGTGCCACAGTTACTGTCGCCGAGAGCGAGCTTGATGCCGCCGTGGATGTGGTCGAGATGGAACTCGATGGTGCCGCAGTTACTGTACTTGAGAGCAAGCTTGATTCCGTTGTGGCTGCATACGAGGTAGTCGTGGACGTGGACGCGTTTATTGAGCAATCTCGAGCATATTTTCTACACAATATGCTTGAAAAATGCTGTCATTCTGAAAACAGATGCAATCGATATAAATAGTGAATCTATAGGTACTATTTTCAGATTTTTGCAGACAGGATGTTTTGCAATGATAAAACTATACTCATTGAACTATAATCGCTGAACAGATCATTAATGTAGAGTGCTAGGCAAAAAAGCAGAATCTAAAAACAAAAGCTATCCGCGAAATGCATCACATGACAAAGATTAAATTCAATCGTGTTCATTTGCATCATCTAATTACTGAGTATACATCAATGTCCATTAGTATACAACACGTCTATTAATAGAAGAAGTTTACCTTCCTCTCCAGCAGCAGATCCTTGTGTAGATTAAGAATCTCCAGCAGCAATATTATCACCCTGCTCTCCAGCATATCCTCCAACTTGGGCGGAAGTACCTCCATCTCCAGCGGCAACAGCTCCTTCGCCTCCGGCAGCATCAACACCTACGATAGCACAAATAATAAGAGATCACAAACGAATTTTGTAACTAATTCAAACCAGAACTACGACACTACACTGGTGGAGAAACCATCTTTGGTCGGTCAGCCAGATTTCACAATAGTCCCGGTTATATTAAAAACCAGGACTAAAAATATATTTAGTCCCGGTTTAAAAGCTCAGAGGTACTTTTTGATCTTACCAACCGGGACCAAAGATCTATTTATAGTCCCGGTTGGTAACACCAACCGGGAAAAAAGATCGACATACTCTTTACTCCCGGTTGGACTAAAGATCTATTTGTAATCCCGGTTAGTAACACCAACCGAGAAAAAAAAGATCGACATGCACGGGGAGGTGTGCACGCGGATAGGATCGAGGTCTCCTCCTCCCTCCCGCTCCTCTCCCCTTTAACTCCCCGGCTCCTCCTATCCTCTAGCTCTTTACACCTTATCTCTTCCTCTCCTCCTTTCTCTCCCCTTTAACTCCCGGCTTCTCCTATCCTCTAACTAGCTCCTTACACCTTATCTCTTCCTCTCCTCCTTTCCCTCTCCAATCCTCACCACTTCTTGATCTGCAGCGCAGAGGCCCGGCGGCGCCTCTCCTCCTTTCCCTCCCATCCTCCCCACTTCTTAATCTGCAGCGCGGAGGCCGGGCAGCGCGGAGGGCCGGGCGGCCGGTGGCCTTGCGGCGGCGCGCCGGCGGGCAGAGGGCCGGTCGGACTCGCGGCGGCGATCGGTGCTCCGGCGGGCGGAGGGCCGGGCGGCCTCGCGGCGGGCAGCGCACAGCGGCAGCGGGCGTTTCTTTGTTTTTTTTTTTGAGAATTTGTGATTCGGATCTGAGATGTATTTGATTTGTGTGTGATATGAATATGTGATGTATTTGTGATGAATTTTGTAAAAGTTGTGGTGTAATTTTTTTTAAGATTTTGTGATGTATTTGGATATGATCGATTTGAGGATTTGGGGATGATTGATTTGGGATTTTGGGATGGGGATGGAGTGAAATCAATATATTAAAAACAATGAAGAAAAGAATAGAATAATAGAGCAACCGGATCTAGCTAGCCTAGCTCTATCTTGTTACCAACCGGGACTAAAAATGTTCTATTTTTAGTCCCGGTTGATGACACCAACCGTGACTAAAAATGGATTTTTACTCCCGGTTATTTCACCCGGGATCTTTAGTCCCAGATTCATAGTCCCGGTTGGAAAACCGGAGCTATAAAGGGTTATGAACCGGTAGTAAAAGGCACTTCTCCACCAGTGTTACAGATGAAGCGAGAACCATGCGATTCCTAAACCAAAAACAAAGACACATAGATCAGTACATTTATCTGCATCGGCACACACCATGTCATACTCAGGTTCATGAGCAAGCCCAACCCACTCGCCAATGGCATCCTAATCTATGGGAGGCTCAAGATCATCTACAGCTTTGTGTGTGGTAGAGGCAGGGAGGAGAAGATTTGAAAACTAAACTCATTGGTGCATCCCATCACCACATCGCTGCTTATATAGGGCCACTGAACCTGTGAAGTTCAATTTCTGATTTTCATTTTCAGCGAGCGAAAAAAGTCGCGGCAAAAAAAAAAAAAGGCGCCTGATCTGATTGCGAGCGCTGCTATGCGGAGCCGAAGCGTTTTGCGGGCAAAGCCGAAGGGTTGCTGCGTGCGCTGTTAAATACGCGAAGCCGAAGCGTGGGCTGAGGCATGCATGGTCTGTTGGCTGATAAGCGCATAGGAGTAGGATTATAAGCGCGTTTATTGTTTTCGGTTTTAGTGTCAAGCTAAAATATGATGAACGGAGGGAGTATTAGTCTTGTTTGAGTTGTCACGGACGATTCGAGGTCACAAAAACGTCATCATCACAATGAAGGCCGGAATTATATTGCTGAATGAATTACAGCATACAAGCAGAAACTCTGCATGCTGATCCTACCACTTTAGTCACAGATGCACAATACCATAGTAAACATCAACTCTTTCCATCTCTGCATGGTTTTGAGTGCGTGTAGGAGGATCTAAAGCTGATTCTTGCAAAACCTATTCATTCTCTGCATATTGTTATTTTCTTCACTCGATTTGAACTAAGGAGAATGCTGCAACATGTACCTCCTTTGCAAATTAATTTGGTCATTTTTCCATTTCATTTGATTGCGATCGCAGTTTGGGCCGTGGCAAAGCCCTATCTTCACAGCCGGCTAATGAGACAAAACAAAGCCCATCTATCAGATGAAAATGGTCGGTAAAAGATTGGGCCAGTCCCGGATAGCCAACGGCTCATCATTTACTCGACGGCTAATAAACCGTGAGAAAAAGAGTGAAGCAAACGAAAATAACATATTCGTAAAAAAATTATATCTATGTCCTAAGAGATTTAAAAGTCAATACTGAAAATCAACTAAGATAAAAACATTCTTAAAATTAGCTTTATAATTAAGTTTTAAAGTTTAAGTTTTGGATGCAACCAATAAGCCAAAAGTTAAATTATGGGTTCCAGTGGCGGAGCCAGGATAAAATTATAGTGGGGGCTAAACCAAAATGACCAAGAGCAACTAAGAGAGATTTAGGGTTAGGTTAGGATTTTTTGGGCCTTCTAACAACCTTAAACAAAGTCTATATTCCCCCCTCATCTATAAATATATGGATTAGAATTTTAGAAGGATATTATGGGGGCTCTAATGGTCTATTAGGGGGTAGGGGGTTGGTCTAAAGAACCCCCCGCCCCCACGCTGTCTCCACCCCTGATTGCTCACCTTTGTATACATATTAATGGATTTAGACATATATGTATATAGATTCATTAACATCTATATGAATATGGGCAATGCTAGAAAGTCTTATAATATGAAACGGAGAAAGTAAATATTTATAAAAATTTTTAACATAAACTAATAAGATAAATATATGATACTCCCTCCGTTATAAGACGTTTTGACTTTGGTAAAAGTCAAACTGCTTCTAGTTTAACTAAGTTTATAGACAAATATAGTTATATTTATAATATCAAATTAGTTTCATTAAATCAATAATTGAATATGTTTTCATAATAAATTTGTCTTGGGTTGAAAATATTATTATTTTCTCTACAAACTTAGTCAAACTTGAAGCAATTTGACTTTGACCAAAGTCAAAACGTCTTATAACGTGAAACGGAGGTAGTATATCATTATACAAATATGTTTCAGATTTGAACACAAAAGTAACAAATTTAATAAAAATGCGCTCATAAATATTTTGTTTTTTTCTACAACATGTAAGAAGTCAATTTGATAATATATCATATATTGATCTATCTTATCTTTTTTTTAAAAAAAAGTTACATCTATCTAAGTAGCATGTAACAAACGTGCGAATATCTTATCTAACCGAGGGAATAAATAGTTTCTTTAGGAGAAAAGATGGATCAGCCTTTCGTGGAGGAAGTCCCACGGCCACTGAGCTAGGACCTAGGAGAGTTTGTCTTTCCAAATGAAAAGGTAGAAAAATTTTCTCTGTGTATTCGCTTAGGTACACCTGATGCGTGGAACACCGATACTCTTGAGGCTCCATCCATTGTCCTAATAACTTAAATTCAAAGCTAAAATTTTAAAAATTTTGTTCAGAAGTTAGTTTCAATATTAACTTTTAAATCGCTAAAAACACATATATAAAAATTTTACCTATAAATTATTTTTTATTCCCTAATAAATTGTTTTGGTTTATTAAAATTATGGATAACTGATGAGGCTGTTGAACTGAGCGTGGCTAGTAGTACTCAACAAAATCGGCATGTCTAGCTCAATTCTATGGGTGACATGAGAACCATGACAACCACCCTAATTTCGAAACTGAGGACTGAAAATAGTACAAATTCTTGTCTGGATACTCACTCAAAACAAATTCCTTGCCACTGATAACTTGGAACCCATCAGGGGGCGGAGACAGCGTGTGGGCGGGGGGTTTTAGACCCCCTACCCCCTAATAGACCATTAGAGCTCCCATAATACCTCTCTAAAAATCTAATTTATATACTCCCTCCATACTTATAAAGGAAGTCGTTTTGGACAGCGACACGGTCTCCAAAACACAACTTTGATATCTTGTTTCTATAAAAATATTTATTAAAAAATGATATATGTATACTTTTATAAAAGTATTTTTCAAGACAAATCTATTCATATAATTTTTATATTTTCAAACTCAACAAATTGAGAGTTATTTATGATTTATATTTCCAAGGCTTGACTTAAACATTATCCTAAACGACTTCCTTTATGAGTATGGAGGGAGTATTTATAGATGAGGGGCTAATATAGATTTTGTTTAAGGTTGTAAGAAGGCCAAAAAGGCTAAGAAGGCCAAAAAAAAATCCTAACATAACCCTAAATATCTCTTAATTGCTCTCGATCATTTTGGTTTAGCCCCTGCTATAATTTTATCCTGTCTCCACCACTGGAGGAAGTAGATGACAATGAAAAATTTGGGAACACCTCAGGAGGAATGGAAAACCATTTCCTCCTCTCCTGCCATCATCTCATCTTCTCATCTTACACTTTTCTATATGTAAAAGAAATCACTGGACGATTTGAGACGCTATCAACAAGCTGAATCAATGCAAGTGACAACAAGCAGCAGCCGCCTGGTTTTCTTCAGATCACTACAACTCAGATCACTATCCACGAACAGTGCACAATTTTTTTTGCAGTATCCGTGCAGAAAAAAAAAAGAAAATTACTGTTTGATTTCCGTATCATCGATGGTGCAATGCGCGGCGTAGTAGAGGCAGTAGGAAGGGAAGACTGACTTGCACAGCAACACGGGCAACTCCGGCGAGCGGCGGCCGGAGTCGGTGGGAGGAGGAGTCATCAAGGAGGAGCCATGGAGGCCGACGAGACCTCTCAGCGGCGAGCGGGAGACGGTGACGCCGTGGAGGTTCAGGTGCGGCGGGAACAGGCAGCCGGCCGCCGCGGCGATGTAGTCGCCGGTGCCGAGGCATGGCAGGTCTGCGGCGCCGCTGCTCAGCACCCTGCGCCAGAGCCGGTGGTCGGGGCGCCACCGGAGGAGGGCGCCCAGCGCCTTCCCGCCGAAGTAGGACGCGCGCAGGCGGAGCCTCTCGGCGATGGCTTGCCCCGCCGCCGCCAGCCGCCGGTCGGCGTCGGCGTCGTCCGCGCCGCCGAACGCGTGCGCCTTGAAGAAGAGCCAGTACTCCGCTGGCGGCGGGGGGCGGAGGGTGATGGTGTCCGCCGCGGTGGCGAGGCCCGCGACGTGCCTGGCGTCGCTGCTCGTCACGATGACCTTGCTCCCTCGCCGGCCGCCGCGCCGCAGCGCCCGCATGATCGCGTCGACCGCCGGCCTCCTCCGCGCGTCGACGTTGTCGAACACGATGAGCAGCCTCTCGCCGCGCAGATTCTTCTCGAGAAGTCTCAGCTTCTCGCCGACGCCGGAGATGCTAGTGCTCCCCGTGCCAGCGGCGGCGGCGGCGGCGGCGAACAGGGAGCGCAGTAGAGCAGTCGTCTCGCCGGCCGCCATGAGGCTCACGCAGTGGAAGTCCACCAGGATGATCCGCGAGAAGCGGCGGCGCACGGCGGGGTCGTCGCAGACGTGCTGCACGAGCGTGGTCTTCCCGAGGCCGGAACGGCCGATGATCGAGAGGACGCCGAGCTCCGCCGCCGCCGGCTCGCCGCCGTCATCGCCGTCGCCGTCTTGCAGCAAGAAGTCGAAGACGCGGCGCCTCTGGACCTGCCGGCCGAACATCTGGCTGTCCGCGTAGATGTTCGTGGCCAGCGGCCGGTGCATCGCCGGCGGGCAGCTCTGAAGCATCATGATAAACCCGGTGAGATCGCCGGAGACACTCTCTAGGTCGGCAAGGACGCCGTCGAGCTCCGCAGCCACACCGCCGCCGTCGCGGAACACCAGCCTCCTCGCCGCGACGCGCAGCCGCTTGGCGGGGTTGAACGACGACGGCGCCACCTCGACGTCGCCGTCGCCGTCGTGGTCCGCCACCACGGGGAACGCGTCGAGGAAGTAGCGGCCCTGGTGCGCGCCGTCGACGAGGTCCGAGAGCCACGCGAGGAGCGCGCGCCCGGTGATCCGCCTCGCCTCGGCCGCCTCCACCGCGCTCTCGATCCTGACGACCAGGCGCCGCACCCTCCGCAGCTTGTCGTCGACGCCCCTCCGGTCGGCCAGCAGGTGGCCGGCGACGAGGGACACGAGCCTGCCGGCCATGTCGGCGACGACGCCGGAGACGATGGCCTCGGTAGCCATGAAAGAGGAAACCAGCAGCGAGCTTACTCGCCAAGCGTATCCAAATTCCAAATTCTCAAGCACGTTGTAAAACGAAAGAATTGTTTTCTTTCTGTTGTAGAACGGAAATAAAATAATCCATTATTTTTTAAAAAAAAGAAAGTCACGCACGTTGTACTCGCTTGCGCTGCCCTCCCTTCCCTGCACGGCGGCAGCGGGGTCAAATCACGACGACGCGCCATCTCTTGTGCGATGGAGGCGGGCCAGCGTGTGGCGAACCACGACGGAAAGCCGGTGGCAGCGGCGGCGCACGCTGGCGAGAGAGGCTTGGGATAATGGTTTAATCTTTCGGTTTAGGTGGTGTTTGAATCTCCTGAAGATGAATATAAAGATTAAGTGTTTCACGTAAAATGAGGTGATAATAACGTGGAATTAATTGAGTTTTAATTATTACAAATTTGAAAAATAAATTCATCTGATATTTTAGAACAACTTTCATATAGAAAGTTTTCGCACAAAACATATTGTTTAGCAGTTTAAAAATGTGGCACGATAATCTAAAATTTTATCCTCCGCTACAAGCAGAAACGAACAAGGACTTAGTGTTTTTATCGGTGGTGGAATTTCGGGCTGAAATTATATAATTTTTTTTAATAAAATTTAAACAAAATATTACCAAATTCACGAAAAAATATAAAAAAATTAAAAATTTCGACCAAAATAATATCGTATCGGGGGTTTGTATAGAACCGAAATTTTTGAAATTTCAGAAATTTCGATCCAAAAATGTAAACCCTGTTTGGGATCTAGTATCACACAGAGTATATATAAAGTATGAGGCGGGATCTCTCGTCTAGCCTAACAACTAATCTCGGTAGAAGTTACAGTAGCAATGTAGTTGGCAGCTACTTGTGGGCTCTCTCTATATGTAGAATCGTCGTGAAGATGGTGGCTTGTGGATGTCTATTGCTTAATATTATAAGCCATTCTCTTCTTGGAGGCAACATATCCTATACACACAGGTCCTCACGTGTACACACGTGCACACCAACTTAAAAAATATCACCAAAAAATCTAGAAAAAATCATACACATACTTTCAATTGTATTATACCTAGGGTTAAAATCTTAACGTCAAATTCATTATATTTTAGTCGTAACAAAAAAAAATCTGACAGTTTTAAGGTTGCAATTTTGTCAGAATTTTATCTTTTTTGTTATTCTCTATGTAGAATGAATTTGAAGATACGACTTTGCACGTAGATGTAATTATATTGAAAGTACATGTATGAATTTTCCTAGAATTTTTTGTGATAATTTTTAGTTGGTATACACGGTGTGTACACGCAAGAGCCTGTGTGTATAGGATACGCTCCCCTCCTCGGAAGCCTTTTATTTGTAGCAAAAATCGTCTCTTAAATAAGTAGGACTCAGAATTCCTAAATAGGATATGGGCGAAGTAGTCCCTTCAAAGCTGAGTCGAATTGCATAGTCTTTCTTATCGAGGAGATATTGTCCTATCTTCTCATGCATGTAAGCATCCATATTTGAAAATATCTTTCAGTATACATCTGGGTTCACGTTATTTCGAGCTGAGGGAGATAGGTATGTGTACATAAGGTATCATATAGAGGAGTAGAGGCAGTGGCGAAGCCATGATTTAGTGATAGGGTGTGCTGGTCATGAGATGTAAGAACTCGCCAGCGTCTCGGTAGATAATGGTGTAGATCTTGATGGCTCAGTTCATGCTGAGTGGCAGATTGGCCTCACCTCACCTCTTGTTCGCTTTAATATGTGTAGTTGCACCTCGTATAATTATATTTTGAATTTTGTGGTTATTTTGCACTAATATGTAAATAAATTGATTGTTGATATGACTTTAGATATATCTCAACACATTCTTCTAGGTTCATGTAAAAAAACTGAACTTATTTTAGGATAGAGGGTGTATGTCCGAATGCACATTAATATAACATAAAAGAATCATTTTTTAAAATTAGGCAACTAAATAGCACCGAATTTATTGAATACATGAATGACAATACATCATTTCTATTTATCCGATTTAGTTTTGGAGACTTGCAACCACATCGCTTAGTTACATTAATTAACTCAGGTAATCACGTAAAACTAAAATCTATTGGTCAGTTATGTATAGGCTCAACTTGCAACTAACTAATGAGTTAATTGTATGGATTAGATGGCTAATCACCTGGGGGGTTAATTTGCAGCGCATAGGGATGGGGGTGCCAGGCCCACCCCGGCACCCCCGGTGGCTTCGCCACTGAGTAGAGGATATATCCAGTGAAAACCACCAAACAAGTGAAACCCGTAAAAACCCAACCAAAAAGTTTTGCAAATTTATGAATAAAATTATTAAAGACAGGTACATGCATGAAATTCATTATCACCAAATCTCAAGTTTAAACTCAATTATATAAAATAATCAGACAAATTTGGGATACCTTTCTTTAAAAAAAAAGAGAAAAGTTATTTCTATCTTCTTTTTTTTTCAAAAAAAAGGATCGAGCAGAGAAAGCCCACAGTGGCCTGTTTGTAACTGGGCCGGTGCGAGATAGTCGTCACTCCCGGAGTCCGGAGTTCGCTCTCCCGCCGCCGCCGCCGCCGCCGCCTCGCCTGCGTCGATCTCCACCCCGCGAGCGGAGCAGCGGTGCCCGGCGTCGTCTGCTGCTTCCGCCGCATCCTCCCTCGCTCGCTGGTGAGCATCCGCCCGATAACGCGCATCCTCTTTCTCATCTCTCTCCACCCACACTTCTTCTCGAATCTGCGTTAGCCCTAGCTTCTCTCCTAGATCTGGAAGCTGCTTTTTCTCTTTGCCTCTTGCCTTAACCCTAGTAGTAGTAACGAGTTTAGTTGGTTCCCGTGAATATTTGGGGATCTTGGAGGTTTGCTGCTCGCTCGGAGGGAGAGAGATTTTTCGTTGTTCGTCGGGGATTAGTAGATGTTGGGGGGAGGGGGGATAGTCCAAGGATTTGATCTTTGGTGGATATGTATATTTGTATTGTGGGATTTGTATATTTTAGACTGATTAATCGGTAGGAGGTTTGAGTATAAATGAAGTCGATGTGAAGATGGATTAAGCGGCTATAATTGTGGAAATTCATGAGAGAGTCTTTTTGGGTGCTCTTGTGGCAATGGATCAAGCTTCCGACGAATATAGGAACTTGTGTTTGCTCTCCTCACCTGGTTCAAATGGTCGTCGCGGCGGCTCATGCGGCATGTGAGGATCGGTAGGGGTCAAATCTTCTGTGGATAATTGGAAATGATGTTTAGTTCATGGGCGAAATGATCCACATTACCTAGCAATGAGTTATAGGCCAAGTCTATGTGCAAATCAGTTTCCATTTCATTGACTTAACTTCTTGAAGTCATAAACGCTCACGGTAGCTATGTTGCGGTGGTGGACTTCTCTACTGCCTTTTAGTTTGTTAGTCTTGTAACCCTTCTTTTGTGCAAGAGCCAAGAGGCTGTTTATAGGTGCGGTGTTCAGTTTAATCATTTCATTTTTCTTATTCTTGTGCAGGGCAAGGATCTTTTATTGCTTTTCTTCCCCTGGAATTTTTTTAGCTAGCAAGGAACACGGTTGAAAGTAGGATGAGTCTCTCTACCATAGCAAGACGACTATGTTGTTCAAGACCAACATCTGGGGGTCGTCTTTCAGCGGTTTGGGCTCATTTGTACAGCACAGAGGCTGCCAAAGACACAGGTGCTAAGAAGTATAAATACCCTGAAGTCTATGATCCATACGGGCCTATGTCACCTCCATCGCAGAAAGTTGTGGATCTTGCTGATCGCATTGCTGCCCTCCCTCCTGAGGAGATCAAACAGATTGCTCCGGCTCTCCTTCTCAGACTGAACCAACCCCCACCACAGGCAATTTCTGGACAGGGTTTCAGTTTCAGTCCTCAAGGTGGTGGCGGTGCTGCTGGTGCTGCAAAGGCAGAGGAGAAGAAAGCAGAGAAAACAGTCTTTGACGTCAAGCTGGAGAAATTTGACGCTGCTGCTAAAATTAAGATCATCAAGGAGATTAGAACATTCACAGATTTGGGGCTGAAGGAGGCGAAGGAGCTAGTGGAGAAGGCCCCTGTCATTCTGAAGCAGTCACTCACGAAGGAGGAAGCTGAGGCAATCATAGAGAAGATTAAGGTAGCTGGCGGTGTCGCTGTGATGGAGTGAAGGATTAACTCCTTTGGCACTACTACCCTTTTGTTTTCTTCAATTTTTGTTAGCATGGTCAGGCATTAGAGGTCGCAGTATCTCTACACTTTTGTAGGAAATGTTCAGCTGTGACAGGTAAACATGGGCCATGATTTGGTCTGAATAAACTTTCTTCGACCACTACAACTTTCCTGATGTATTATTGTGACATTGGGACCGAGTGAATGGAATGTAGACAGAATTGCCTATGCTGATACCTGTAACTTGTTCTGCATCTGTTATTGTAACTTACAAGCATGCAGTTTTGGTTGAAGTGCAATGGGCATAGAGTACTTGAAACCTTGTCTGCAAGACTGCAACTCTTCATAATGTATTTCACTATCTGGTCTGAATTATACATCACTTTGTAAGAATTTTGCATTGAATTGTCCCATAACTAGCCGGATTGTTTTCTCCTCACGTGCATAGTTCATTCTGCTATGGAAGTAACCGTACTTCTGTGAGCATTTGTAGTTGTTTGAAGATACAATTAATTTGCATATTAGCCTGTTCTACCTGCCTTCTTTTTAGCTCTGTTAGGTTGATGAAACATAACATTTGGTGTGCTCGAATTTAGTAATGACCATTTTTATTGAAATGCAATGGCATGGAATACTTCAAACCTTGTCTGCATATCATATTTCACCATCTGAATTAACATCACTTTGTAACAATGTTGCATTGAGTTGTCCCAAAACTAGTGGGATTGTTTTCTCATGCGCATATGTTGATTCTGGTGTGATATTAACCGTGATTATGTGTCACAATGAGGATACAGTTTGCTTTTTGTTCAGTTAGGTTGATGGAACATGCCATTTGGATTTATTGGTGTGCTTTTTGTTCAGTTTGCTTATTGGTTTATTTCAAACACTATACGATATTTGGATCATTCAAAACTTCCCCTCCATCAAAACTTGCAAAAAAAACGAATAAGCTTTTTTGATTTCATGTAAACAAATCGATCCAAACATCCTGCAAATTAAACCCTGTCTCATGCCCATGACCTCACTCCGTCTTCCACGCCTGGAGGAAGAAGCTGTAGCCACCTTCGTCGCCGATGCCGCCGGCGCCGGCGCCGCCGCGGCGGCCGCACCTGTCCCCGCCCGGCGGCGGCGCGCCGGGCTTGAAGACGAAGACGGCCTGCGCCGCCGGGCCGCCGGCGAAGATCCAGTCGTGGACGTCCCAGAGCACCTGCACCGGCGACTGGTCGACGATCACCGTCTCGTTGCCCCTGAACTTCCACTGCAGGCTCCTGACGTGCACCAGCACGACGCCGTCCACCGTGATCCGCATCTCCGGCTCCCTCGGCCCGGCGATGGCGCTGTCCACGACGATCTCGTGGTCCTTTCTGCCGGCGGCGAGCGGCGCGCGGGCGGCGAAGGTGCGCCTGCCGGAGACGCTCTCGCGGCGCGACACGAGCACGGCGTCGTCGAGCGACGGGCGGGACCTGGTCCGCTTGAACGCGTCCTTCTTGCCGTCGCCGAGGAGGAGGACGACCTCGTCGCGGCTCACCAGCGCCACGTAGTAGCCGGCGGCGGGCTCCGGGCTGCTCGCCGGGAACTTGGCCGACCGGAGGTCCCAGACGATGTCGAGCCGGTCGCCGTCGACGTCGAGCGTCTTGGCGCCCCTCTTGCTCCAGAACGGCCACGGCTTCAGCTCCACCTTGTGGCTGAGCGCCCCGTCGTCCCCGGCTCCGGCGCCGCCGCCGCCGCCGCCGTCGATGGAGATGGTGAAGGACTGGTTGATGAGGGTCCGGTGCCACACGGCGGTCACGTGGCGCGGGGCGCCGTTGATCTTGGCGCGGTAGACGGAGACGCTGGAGCAGTGCGACGTCGTCGCCGAGGACGACGACGACGACGCCGACGACGCCGCCGCCCTGGCGCCGCACGCCGAGTCGTCGCAGGTCGTCGCGCCATTGCCGCCGACGCCGCCGCGGCGGCGGCGCTCGTCCATCTCGCTGGACGGCTCGCAGGATTTGGATCGCTTGTGCATGATCTCTCTCGCAAATCCGATCGAATGGCTTCTCCTGGATCGCTTTGCCTCGTCAACGATTTCTTCCGAATGTTTTGACCGATCGCTCGCTCGATCGATCAAGAACTCGACTCCTCCATGCGCGTCATGCACTGCACGTATACGATGCGCCATGGAGAAATAAAAAATATGAACACAATTTTAATCAAACAAAAAAAAAGCATCATAGGAGCATGACAATTTGAGGATTGGAGGCGATAATGAACTTACATTATATTATCAATCGATCGTGAGAAGAACAAAAACTTGGTAAATTCTCAGTTTACACGCATGCGAGGAACAAGCTTGAGGAAGCGAAGAAATGTTGAGAGGACAACGAACTTTGATGGAAAAGAAGAGAAAAAAAATTCTCCAAATTCGTTGTCACTTTGCATGGATTACTCTGCGTTCTTTTGTAGCTGTATGGTTTTCCCCAAAATGATTAGGCTCCAAGGAATTCGGGCCATGCATGGTCAGCTGGCTGCTATTTACGTCCACAAGAAAATTAAGATGGTCGCATCCAAAGAAATCGCCATGAAAATAGAGTATAAATTGGTCACGAGCTAAGAAAAAGGGGGTTGATGCTTAATTGCTGATGCTGCCATCATCCAATGCGCAAAACACAGCAACAAGCTTTTTTGGCTCCTTTGGAACAAAAGATTTTTGAAGTAATTTTAGATGAATTCAATCTTGTGAAATTTTTTCCTATGTTATCATTTGGATCATATGAATAACTATAAAAAAATCCTATGAAATTACTTTGGATTGACTCAAAACTTGGGAATTTTAGAGGGATTCTAATATAAACTTCGCAATAAAATTGCTTTTTATTCCTATGTTTTTTCATGTGCTCAATTCAAACGACTCTCCCTATAGTTTTTCTGTGTTTTTCTAATATGTACTCTCTCCATCCCTAAATGTTTGATGCCGTTGACTTGTTCGTCTTATTAAAAAAATTTAAGTAATTATTAATTCTTTTCTTATCATTTGATTTATTATTAAATATACTTTTATGTATACATATAGTTTTATATATTTCACAAAAGTTTTTGAATAATATGAACGGTCAAACATGTTTTAAAAAGTCAACAGCGTCAAACATTTAGAGAATGAGGGAATATAATTTAATGTGTTAGGGTATTTCAATCCTGTACTTTTTCTGTTCATGTGTTTTGAGAATCTTATGTTCCAATATGAGCCCTATATGTACTAGAGCGATATTGCCTATATTTCTGGTCGTAAAATCATCATCAAAGACATGGAATGATGGAAACAAGGACCAAAATGAAAAAAAAAGAAGAAAGAAAACAAGACAGTTACTAATGGGCCCACTAATCCGCCAGGGCGGCGACGTGAGGCCCATTAGGCCCAATGCATTGCAAACCATTCATTCGAAGGCCCAACAAACCAGCTAACCCTCTTCTTCTTCCTTGCAGTTGACTCTGAAACTTGTCAGAGTGAGTGACCACAGACCAGAGGTGAACGGGAAATGCCATTTTTTTTTATCTTGACACGAATTCACAAAACCTATATAAATCTTCTGAAATTTACTAACCATTTATTTTTCTCTTTCCCGATTCAAACGGTCGGCGAATTTACACGTTAATTACCCCATAATTTTCATCAATGGTCTAACTTTTTTTTCTTCAAAACACGGTACATATTCATGCACACTTATGCTAAGAATGCACACACGTACATTCTATTTATATCTCTATTAGAGACTCACTATGAACAAGTCATCACCTAACACTGAAAATAATTAAACATAAATACGAGCATTTATATCAAGTCAAAAACACATGCTAAATCTATGATTTAAATTTGGATTTGCTACTCCCTCCATTCCATATTGATCATCATATATCTTTTTTCACCAAGACCAAGAAAGACTTAACTACCATGCATTTTATTTCATATGAGTATGTAGTGGGGAAGAATCAAGAAACATGCAGACTTTAACTCCACATATGCATAAGAAACAAGGGCCTTAGAACGAGGCTAATAATACAACCGACTTGTTGGTTGTAAAGTTTTTGTAGCCTTCTCTCAGCCCACCCATATAATAGTTACTCCATCCGTTTCAAAATATAAGGCACAACCACCCTTAACTCAAAAACCAAGAAACAATTATTATCATCTCCTAGTTTGGATCACCCTAATAAATATAATGCATGCATCCAATAGAATTAGAGATCTTGAAGGCGGATGATTTTAAAAAATAATAATTTAATGAAGAAGAGGTCCTAATTAATTGTATGCATACATGTATGCTTTATATTATGGAACATAAAAAAAAAGTAGATGTGCCTTATATTATGGAACAGAGGGAGTAGCTCTTTATAATTAATACATGGCCCACTTATCTCTCACACAGAGTTTCTTGGTTATTGTGTCCAAGCCGATTGTAAGTTTACAGCCCGCTTCTCATCTCTCTCCTCCTCAGTATTTAGTCAGCTTATAGCATCCTATTATACTTGCTCTTAGGGGTAACTAACATGCATTTTATTTAATGTGAGTATGTGGTGGGGAAGAATTAAGAAGCATGCAGGCTTTAACTGCATGCATACATGCATACTCAATTTGTATACATAGATGCAACAATAATACTATAGGTCAAACGAATTTGGAATTTCTTATTTTTGTGATATCATGAGTATTTGCGTTTATTTGTTCGCTGCATTAATTAAATCCGTGGGCAGTACAGAGTGCGTCGATCTTCTAGCTAGTTCTAGAACGACCGTACGTGCCGCCGGCGATAGAGTATCCCCATCAATTCCGGCGCTGACCTGGCGACCGGCGGCGTGGTCGACGCCGGTGATAAATTGCACGTGGCGGCGGCGGCGGCCGAAACTTTTGCCTGCATTGCATCACCGTGGAACTAGAATGACGTCGGTGATGAATTTGAATCATCTGAATACTCGTTTATGCCAAGAATCGGTCGGTTTAAGGAGTATGCGTGTTTTGAATCTTTCGTCGAAATTAATTTAACTTTAGCTGAATTAACAAGCCACACAAATTCTTACTCGATTGATGACTAAACTGACCGGCTGTCCATGCTGTAGGACACCTGTTCTTGCGTGGAAAATCTGTAGAGAATTAGTGCAAGGATGAGTTGTCAGGCTTGGTACTCGATCGCATTGGTCCATATATAAATCGTTCAAGTCTTCGGGAATCAATTGATCGAACCATTTGACATGGACAAAGTTTGTGGGGTAAGTTCTTTTGCACCCAACTTGATTTTCCTAAATTTTTGGTCACTATCATGCAGTACCTGTATATGTATGTGAACATGTGTGCACATGCAGAGAATCAAATGTACATGCCAAACTGTACCATGTGCTACAAAATGCAGTAGCTATTATGGGAGTTGCAAGCAACCCTGCAACTTAATTTTTGTGCATCAATGATTTTTGGACCGAAGGCTTGTATAGGGTCAGCTTAAAATTTAAACCTGGCTATGGTGGCTTCGCCAATCTCAGAATATACCGGCCTAATCTTTCAAAGGTGTTCATAGATATAGGGTGTGCATGTGTGCATTCACAGGAGTAAGTGTGCGCGCGTTGTGAGCGCATGCGTTTGTACTGTGTTTAAAAAAAAATAAACCTGGTATGCATAATCGAGCAAGGATACGTAATCGAAACATGAAAGAACACGCGCGTATGACTTCGCCATCATGCTAATAGTACTTTACTATATATATTTCTGATATCTTATATGGACACTAATGAGAAGGATGATTTGGGCTCTAATCAGCAGTAACCAAAATTAAAATCTTTTACTCCAACTTACTATATATATTCAGCAAAGAACTATGTCATGATATGATACAGTGATTTATCATTTGCTAAGTGGAATTTAAGTGGAAAAATGGGATTTTTAATGCTTGGAATGCGCGTTCACATTATAATCATGATCTCCATAGTTATTTCAGGTGACCATGATTAAAGTATAAAAAAAATAAGGTCAGGTTCCATCGCATAGCTCGCACATGCTTATCGAGGCCCTATAAGCCACATCATAAAATAAGCCAAGCGGTATATTTGTAAACGAAAAATAATTTATAAATAAAACTTTTATATACGAATTCTTAGCGAGCTAAAAACAAAGGCCGAAAAAACTTCGATGAAAAACCCTAAAATCAACTCTAAATTTAAGATTGAAAATTTAAATTTTAACTAATAAGTATAATGGTCCCTTAAAAATTGCACCCACATATTTTTTTTATTTTGCTTCGTTTATTTTTGTACCCCTACTATATACTCATGCGGTAGAAAGCAAGAAGCACGATCAAAGTTTCCATGATGTATGCAGTATGCACTAGTATGCGTATGCGTACGTGCTTATATTAATTTACATGAGTTGAACCTGCTGATGTTTTACCTGGCCAATCTGCTTCTTCTTTTGTTTGACCTTCACTTGCGATTTTTCAAACTTTTACGGCGCAAGGGCAGTGCAGTGGTCGTCAGGTCGTCTACCAAAAACTGTTAATTAACACAATTCTACCTTTTCAAACTTTCACCTGCTGATCTATGCGATTAAATAATTCATACTAGTCGATATGCACTGATAGCCATTCGTGCGTGTCCATTAATTCAGGCGAAATTAGGCTTGTTTACTGCAGAGATCATCAGATTAGTTGGCGCTAGCTTTGAGCGAATTAAATTCCTGCATTTCAAACCTACGGAGCCTATATATAATTGAAGGAATAAATTTGGCAAAAGTTTGGTCAAGCTAGCTTGTACTTCCTCCGTTCCACAATGTAAGTCATTCTAGCATTTTCCATATTTATATGGATGTTAATTAATCTAGATAGATGTATATGTCTAGATTCATTAACATCAATATGAATGTGAGAAATGCTAGAATGACTTACATTGTGAAACGGAGAGAATACATTTGTTAAGTTGACGTCGCATTTGTGATTTGGCCAGTACTGATATAACTTTAAATAAAATCAAATGACTTATAATATGAAACGGATAGAGTATATCTTTTTTATATATGACGACGTTGACTGTTTAGATAAGTTTGATCATTCATCATTTTTTTTTGCAAATAATGATTTTTTTCAAACAATAAAAATATAATTCAGGTTTAGAAAACCTTTAATGATAAATTACTCAAGTTACAACAAAATAAATAATTATATATTTTTTACTAAGACGAATAGTTAAACGTATCTAAAAAGATCAACGATGTCATATCTCAAATTTTACAAAATTATAATGGCATGGTTACAATTTTCCCTAAAAACAAAGGAAGTACTTGTATATTTTTTTTAATTAGTTGACGCCGTTGACTTTTGGTACATGCTTTTATTTATCTTATTAATATAAATGTACAAATGCGTAAGATATAAATCACGCATAAAGTAATTTT